GTGGGGCCCAGCTCCTGGGGGAGCCCGGGGGTGGGGCAGCCCAGCCCCCCGTCTGTTGACTAGGGAGCTGGAAGGAGCTGGGTGACAGGTGCCCTGTCTTCTCCCCCACACGAGGCCCACAGCTTCCCCGCAGAGGGCCGCTGGAGGGGATTGGGTGGGCAGCACTAGGCGTGGGGGCCCTGCCTGGTCCTGGTACCCTGAAGGCTGCTCCAGCCTGTCTTTGGGCCTCAGTTTCCCCCTGTGTACAGTGTGGGGGCGGTGGGCTCAGGCAGGGGCTGGGCAATCTGCCATGAGCTGAGATTCCGGAGTTTGGGAGGGACAGCCTGACCCCTCCCTGGCCCCGACTTGGTGGGGATCACAGGCTCCACTCTAAGACCCGGGTCCCCAGTGCCCTGCCCACCCTCCATCTGCAGCTGCCCTGGCTCCCTCCTCGGGCTGAGAGGGCACCCTGGGTGGTCAGGTGCTCCCAGTCCTTCACTCCCCAGGTCCGTCTGGACGTCTCTCCCTGTGTCCTTAGTTCAGACTGAGTTTGTCCCCAAACATTGATTTCTGACCCACGGTCACCCCCTGGTGGCCAAAACTGGCAGAGCTTTGGGGGCTTATCGCCAGGTCCCCCTGTCTAAAGGGTCCACACTGCACTGCCCTGGGCCCTGTGAACACAGCAGTGACTAACCTCACAGGGGACTCTGCCTGCCCTTGGGGGGCTCCAGGGCAGACGGGGTTCGGGGAAAATGTGACACAAAGGACAACTGCATGTCGCCCCAAGCTGGAGTGGCCAGGGAGGTGAGTTTTGAGTTGAGCTGTGGGTGTCCAAGAGGAGGCAGCCAGGAGAAGGTGCACCAGGCAGGGGGCCTGCATCTGGAAAGCGTCCAAGGCGGGGAGTGGCTGGACCAGAGGGGAGGGGGGCAGAGGAAGCCAGGCCGCAGGGCAGGGAGTGAGGGTTTTACTCTGAGGGCACTGGGAGCCAGGGTGGGACGGGACATGATCGGAATCTCCATGTGAAGAGCAGTCTTACACCATCCCAGAAACGTTGGTGATTATGGAACAAATGTCCACAGACCAGGGATAAAGCTTGCCCCTGATCCCCAGGTGAGGCCCATTTCTCTCCCACCCCAGAGGGTACAACTATCTAGAGTCTGGAGTTAGTCTTTCACCTACATGCCTCTATATCTTATTCTGTGGCCATAAACAGCATGAAGTATTGTTTTACATAATTTTATTTTTGTTTTTTAAAAATACTTTTATCGATTTAGAGAAGAAAGGAGGAGAGAGAGAAATAACACTGATGAGAATCATTGACCAACTGCTTCCTGCACACTCCACACTGGGGATCGAGCCCACAACCCTGGCATAAGCCCTGACCGGAACTGAACCATGACCTCAGTAAGCCACTGAGCCATACTGCCTGGGCTACATGATTGTAAACGTTGTATAAATAACAGGACAACATCCTCCTGCAATTTGCTCATTTCATTAGCGTGGTTTCTATTTTTTTTTAGCTGTTAGCATTTTTATTTTTAAGCTTTAAACGCCGAGGTATGACACACACATGTAAAGGGTGTGAGTCTTTGGTGTGGGGCTCACTGCGTGTTACCCGCTGTGTGCACATGAGCCTGAGCAGCACTCGAACCCTGTCGTCTTGCCGATTTAAAAAAGTGGTCATATCAATTCACAGAACTGCTGGCAGGACAGATATGTCCTCAAGGTCCACTTGTTCACTGGTCTCTGGTTTTGTCAGTGTAGTTTCCCCCTCAAGCTGATGAGTGTGAAATAGCATCTAATCGTGGTCTTTCCTCAATTATGACAAGGTTAGACATTTTTTCATGTTCACTTGCCATTTGCATTTCATCTTCTCAGAATTGTTTGTTCACATATTTTGCCCATTTTTTCTCTTGGATTCTTTCCTGTTCTGATTTCTAGAAGTTGCCATATAACTTGTATACAGACTACTTGCCCAGTTAGATGTCGCAACGGTCCTGTCTGAACAGCATTTTGTTCTTTTCTACATTTGCTTCTGTTTGCCTGTACTCTCTTAGGGCATATGTGCTGCATATTATATGTCTGATAATCCTTACGCCAAGGTCTTGAGGATCTGATCCTGCTACTTACTCAGCGCGCACTCACCCATGTTTTATAATTTTCTGGATGTGCACTCATGTAGGGTGGCTCTAGGAGTGAGTATCTTGGAGTCACTCCCCTCCGGAGAGTCTGTTTTGTTTTTTTGTTTTTTTGTGTGTGTGGTTTAAAATACATACATACATACATATGTATATGTATATATGTATATATATTATATGTATATATGTATACATATATATATATTTTAGAGAGGAAAGAAAAGAGATGGAAACATAAATGATGAGAGAAAAAAATCATTGATCAGCTGACTTCTGCACACCTTCCACTGGGGATCAAGCCCACAACTTGGACATGTGCTCCGACCGGAATCAAACCATGACCTCCTGGTTCAGAGTTCAATGCTCAACCACTGAGCCACACCAGCTGGGCTGGAGAGACTTTTTTATTTATTAAAAATATTTTTATTGGCCGAGACCGGTTTGGCTCAGTGGATAGAGCGTCGACCTGTGGACTGAAAGGTCCCAGGTTCGATTCCAGTCAAGGGCATGTACCATGGTTGCGGGCACATCCCCAGTGGGAGAAGTCCAGGAGGCAGCTGATGGCTGTCTCTCTCTCTCATCGATGCTTCTTTCTCTACCCCTCTCCTTTCTTCTCTGTAAAAAAATCAATAAAATATATTTTCAAAAATATTTATTGATGTCAGAGAGAAAGGGAGGGGGAGAAATAGAAACATCAATGATGAATCATTGATCGTCTGCCTCCTGCTGGGGATTGAGCCTGCAACCCAGGCATGTGCCTTGACTGGAATTGAACCCGGGCCCTTCAGTTTGCAGGCCGACACTCTAACCACTGAGCCAAACCAGCTAGGGTGAGAGTTTGTTTTATAACAGCCTTGGCTTGGGTGTTCCCAGACCATCTGGGCGTTGCACATGTTAGCTCTAAACTGGTCCTTGCAAAACTTCAGGGGAGACTTTTCTCCACCAGCTCTCCAGCCGAGAGTGGAGAGGGCTTCCTGTCTAGCTTTTCTAGTGGGCCCATCTTCCTCCTGTCACCATAGGAACCCCCTGGCATTTCACCGACCTCCACAGGCCCAGCGTCCCCCCCACTGCCTGGCCCTGAGAGAACCGGCTCTTGCTGTTTCTTTGGCGCTTGGTTCCTGGTTTAGGCTCGTGCAGATATCCCCTTCCTTGGCTGATATCCCCTTGCTGTGCATTCACATTAGTTTGTGCATTTCTGTGTTTATAGTGGGTGTGCCAGTAACACTGTCTCAAACATCGCTGGGAGCGGAGGGTCTGCTCTGCATGTCGAGCCCTGGGAGCTCCAGAGACTGGGCTTGGCCTCCAGGAGCGGCAGTGAGAACGGAAGTGGAATCAGACCAGGGCCTCGGGCTTGCTGTGATGTGGGTGTGGGCAGTGAGGGCCGGGCACAGCGGTGGCTCAGTGCTGGGGCCTGGGCCCTGGGCCGGGCAGTGTTCCTTACTCCAAGTGGGTGGAGTGCTAAGAAAGCACTCGGGTGATGTCCAGTAGACCTGAAGGGGAGTGGGGTGGAACGGCAGGAGGAAGGAGCACAGCCCTTGAAATTGGTGGGGGTGGGAGCGGGGGAGGCCATCAGTGTTAGAGCAGCAGGGAGCATGGGGGCAGGCGCCTGTGGTGCGAGGACAAGGCACTTGCTGCCCAGGCATCTGCCACATTTCCCTCTGAGGACCAGGCTTTAGTTCTCAAGCTCCAGTGCGAACACAAACCACCTGCACTCTGTTCACGGGTCTCCTGGGCCGTCCCAGACTCTACCTCAGCAGGTCAGGGTGGAGCTAGGAATCTGCATTGCCAGTGTGCTTCCAGGAGACACTGATGCTGCCGGGATGAGGCCCACAGTGAGGGCATCAGGCCGAGGGGAGGGGGCATCAGGCCGAGGGGAGGGGGCATCAGGCCGAGGGGAGGGGGCAGCCGTCGGCAGTCTGAGGGCGGGGGGTCACAATCGCCCTGGATGAGAGGGAAAGAATTGGCCTGTGCGCTATCAGGTGGTCCAGGGCAATGGCTCTGCTTCCTGGGGGCGGGGCAGAGGCGCTGGGAGCTGGTGACACACGCAAGGCCACACACAGGCTGACACGAACCCTGCCCCTGCCCCTGGTGACCCGGGCGGCATCTGCACCACAGTGCATTCGAGGGAAGGCAGACACAGGGTTTAATTAATGAAATTTAATCTAATTATGACACCAACACAGACAGGGGAGGGGTGGCCGAGCACAGGTGTGGATGACCTGTGTCCTCTGAGGCCAGGGGCTCCCTGCACCCCCTCCCCGTGGACAAACACTGATGTGGTGGAGCGACAGCCTGTGTGGCAGAGGCGGCCCTGGGGAGGCACCTCACCGAAGCCTGCGGTCCAGGCCAGGAGCCCCAGGGGCCGAAGTGCTGGGCTCTGGCCCCAGTGGAGGATGCGCAGTGTGGAAGGAGGCCGGGGGTGGGCTCCTGTCCCCACTAAGTGCTGCTGAGAGCTTCGGGACGAGGAGCAGGAGGAGCAGAGAGCACGGTTCACGTAAACAGCAACGAGGACGAAGACAAAACCCCAGAGACACTCAGGAAACACGGCCGACAGAACGGCAGGCGGCCAGAACGTGCCCCGAGCAGCTGGGAGTTTCCAGGTTCTTGTGCCGGGGCCGGCGCAGCCGAGGCTGCCGTGGCCTCTGGGGAAGACTGCTCCCTCCCCAGGCGGACCCGGGCGAGGAGACAGGGCATCTGGAAGACGAGCCTCTTCCGGGGGAAGGGGCTTCGGAGACAAGAGTGAGACGGCAGAGCAGGTACGTCTGGAGGAGAAGGGGTCTCCCGCAGAGCCGGGATGGTGGCCAGTGTCGGGGTGTCCTTCCGACGGCTTGGCAGGCTTCCAGCGCTTCCCCAGGAGCCCCTGCACCTGGCTGGCACTGACCCTCACTGGGTCCGGAGCTGGTAATCTAGGGGATGGGAGGGAGGTGTCCATGATGCCACCCCAGGGGCAGCCACCCGGGAGGCAGCTGCTCGGCCACTAGGGACCCTCTCAGCCGGCACCCCCACCCTGCCGCACAGGGGCTGCACGTACCTCCATTCTGAGTGATGTAACGGACCCACGGCAAGGCCTGGTACCCGCTCTTCTCAATGATCTTCAGGTAGCGCACCTGGGGCACAGGGACCAGGCCCTGAGCGTGCCATGCCGCCCTCTGCTGGTGACCCCTTACCACCCCCCCCCCCCCCCCCCCGGGCCAGGTGGGGAGGTTGTGAGGAGCGGACAGAGGTGGAGGAAGGGGTGAAGGGCATTGGTCTGTCTGCAGCGCACTGAGGCTGAGCTTCTAGAAGATGCAGCAAAGAGCCAGGAGTGTGCTCACAGTGTGGCACCAGAGATTCCTGGAGAGGGTCCAGGGCTCTCCTCCCCCCAAAGCTTTCCCACGGAGGTGCCAGGAAGACGGGCCCACAGGGACAAGTGTGCGGACACTAGAGGCTCAAACTCCAGTTCTGGGGCCGAATGTACCCGGGGCTTGGACAGAGCACAGGGCAGGGCCGAGTAGACAGACGGGCCTCTCTGTTGGGGCCGGGCTGCCCGTGCAGGAGGCAGAGCCGTGGCAACCTGGCGGGAGCCCTTTCCTAAGCTGCTGTGATGTGTGTCCCCACCCTCCTCTGGGCCTGAGCGCGCTCTGGTCTCTGTTGCCCCGTCTGCTCCGGGCCCGGTGGCCCCAGGCACGCACCTGGATGCCGGAGGTGGTGAAGTAGGGGATCTCGAACTTGACACTGATCGGGGGCTTGCCCTCCTTGTCCTCAGCCTCCACGCTGGGCAGGCCAAAGTGGGCCCGCATCAGGTACTCCTTGCCGCCCTGGGAAGCAGACAAAGGTGGGATGGTCAGGCTGCAGCCCCGGCACTGGCTGTCTGGGCTCCTCCACAGGCTGCCAGCCTGGCCACCGAGCCCTCCCCGTGGGGCCAGCAGACACCTGGCACCCCAGCTCTCCCAACACATGTACCCGTCCTCCAGGACGCCCCACCGCCCACTGGGCAGACTGGAGGCCACGATGGGCACGATGGCTGAATTCCAAGGATCAGGAGAAGTTTCACAGGCTCCCGGAGAGACTAATCGCTTCGAGCAAATGAGACCAACGGGCCTGGGAAGGAAGAGGGAAGAGCGCGGGTGCAGGTTGCTGGGGATGTGAGTCCGAGTAAACACCCGCCCAGCGTCAGGAGGACACGGAGAGCAAGCGGGGCTGTGAGGGTGAGGAACGAGACAGGGGGAGGTAACGGGAGTGAAAGGCCGCGGCTGGGGCTGCCTGAGGAGCTGCTCCCCACGGTGGCGGCTCCGGCCTCAGGGCTGAGCAGTGACACCAGGGACAGGGCTCGGAGCAGGGCCAGGAATGACTGGGACCCGAGCGAGTCCTGGCGAGAGGAACAGGGGTCTTGGCGAGGAGGGCTGGCTGTCTGAGCTCCCGTGCCTCTCAACCAGAGCGGTGGGGAGCAGGGAGGAGCACGGGTCTTGTCTCACGTGGGACATGACCTTGAGCCCAGGGCTCTGGCAGCAGGAGTGGCTGCCAACCAGGGGGCTTCTGCCCCAGCGGAGGGGCTGTCCTTCCGCCTCAGAGCCAGGGCTCCCAGCGCCTCGCTCACGCCTCCGTCCCTGGGTGGAGTGGTCACTCTCCACTCACGGCCGCCAGGCCAGCTTGAGCAGGGCGGTACTCCGCCTGACTCGGGGACGTGTGCTAGACTCCGGGACAATGAGGGAGAATGATGTGGGCGTGGCACAGACAGCAGGCAGGAAATCCATAACAGAATCAACTCCATCAGCCTGTGCATCAAACAATAACCAGAGCAACAATCTGGGATGTTCAGGGCAAGAATTTCAGACCGCAATCCTAGAAGCTGCAGCCCTCTGGACCCAGGGAAGACCAGTACCTATGAGTATCTGTGAGCCCAGAGGCAGGACGGCTCCTGTAAAGCAGATGCTGCAGGAAATGCGATGGGAAGCAGAGCTTCCAGTGAGGCCGTTACAGCACAATGAGACCTCGTGGGCGCATGTGTCCGACTCTACCCTAGTAACAGGCCTTACCTCTTCTCAAATTCTGAGCTCATACTGGCCCACAACAAACACTTCAACAAATTCTAAAAGTATAAACAATACAAATAACTCTGACCTCAATGTACCAAATGGAAATGGAGAAAATGGAAAACAAAAGGTCCTTCCATCAGGCAATTAAAAACCAACCAACCAAACAAGTAAACAAAACCACAACTCAGCTCCACCTGACGACAGAATGTCTGGAGAACAATGATATGAAATATAACAAGTCAGTTATACAGCTAGAGAGGAACATCTGTGGCTAAATACATCAATGCAAATTTAAAAAAATAATTGAGTTAAAATATCTAATTCAGAAAATTAGAGTTAGAAGAAAAAAGACTAAGAAATTAAAATGAAAGACTTACAAAATGGGAAAATATTAAAACAAATAAATTAAAAAGCAAATCTGAAAAAAATAAACCACTAGGTAACTTATCAAGAGAAAAAGAAGACACAAATATACGAAATAAGAAATGTAACTGTTACAAGAGAAGGGGGAAAAAGAACCACTTTCTATAACTTTGTATAGACAAATCTGAAAAGTTGGTTAATTTTGTAGAAAAATGTAATTTACCCCAACAGACTCCAACAGAAACTCTAAATGGCCCAAATTCCATCCCAAGAGAAAAGTAGCAGACACCCAGATAGCCACACAGCTGAATCCTGCCCACTGTCTCAAGCCAATCTCAAGGCTAACCAGGTTTGCAGCATAGGGAAGGGAGATAGGAAATTTATGAGATGGGTATAACTCTGACACCTGATAGAGACTGCACCATAAACAAAAATCAATCTCAGATATGAATACCAATGCAAAAATTCTAACTACAACATTAACCAACAGAATCCAATGGCATATTAAAAAGAAAAGATACCACGATCAGTGGGAGCTTATCAGGATGTACAAATATGTCATTCAAGATCCACCCATTAGCAGATCTGGACTGAAGTGGACACTGACAAGGCAGCTGGCTAAACATGATGCCCACTTGTGCTAAAACCACAGAACCCGGACTGGGTGAGTCTGCAGTCGCAGCTGCATCGAACTTGTAGGAGAAACAAGAGTCTCCAGTAGAGGGCAGGAGGCCCTCCCCCCCCTCCCCCCGCCACTTAAGGGCCCTGGAGACAGAAGCAATGAGATGCCAGAGCCATCGGATGGAGAATAGGAGAGAAAGGAGAAAAACTGCATCTAGGTGCAAAAGATATGAAAGGAGATCTGAAAACCCATGAGAATCCCAAGAAAAGCTACCACAAACCAAAATCCAGTAAGGTCCCAGGAAATAGAACTGTCATACAAATATTAGTGACCTGTTAAAGACAGAATGGAAGAAAAGACCCATTTACCAAAACATTGGCTTAGAAATCATCCTAATGAGCCCGGCCAGCGTGGCTCAGTTGGCTGAGTGACGTCATCTCATGCGCCAAAAGGTCGCAGGCTCAATTCCTGGTCAGAGTGCATGCAGGAAGCAGCCAATCAACGTTTCTCCTCTTTCTCTCTCCCTCCCTCTCTCTTAAAAATTTTTTTTCAATAAAAACATATTTTAAAATGTCATCTTAATGAGAAATGAGCAAAACTGTTGGTGAGTCCCAGAGACTCTGAGGGTGTGGAGTGTCCTGTGGCTTTTACCTGGCTCCAGACACAGACATATACCCTCTGAGTAAACGCGTGGAGTGGTTCACAGTTCATTTGTGTGCCTTTCCGCAAGTTATACTTCAATAAGAGGACTTTATAACAATGAGAAAGCCCACAGGAGGTACACAAAGCAAATGCTAAAACATCCTGAAAGGCACAAAGGGGCCAGTGGGACAGAGCTACTGGAAAGGACAACACAGCCTCATAAAGCTGTTAATTATTCCCATTTAACTTAGAAACTTAGTACAAACAAGCAGGTTCCAAAATTTAAAAGGCAAACGAAACCATTACTGGGAATTAGACAATCAATGGCGTGCTGGTGTAGGTGGGTGGGGGCTGGCCCTCCCAGGTGTTAATACAGAATACAGCCCCACGTCAAAATGTGGCCCCCGTGCAGGACTCGGGAGCCCTAATGCTGCCTGAAAATCTGAGTTGTGACCAGACCTTTCCCTGAAAGGACCTCAAATCTAAGGTGAAAGATGCCGCTGGAGAGGCTCTGGAAGCAAGTGAGTGAGCTCCTCTTCCATCCTGTTTATGTGAGAAACGGCGCAGAGACCGTGTCTGCTTCAGGTTGGCAGGTGTCTGAAAGCTCCCCGGCTACTGCTGATGGAGCTTGGGAGCGGGTGCTGATGGGATGTCAACAGCACTAGGGAGGTGGGAACGGCCCAATAAAATCTCAGACCTGTGTGCCAGTTGAGCCAGCAATTTCATTCCTGGCACCAACGCTGAAGCTAAACCAATAAACAAAAGACATAAGCCCAAGGTCAAGCCTCAGAGAGTCCCCGAAAGCCAAAGACTGCCAACAGCCTAATGCCCTTCAGTGGGGAGGGGCGGGGTGAGAATAAAGACAGAATAAACGCCACTCAGTGGAACACTATGCAGCTCAGAAAAGAACAAGGAGGACCTGCTTCTATAACCATTTCTCCTAAATGGTTAGGGGGAAAAGCAGGAAAGAAAGGAGGAGAAGCAGTAACATACCCATTTATATTTGTTTCTTTGTACCAAAAGACACTTCAGAAGGTTAAATGCTTTTCCATAATGGGAAGAGCAATTTAGGGAAAAGGAATGGAAATGAGAATTCTGCACCTTTCTTCTCTCCCTTTCCTTTTTTTAAAAAAAAAGTTTTGACTTTCTAACCACCTGAAGATTTTACACACTTAAAAAACTGAATTTAAAAAGTAAACCATCATCTGGCTTGTGTGGTTCAATGGTTGAGCCAGGAACCAATGGGTTACTGGTTTGATTCCCAGTTGGGGCACATGCCCGGGTTGTGGGCTCAATTCTCAGGGGAAGCATGCAGAAGGCAGCCGAGCATGTTCCTCTCTCATCTGTGTTTCTCTCTTTCTCTATCCCTTCCTCTTTCTCTAAAAATCATTAAAAAGGTATTTTTAAAAAATAAAAAAGCCAACCCTGAATCAAACTGTACATTGAATTGGTGACGTGGAGGAATATAAGGCAGGGGAAGGATACGTAAACATGTATATATTAAAAATTTTTTTGCAGTTATTTCCCACTTGAAGTAATCCATCTGTGTGGTTTTTGCAACTTGATACACTGGTAAGATCATTTGGTTTTTGATTTTTAGGAATCACCTTTTATCTTTTTCCATTTTTTGATTTAATTTTGTTTTATACTAATGAAAAACAATTTAATGGTTTCAAAGTCAAGTGAAAATTTCAAAGATTAGACTGAAACAAACCATAGCCTACAAAATAAGGTTCAGTCCACAATGATTGGCATCTGGCCCTTAGCCATGTCCTCTGCCTCCCCGAGAGCTAACCATGTGATTTATCTTCTGATTTCTCCTCCCATTGTGTGTGTGTGTGTGTGTGTGTGTGTGTGTTTTGTTTTTAACATAAATGCTATTTTGGACAGTGGAAACAGTTGACAATCTAGGATGGTTATTACTCCCTCCATGGAATATTCTGTTGCTGACAAAACTGACCACCAAAAAGATAGTCAGTGACCTGGAAAATGCTTCTGATACAAGACCGAGAGAACAAAGAACAAAGAACACCAGATTGTCTCGTCTCTACAAAGTCAAACAAAAACACACAGCAAGATTAGAATGAAACACACCAAAAACCTAATAACAACTGCATTAGGTGGCAGGATTAGTCTTTTTCCTCCTTTCCCTCTATTTTCTTTAACGTAATCCTATATAATAGAGCTAACATGCAAATGGTCATCACACCCTTGCACCAGGGCCGGGGGACCTGAGGCCATGACCCCACCTGGTGCCGGGCTGGGGGTCCTGAGGCCGCGTCCCCGCCCCGGTGCTAGGCCAGGGGACCTGAGGTTGCGCCCCTCACCCAGCGGGGCTTGACGGGGGTGGGCTGTTGAGTCTGGGTCTCACGTGATTTCGAGGCACACTCGGGTGGGTGGGGACTTGACTCTGGGTCCTGTGGCGTGCCCCAGACTCTGACAGGAAAGAGATTTTCATATACATTTTACTAGTTTTCTATCATCTTGACACTTCTATTATAGAGAAAGAGCAAACAGCAATATTAAAATATTTCCTCTAATTAATTCCCTTTCAACGTGCATGAATTTTGTGCACCAGGCCACTAGTTAAATTATAGATTTGAGGAAAATTGTGATCATAAAAAAATTCAAGGCACTAGAATGACTGTATGCGCAGCTTCTTTAACTCAGCTGGGATTGTCCTCAAGCCCCACCGAGGTTCAGATAGAGGAGAACGTGGGAAAGCCGTGACCAGCAGGAGCACACACCTGCCTTCCATGCTCTCTAGGCGCTATACCTGCAAACTCAGACTTCAGTGCTCAAAATACTGTTCACATGCCAGGCAGCCGCGCCGGCATCAATAGCAGAGCTGGCACAGGGCATAAAGCGCTGCATGTTCCTGGAGCTGGATTCCCGAGACCATGCAGCTCTGGCCTCAAGGCAGTCTGTTCCCACCACAGTGTCAGAGGAGGAGGAAAGGGAGGGAGGGAGGGAGGAGGGGAGGGAAGAAGGGAAAGAGGGAGGAAGGGAGGGAGGGAAGGAAGAGAGGGCTCTTTACTGATGCTGAAGAGGAAGGTGGTGAGGGGCCCACAAGGCTGAGCCAGCCTCTGAAAGCCAGCCTCTGCTTTCCCAGAGGCTCATTTTCCCTCCTTGTCCAGACAGCTCCTCAGCTCCTCGCTCCATCCGGACCCTCCAGAAGCTCCAGGTGGGGATCCTAGCCTGTGCCCTGTCCCAAGGTTTGGGGGTGTCCCACAGCTGCCAGGCCACAGGGAGCATGTGGAATGTGGGTGGAAGTCTGGAGGGGGCACCCTGCTGAGAACAGAGCTTACTGGGAAGGACTTGATGGACCACACGATCTCGCTGTTTTCAGGGACCCATTTGACACTCCCCACCGTTGTCTTGAACTTGGGCGAGTCGGCGTCATTGGGCACAGGGATGTGGATCTCCACGTTGTTGGCTGTTGACCGCCGCTTGAATTGGCTCTTGGCCTAAGGAAGAGGCCAACATGGTCAAGGTTGTAAAAGGTGAAAGGGAGACAGCCGAGCCTCCACCCACCCTGCACCCCTTGGCCTGGTCTATGGGACCCTCCACCAAGCTGACCCCAACCCCTTGAGAGTCCCCCTATGCTTGATTTTGAAAATTCAATTTCTATCTTCTTATTCTATTGGCCTTCAGGGCTCCCCATCCCTCCCTCTGTCCCAGCCCTGGCCTCCCGGGACCAGGTCTGTGACCCACAGCTGGCCAGGGCTGGCCACTAAGTAGCAGGAGAGCTCGTCTGGCAGGAAGTAGCCTTCCTGGATGCCCGACATGTGGCCACTGACATGATGGCCATGCCCAGTACCTGGGCAGTGTGTCTCCTCTGTGCCCGGCCCACTCCCGAGTCTCAGCTCACAGTGAGGCAGCAAGGATGACAGCCACAGGCCTCACTCCCTGGGATGGAGTCACTGAGCCCCACAGCAGCCCCAGCCTCGTGTTAGAACTGTGCCAAAGGCCCTGGACAGGCCAGAGACAGAGAAACACCCTCACCAGGAAGGACTGTCCCGTCCCCAGGCTGACTGTCCACATGACAAACACCCACCTTGATCATGTACTCGATGCGGCTGTGGGAATGCTTCTCAATCACTGACTCGATCCATATCAGGGGCTTGACCTGTGGGGACAGTGGAGAGGGCACTCGCTGGCTGTTTTAGAAAACCCCGTTCACTGAGCGGAGGCGGGCCCAGGGCAAGGATCGTCCACCAGGTGTGAGCGCGACACACGCTGCCCGGGGCCCTAGCAGGAGTCCGGCTGCACCAGGTAAGCCCAGGACAGAGACCCAGGTCTAGGAGATGCCAGGGCCTCTGTGAAAATGCAGAGACCCTCATTGGTGGGGGTTCCAGGAGGAGCAGCGATGCCATAGCAGCCTGGCCCCTCCCAAAGTTTGGGTCTTCAAACACAGGGTCCCCGTGCCCACCCTGAGTGTCACCTCATGGACACGAGCCTTGTCCTGGACAGGGACTGCTCCAACCACAGGAAGGAGACAGGACCCGCCCCCACCCCACCCCACCATGGAGCCCCCGCGCTGCTGCCCAAAGCTGAGCGCCAGCTCTGGGGAGAGGAGCCTGGCGCACTCACGTGGGTGTTGAGACGGTAGGACATGAGCTCGAACTCGCCGTCGGGCGGGATGAAGGAGATGGTGCGGTCATTCTCGAAGCGGGAGAGCCGCACGCACTGGTGGAACTTCACATCCTCCAGCTCCACGGACTTGCTTTTGCCGCCTAAAGGGGGGAGGGGTAAGGACCCGAGGCCTCTGTGCACTCTCAGCAATGCTCCCACGGCCTGGGCCCACCCTGGCAGAGCAGAGCTGCCCCAAATCTGCGAGAGCATCTCAGGCCACGAACACCAAAAGGGACCTGGTTCTGAGACAACCCTCCACCCCACCCCTATCCCTCCTCACCCACATGGAGGCCCCCCCTCACATCCCGACACTGGGCTCATGCTGAGGGAAGGGCTGGCTGGCCTGGTTCACACCACGTCATCAGGTAAGGTGGCTGCTTGGGATATGTTTGTTGAATGACTAACAAACCCAGTTGTGTGTGTGTGTGTGTGTGTGTGTGTGTGATGATGGCTCGGGGCTCCGAAGGCTCTGGCCCCATTGACCCCGTGGGTTCTGGAGTCCTGCCTTGGTTTCCCACCCCAGAGAGCTGTGTGGGTCAAATCCAGCCCCCAGAGGAGCTGTCCTGATGGGCATTCGAATGCCTGAGAGGCCCCGACCACTGTTGCTGTGAATGTGATTGACTGCTCCCGCTGCTGGGCCTGTGGCAACCGGGAGGCGGGTGATCCAGTTTGCAAATACAAAGAGCCAACAATCTGGACCCCTGAGGCTGCTCTGGCCCTGCCCCACACAGGAAGTTCTACTTCTAGGCCAGGTCCCTCCTATTAATTTATTACGCATTAATTTTGGTTATCATTAATTTTTTAGGTTAATTTTCATAGCCGTCGTGTAAACGGTGTGGAAGCATTTCCAGGTGCTTGGGATCGCGTGTTCCTTCACTCGGTGACCATCCCTCGGCTCTGACCTGAGCCCAGGACACAGCTCGGAGCACAGCCCCGGGGCCGGTACTCACGGCCTGTGTTGTCGAAGAGGACTTTGTCGTTGAGGCCCAGGCGCAGCTCGGGCATGCCCGAGAGGAAGACCCGCATCTTGATGGAGCCCACGATCTCGCTGCGCAGGACGTTGCCGTTGGCACTGACCTGTGTGTGTGTGGGGGGAGGGGGGGTGAGGGGAGGTCCCGGCTCGCCAGCCGCTGTCCCCCACCATGCTGCAGGACTCTCCTGCCACCTCCATTCTCGATGCCCTTCTCCTGTCTCCTGAGCTGGGAGCCTCATCCCATCCAGCCCTCGTGCCAGGGTCAGTGAGGCAGACACTCATGGGTCTTACCCTTAAGGCCTTGGACCACACGAGCTCCTCCCTCATGGACAAGCCTGGTGGCCGGGCCTGGCATGCTGTCTCAGGCTCTCCCATGCACCGTGCCCTCTCAGGAGCCCCAATGCCTCGGGGTAGACCTGGCAGCTCCTCCATGTGGGGAGGCCACCAGGCTCACATCCCTGAGGGCTCGTTAAAGATGGAGCTTCCTAAGCCCTGAGCCCTCCCTGCTCCCTGGGCTGCCCTGAAGTCCAACCACGGATCCAAAATAACAGGGAATCGGGGTTCACACGGATCGAACAGTGTCCCTGCACCAGGCACCCTCCTGTACCCATCAACAGTGTGGGGCTGGGCTATGGCATGAGCAACTCTATAACTCATATGCCAACCGGGAGGTATCTCCCTTCTTCATCTATCTATCTATCTATCTATCTATCTATCTATCTATCTATCATCTATCTATCTAAAGTAGAAGGGAGGGAGGGGGAGAGAGAAACATCAATGTGAGAGAGATACATCAATTGGTTGCCTCCCACATTGATTGGTTGCCTCCTGCATACCCAGACCTGAGCCGGGGATTAAACCTACAACCCAAGTACATGCCCTTGACTGGTAATTGAACTTGCAACCCTGTGGTGTGTGGGCTGATGCTCTAACCACTGAGCAACCAAGCAGGTCTAGAGCTAATCTCCTTGAGTCCGCTTTAGAGAAAAGGACACTGAAACAAAGAGGGGGGAGTCATGTACCAAAGGAACAGAACAGCCACAGCCCTAACCACCACCCCGGAGTGTCCCTCTGCACAAGGCCACACGGATACCAACAGCGAGTCTGAGGCACCAGGGCCATTCCTCCAAGGCGCCAGCCACATGGTGGAGGGCCCGAGCTGCCTGTCTCTGCAGAGGAGAGGAAATTCTGTCCTAATGAGTGTGCCAACAGCACCACATGCCCACATGAAAGCCTTTGCCTCTAACGGGAACAGAGACATGAGGTGCCGAGTGGCTGAAGACCGTGAGAAAGGCACCAAGCAGGACAGAAGGCCCTACAGGTTCCAGCTCCATCACCTCTATCACTTGCTATACTCTGGCCACTCTGCCTCCCCTTGTCCTCGTCCCAGCAGGCAGCTCCCTGACCTCACAGGGCCCAGCAGCTGCCACCTCCCCAGCCTCTCGCCAGCCTGGCCGCCTGTCTCATCCCCTCTCCGGTGAGGGGCTACGCCGAGCTGCTCACTGCCGGGTCAGCAGGGAGACAGCCTGAGGACAGGAGGCTCTCAGCAAGCGCGGCAGATGTGGGTCCTCTCTTTGCAGGCTGGCTGGGAGCTACTCACACCTGCTTCAATCCATGGCCCCCCGTGCTCCCCATGACTGTGCCTGGCCCTAGGTCCCCTTCTCGGGGGGCTGTTTCCTCCTTGGGGAAGTGAGACCGCAGGGCCTTCTGTAACTAACCAGAGGAAGTCATGATTGCTGGGAGGGAGGGCCAGGAAGTGGAGACAAAAAGCCACAAAGCCAGAGGCTAATCTTGGCCCTATGGGCGGCAATCACGACAAATTGCCCTTTCCAGCTGAGGTGTGACAGGTGGCCCAAAGCCAGTGCCTTCCCTGGGTGGACAGAGATGTTTGCTGAGGGATCAGCTGCTGAGTGCCCCACTCCATCCAGATTTCCGGCATCTGGAGGCCAATGTTGGCTCAGCTGCCAGATCTGCAAACACACTTAGGAATAAGGCTTTCTAACGTGCCTAGATGCCCACACCTGCCTCTGTGCACGGAGGAACAGGTTCTTCAGGCACAGCCCCCAAACGTACCCCCAGACCCTCTGAACGCTCAGGCTTTCCCACGCAGATCGTTATAAAGTGCTCTTAGGATTTGCTTTCCCTCCCAGAACCAGATGTTTTGTTTTCAATAAAATGTCAGACCAAGGTCTCAGGCAGGAGGGAACACAGTTATTAGCAAGGCTACCATCTTGCCCCTTGGCTTAAAAAGAAAGAAGGCAGCCTGGCTGGTGTGGCTCAGAGGTTGAGCATCGACCTATGAACCAGGAAGTCATGGTTGGATTTCTGGTCAGAGCACATGCCCAGGCTGTGGGCTCAATCATGAGTAGATCAATGATTCTCTCTCATCACTGATGTTTCTTTCTCTCTCTCCTTCTCCTTTCCTCTCTGAAATCAATAAAAAAAATAATTTGTTTTTTTGTAAAAGAGAGAAGGAAGGTAAGTACAGTCATATTACGTCTGCTGGGAGCATCTCTTTGGGAAGCTCTCTCAATGCCACATCTGGGAGCTCAACCTTCAGAAATCATGCCCAGGTCAGGGAGATGTCCAGAACGCACGTCTGAGGATGCGGAGCACGCTCATTTCTCCACTTTCTGTCATAATCAGAATGGGTGTACCTGAGTAAGCCAATGACGGCCTGGCCCAGTCATCATGGACCACCCAAACAGTAGAGGCAGGACATCTCCGATGAGGAGACAGGCAGCGTGTATGTGAGGAGGAGTTGGCTTGCATTCTTTCTCTGTCACCAAATTCAACTACAAAACCTGGGCATGAGGCACTGGCAACTACGTGGGAAGACTGGGAAGTTCAGTAGGAGAACCAGGAGCAGTGCCCCTCCCCCATGTGGAAGGGTGAGGAGCCTGGAAGTAGAAGTGAGCATCACCAGGGTGCAGACTGAGCTCTCGGAAACCTCTAGCTTTGCCTCAAGGGAATTTCCTGCCACTCACTTCCCTCACTTCTGCTATCTCATGTCCCAGGCCCCAGGCAATGCAATGCAGCTGCTCTTCCAAGAAGTGGGGCAAGCCCAGGATGCAGGCTCAGGCGCAGACAGTGAGACAGTTCGGGGATCTAGAGCCCAGAATAAAAAAGGGAAGCCCCAGGCTGCTAGAAAGTAGCAGGCAGATATATCTGTAGAATAAAGTCACAAAGGAAGTCAACAAATTCTTAAGTGAGGTGGGCTTTCTGATTATGGAGCCTTCACTTTCTAACTTTATTCTTCTTTTCTAAAACAACGTCCATCTCTTTATTCTAAGTAAGAACAAAAGCTCACGAAGATAAAACAAGCTCATGTTGCAATGAGTAGCCCCAACTGAATCCTGCTGATCATACAGAACCTAACTATTTCTCAGGACTTTGCTAATTTTAAAAGTCTAGTAGCTTTTACAGCAATCATGGAGAAGACAACATTTTAAAAAATAAAGAAGCCTACCAAGAGGTTGACAGATTCGATGACGTCCAAGAACACCTCGTTCTTCCGGTACTTGATGCCCTCGGACCGCCAGGACACTGCGTTGGTGACGGTGGCGGGGGGCCGCGGGGCACCCGTCTCCAGCTTGTGGCCTTCCTGAGTGATGTACCTGTGAGACCATGCTCAGTGTTAGGCAGTCAAGCACCCACATTCTTAAAAACTGCCCCTCACCGTAGCAGGCTCCAGAAAAGACAGGCTCTGGTTTCATCTATGGCTGTTTAATTCAGGAATATCTTAAATTTCAAAAAGCCCAAAAAACTCATTACCATGAGCACTGAACATTCATTTGGGGTGGGGGGGGGGCGGGGGCAGTTTGAAGGAAACAGCGCTGGTGAGGAAAATCACTACTGTGCAGAGGGGCATTAACCCCCTGGTCAAGTAACCTGGGGACCAACAGGTACGAGACGTGGGCAAGTCACATGGCTTCTCTGAGAGTCCTTCTGCTCCCTGGTACAATGGGAGACAGACCTCTGATGGTACAATGGGAGACAGGCCTCTGATGGTACAATGGGAGACAGGCCTCTGATGGTACAATGGGAGACAGTGCCTCTGATGGTACAATGGGAGACAGGCCTCTGATGGTACAATGGGAGACAGTGCCTCTGATGGTACAATGGGAGACAGGCCTCTGATGGTACAATGGGAGACAGGCCTCTGATGGTACAATGGGAGACAGTGCCTCTGATGGTACAATGGGAGACAGTGCCTCTGATGGTACAATGGGAGACAGGCCTCTGATGGTACAATGGGAGACAGGCCTCTGATGGTACAATGGGAGACAGGCCTCTGATGGTACAATGGGAGACAGGCCTCTGATGGTACAATGGGAGACAGGCCTCTGATTGTGAGTGGAGTGGATGCTAAGTGCTCACACAGGGCACAGTTCACAAGAAGTGCTTAATCCACAGTGGCCATTATTTGAAGAGCAGGATTCCGGAAAAGGAGATATTTTATCATAGCCTCCTTTGTGACAGGAAAAAACAAAGACAGGTGACTGACACCTAACCACCAAGCAGTTAGTGCACCTTTGTGGGTGGAATATAAAGACCCAGCAACAGGAAAATGCCCATCCTATGCAGGGCTGCTGCACAGGAGAGGATCCCAAACTGCCCACTGTGTAACCCCCAGGTCCCCACTCTGCCTACTCACTCCTGCAGAATCTTGCTGTCTGTGGTCTGGGGGTAGCCAAAGTCCATGAGCTCATCCAGCAGCTCGTAGATGATGACAAAGTTGTCACGGATGCTCTCCTCCTCCAGCTCTTTGAAGTACTCTGAGAACACCTATGATGTTGGCAGTGGGGGCAGGCAAATGGGTGAGGGAAGGATGAGGAAATATATTTGCCTTTCACACCGAGACCCAGAGATAACAACCCTTTTGTGCCCACAGCTGCACTTGACCACTTTCTAGGCTTGGCAACATACTACAGCCTAGACCTTTGACTCAGGGAATGAGGGCAGCACTGTGGCTACCTGAGAGGCGGGAGCCAGGCTAGGGGATGCAGGCGTCCTCAGAGGCCTGGTCAGAAGCCCCACATCTGCATCCCTGCGGCCCCTTCCCAGCTTCTCTTTAGTCCTCACTGTAACTGTCATCCTTGGCCTCTGAGTCAGGTGACTCAAGTGAGAGGCAAGAGCCACTTGGGACAGAACAAGCGATGCTTCTGGATCTTCCGGCCTCCCTGAGTTTCCAGTCTGTATAGCTGTGCAGGCAGATACATCCTCTCCGTTTCAGCAGGAAGTTATAAGGCTCAAGGAAGGAATGCCCAGGAGAAATGTTTCATTAGCACTAACTCCAGAGCAGAGAGAACTGCCAGAAGCAGAACTTCCTCCTTCCCACTTCCCCGTTCCCAGGCCTCGCTTGCACAGCACCACCACTCAGGAATGAAAGCCCACTCTTTGCTCTCCCCTCCCACACCACGTGCCCTCACTGTCAGACTGGCACTGCGTCTGAAGGCTTAGCACAAGTGGCTCCTGAGCTAGCTGCACCTGGTACCACTGGAGCTATGAACGCTTTCCTGGGCCCACCTCAGGTCTCCTGGGTCCCACTCTCCACTTTCTCACCCCAAACCTCAGCTTCAGCCTGGCCCTTCCATTTCTCCTCTACCAGCTGCAGTGACCTCCTCACTGGCCCCCCTGCTGCCCTCACATTCTTTCTCTACAGCAACCAGAGATTGATCATCTTTTTTTTTTTTTAAATATATTTTATTGATTTTTTTACAGAGCGGAAAGGAGAGGGATAGAGAGTTAGAAACATCGACGAGAGAGAATCATCGATCAGCTACCTCTTGCGCACCCCCTACTGGGGATGTGCCCGCAACCAAGGTACATGCCCTTGCCGGAATCGAACCCGGGATCTTTCAGTCCGCAGGTTGACGCTCTATCCACTGAGCCAAACCAGTTTCGGCCAGAGATTGATCATCTTAACTTAGATCAGTCTGAACAGTCTTTGCTTAAAGCCCTCCCAGCATCTCTCATCACACTTGGAATGAAATCTAAACTCACCAGGTCTGTATGCCTCTCCACACCCCACCGTGGTCTAGCCCTAACAACTTTGCTGACCTCAGCCCGACTTTGTCCCTCATTCCCTATGTCCTGGGCACGCTGGCTTGCCTGATGCTCCCTGTCAGCACTACATGCACACCTGCCCCAGGGCATTTGCACATGCCACTCTGCCTACCCATCTCGCTGTCAGCCTAGGCCTGGCATGTCAGCTCTCTCCATGGCGGGCCTCTGCTGTGAGAGCCCTGAGGAGATTCTGAGCAGAGCTTGGCTCTGCCCTTCTCCCAATTACCTCACCTCTCCAACCCCTAACTCTCAGCCGGCTAGCCTCTACCGTTCCACAGCCAGCTGGGGGCATACTTGTTCCTCCGGGCTAGGGGGCACCCCTGCCCTGAGCCTCACCTTCTCCTGTTCACTTTTCTCACCAGGGGGACAGGGCGGGGGGGAAGAGTGGGGATAACTAAGGCGACGAATCCCATACATGGGGCAGCTGGAGCTGCCCTATAGCTCTTGAATGGCTGGTATGGGGTGGATCAGGGTGACCCTCAGCCCTCTGTGGTCCCTGTGGCTCGACTCACCTGCACCACCTTATAGAGGAAAGAGAACACCAGTGATACGCACGCATTCTTCTTGGAAGTGGCGACCACTGTATGGCAGCTGTGGTTAAGGAGCATTCTCAAGCTTAAGCTGTCACCTGACAGATCCTGGGGCTTGGAGCCTCCCTGAGCTGTTCACTTCTCCTCACATTGAAGGTGATGTCCTGTGAGACCCTGAAGTATGCACCCTGCTGACTCCTCCCACACATCCCTTCCCCATCGTCCAACCACCCGAGTGCCGCGCCCCCCCCCCCCCCCCCCCCCGCAGCTTCTGGAATGAGCCCTGCTTCCTTGCAGAGCCTTCGCTCAGGCCTAGTGCTCCTCGAGTCTGACTACTCCTCTGGCTGGCAGGTGCCTTGCCTGCCTGCAGGTCTCCTCCAGAATGCCACCTCCTCAGGGAAGTCTTCCTGGATCCCCAGATCAGGTGATGTCCCATCACACCCCCTCTTCTAACACCCATCACCCTTGTCATTGTGTGTTCTCTGCCCATCTCCTCAGGCAGCAGGGAGCTGCAGGAAGGCTGTGCCTGGGCACTCTGGGCCGTGCCAAGGCAGGCGCTGGCAGCTCTGTTGTATGCGTGAGCACACAGGTGCATACACACATGCCCACAAAGGATCCCCCAGGAGCTCCTGCAGAGAGATACAGTACAGGTTGTTGTGCTTGATCCACATGAAGCGGACGCCCCCATGGGCCAGGATGGGCGACAGCATCCCCTCCTCCTCCTTCTCCATCAGGATGGGCATGAAGTGCTCCACTTCCGACATGTCCACATCACCGCGATAGTTCCGGCAGATGAGCACCTGGCGGGGCAGAGGGAAAGAAGACACTCAATTCGAGTGCCTGGGGCAGGGGTGAGCAATGCCAGCTTCCCTCCCTCAGGGGGCCCCATCACGCCCCTATCCATCAAAGAGCACAGGCTGGAGGCCATCTGATTGCCATACCCCAGGGAATTCCTCCAGGAGAGTGTTTCCCAAGTGAACTTCTACAGCGACCAGCAGGGTGTTTGCAGGGGAGGGTGGAAGGCGATGTGGGGGCAAGGGCCCAGGACTGAATTGCTTGGGTGACACCAGGTTCAACAATATTCCATAGACTCTCACTGCAGACCTTCTCAGAGCCTTTCCTGTGCTAATTCACCCTGCTCTTCTGCCTGGGTCAGGGTACCTATTTGGGGGGCACTGCTGAGTGCTCACATCTCCTGGAACCCAACCACCCTTCCCACCCCATTCCGTAGCCTGAAGAGGGGCCCTTCTCCTGGCATCTCTCTTTCATAGCCTGTGGGTTTAGATATGTCCTCACCCACTACTGATGGGAACAAAGAATAGAACCACCATTTCAGTAAAGCTTGGCAGGTTCTCACAAAGCTAAACCAGCTTGTGACCCAGCTATTCCTCTCTTATGTTTTTACACAAGAGAAATTAAACCATATTGTACATGTGAAGATTCAGAAGTGAATGTTCACGCAACTTTATTTCCAATGGACCCAGGCTGGAGATAATGTTAATGTTCAACATGTGAACAGGGACACAAACCATATCCATCCATAGCATGGGACACTCCTCAGCCATGCAAAGGAGTGAAATGACACATGCAACAGCATGAAGGAACCTCAGGATGACTGGGCCGTGTGAAAGAAACCAGCAAATGGAAAATACTTATTTGTACAAGAAAACAATAGGTAAACACCTATACTCATTGCCTCCTACAACCACATCAAAATTACAACTAAAATACAGAAAAACCATCATTCAGAACTGCCTAAAAGCAGCAAGAGAAAAGCAGTTAGTTACCTACAAAGGAGCGCCCATATGACTGTCAGCTGATTTCTCAACAGAAACTTTGCAGGCCAGAAGGGAGTGGCAAGAAATATTCAAAATGATGAACAGCAAGGACCTACAACCAAGATTACTCTAGCCAGCAAAGCTATCATTTAGAATTGAAGGCCAGATAAAGAGCTTCCCAGACAAGAAAAAGCTACAGGAGTTCATTGCCACCAAACCAGTATTACATGAAATGTTGAGATATTCTTTTCTTTCTTTTTTTAAATATATTTTATTGAATTTTTACAGAGAGGAAGAGAGAGTGATAGAGAGTTAGAAACATCGATGAGAGAGAAGCATCGATCAGCTGCCTCTTGCACACCCCTTACTGGGGATGTGCCTGCAACCAAGGTACATGCCCTTGACAGGAATCGAACCCGAGACCTTTTGGTCCGCAGGCCAATGCTCTATCCACTGAGCCAAACCGGTTTTGGTGAAAGATATTCTTTAAGAAGAAAAAGAGAAGATTGGAGGAGGAGGAGGAGGAGAAAGAAGAGGAAGAGGAAGAGGAGGAGGAAGAGGAGACAGGTAAAAAAGATGAACAATAAAATGGCAATACATACATATCTATCAACAATTGAATCTAAAAATCAAAATAAACAAAGAAGAAATCTAATGAATAAAATAAACCGATGAATAAAATAGAATCAGAGGCATGGAAACATGGAACAAACTGATGAATCTCAGAGAGAAGAAGGGTGAGGGTGAGGGTGGGGGTGGGAAGAGATTAAACAAAGATCTTATATGCATATATAGTACATTACTTATGGACACAGACAATAGGATAGTGAAGGCCTGGGGCAGGAACCAGGTGGAGGAGGACAATGAGGGGGGGGGGGGGGAAACGGGGACATCTATAATACTCTTAATAAAGATTTTTTTAAATAAAAAATAAAAAATTTATATGTACCAAAAAAAAAAAAAAAAAAAAAAAGTGGAAACCAGCAAATACATGGCATATCCTGCACGATTCCCCTTTTATAAAATCCTGGGAAATAGGCTGGATGAAAGGGGTATGAGGAATCTTTGGGGGTGACAGAATGTGTGTTTATGGCTCCAGGGTATATACAATGCCTGACTTTTCAACTTCTGGGCTTTAAATACGCCAGTTTGTTACATGTAAGTCACACCTCCCTGAAGGAATAAAAAGGAGGTGTGAGGCTTTGGAGAGTCCACCTAGAGCCGCTGCCACTCTCGTGGGCTCACGAGGACAGCCAGCTGCAAAACTCAGAAATGCGCTGAGATCATCACTGAGCTGACAACCTGGGAACTGCCTGCCTCAGACCCTGAGGTTACATAACATGTATCATTGTCTTTATTGTTTCAAGCCAGAGGGGTGAGGGAGAAAACCTTCCTTTCCTAGTTTCTCTTTCCTGGCCTGTGGGCAAGTCTCAGGCCTCTTAGGGACCCAGCACCCAGTGGGTGAGATTGTGGGCACCCGGACCAAGCTAAGGGACTCCAGTGTACTCCCTCAGATACTCCTTGCCAAGAGTGTATACTGCCTCCTACACGGCCCCGCCGCGAGGGAGAACTGTTATTTTTACAGAGATTGCTGTGCCATGACCTTATCTTGGATTAGATGCAGTCTATGCAGGAGAGGTGGTGCTACCTGCCTGAGGTCACACAACAAGCAAAGCTGAGTCAGGATTCTAGCCCCATTTCTCAGTCCCTGCAGGCCCACTTCTGCTTGCTAAACACATTGTTTTTCTGAGCTTCCCAAGGCTACTTTCCTCCCCCAGACAACCAAATTTTGGGATCTAGCATGGAGCCCTGGGCCCCTGGAGTGCTCAGAGAGAGGAGGGGGCAACTTATTTGCTCACCCTCATCAGGGATGAACAGAGGTCTGCTCACTCAACAAGCACATACCATGTGTCCTTCAAGGTGGCAGTGTGCTGGGCCTAGGGACACACACGTGACCAAGACAAACAGTCCCTACACTGGGATACTTGCTTGGGGGAACTGAGGGCATTCCTGAGGATCTGACCTTCAAACTGAGGTCTGAGGGGACGGACGGGATATAAGCAGAGGAACCAGTGTGGCTGAGGCCATGGTGTAGAGGACACAGCCCATGGGGGGACCTGGGAGCACTGGTTAGGCGGAGTAAGGACAACCTCTAAGCTGGATGCCAAATAAGAGAACAAAGGGAGGAGAAGGCACCACTGAGGTGACAATCCCCTACCCCGGCTGTTGCTCTTAACCCATAATTCCTTCCCCATAAAGAGCGAGAAGGATCTTCTTTTTTTTGGAAAGGTGGGGGGGGGGATTTTTATAGTTTATTTGAGCTAAATTGATGACATGTCTAAAAGATCTCAAATGCTCCACGGGTCTTCTTAAACAGAAGTCAGACTTGGTCTTTCCTCTGCCGAAACTTTTACACACCCTCCAAGAAGTCAGACTCGGTCTCTGAGCAATCCACACCTGCTCCTGCCTCAGGGCCTTTGCACATGCAGTTCCCTCTGCCCAGAATGCCCTGGCCTGGCTCTTCTCCTTTCTCAAGCAGATGGCGCCTTCTCCAAGAAATCCACCCTGCTTGCTCTGGTTGAAAACTCATATCCCATCCCTCTTTACCCCCAGGCTGAGTTTACCTTCACTGCCCACATCACAGCTGCATTTATTTGTGTCCTCATTTATTGCCTGTCGCTCTACCAAAGTCCAACACTCCCAGAGAACAGCGACCACTTCCTACTCGTCCATGGCTGTGTCCCTCCATCCAGATCAGAGCCTGGCCCACGTAGCTGCTCAGTACGTGTCTGTGCAGTGAATGCGGAGGTGAGAAAAAGGAGGCCAGGATAGTGCCCAGATATCTAATGTGGACAGACCCATGGAGGGCAGCGTCACTCACTGAGGTAGAGAGAGAGCAGGTCATTTTGGGAAATGCCGAGTTTGCACTTGCTGTGGGACCTCCATGGTGTCCCGCAGGCCAGTGCATCTCCAGATAAGTATTCTGGACAGTACAAATTTGAGAGGCATTGGCACAATGACATAAATCAAAGCCAGCCCAAGAGGACAATCAGAGAGGCACAGCTAGGCCCAAGTCTGAGGACTGAATCCAAGGGAAGGGCAGAAGAGGAAGGGCCGGCAGCAGTGAGAGAAACAGGAGGGAAACAGAGTACAGCAACCTGGAGGCCAGCGGAAGCCTGCTGACAAGTGAGTGGCAGTGGTGTCAGAGCTGCAGAGAAGCAAGAAAGATAAGGGCCGAGAAGTGCTGTGGAGCGCTCTCTGTTAGCTAAGTATGGCCATGCTGGTTTCCTTCGGGATCAGAGGCTCTGGATGGCAGACGGATGTGTGGCTGTGAACTTCTTGATACGCCATGACCTTATTTTGGATTAAATGCAGTCTATCAGGAGGCAAACTTTCAAAACTTGCAGTTGGTGGAGTGTGGAAAAATAAATGACAGATGGCTGCTAAGGATGGGAGGGAAGCCCATGACTGCCTTGAGAGCTTCCACAAGGCAGGACTGACCATGCTTCTCCTGAGCTATAATCCCCTCACTGTGGCTCCTCCCTTGTGAGATCAAAACCTGGCCCATCATCTGGCTGATGATGTCCAGACAGAAAAGAGGGTCAACACTCAGAGCCCTCCTCGTGCCAAACTCCACCCACTAGCATTAAAAATTTCAGCTGCTCCTCACCACTGAAACCCGCTGCAATGCCTTCTTGTCCACCTGACTGTACCCTGGTCACCTCTCTAGCTCCTCCTGGAAGCACCATAACTCTCTCCAGGCAAACTTGAGGTTGGGTAACTGCATTACCTGGGGCCTTGGCCAGGCCCTGATGGCTACCTGGCTCTGACCATGTGGATCCGTGTGTTTCCCCTGCCAGACCTCAAGCCCATGTTGGCTAGTATGGACTGTGGGCCCAGAGTGGTGAAGGCACTTGCCCAAGGTCACATCCCAGAGCAGCAGAGTTTTGACCAGAGCCCTAAGCACACAGTCACGGTGAGATGGCTAGCACAGGGCCTGGTGTATGTTAGGTACTGCTGAAATGTTTGCTGAGGGAACAAGTGAGCTGTGACAGGCAGCCTGTGCGACCTCTGGGGACACGGGGCCAAGGTGGAAGCAAGAACGGTTGCTGCCAGGGACTTAGGAACCCACCTGGCACCGACCTAGCCTTGGTGAGCCTGGTGTCTTTCCTTGCCTCTAAGAAGGCCTGGGAAGGAAGTCCCGCACTGGGAATCACTGGCTGTTGACTCTGGGTAGCATCCAAGGCAGGCAACCCACTCAAGGAACTCTGGGAAAGAGCTGGGGTGAGAAGTGGGGCAGGAAGCAGCAGCCACTTCAGCGTCCCTCCCGCCTGCTTCTAAGCTAACTCCTGCCTGCCCCACCTAGGCTGGATACCCACAGTTGTCTCGCTGATCAGTGTGGGACGTCAAGTTTAATGTTGCTGTACCTGTTCTTGTTGCTCCTCCTTTAAGCAGCTTTTGCAGATACCCCTGGGCAAGGCACCTGGGTCCTAGTTATGTCCAACTCCTCCACCTTCCCGCCGGATCTGTCATGCCCTCCAGGAAGCCCTCCCTTACCCCAGCCCCGGCTGAGTCTCCCTATTACATCCTCACGGCAGCACTACTGCCATTTATATTTATTTGTGCTTTTAGAGATCTGTGTCACTCTCTCCCAGACTGTGAGCTCCAGAAGGGCGGCCCCTGATTCTGATTTTGCTCACTCAGGGCAGCCCAAGGCTTATCACGCTGCCTGGCACCTAGGGAGGTGCTCCTCCAATTATCAGCTGAATGAACAGACCGTTCTGGGTTCAACTCCTACACCTGCCACTCCTTTGTGACCAGTGTGACCTCGGTTGGTTCGCGGAACATCTCCGTGCCTCAGTTTTTCCTTCTGTGAAAGAGGTCTCCCGCCACCCACCCATTTCACCCAACCCTGGTAACCGAATGTTACCACGAACGTTAAAAAGTTCATACAGAGACTAGCACAGAGAAACAGCCGGATAAGACAAGCTGCCGCACCCCTAGAGGGCGGGACTGGCCCGAGGGCACATCGGCCGCGACACGCCTCCCCACCCCGGCCCCGGGTCACGCTCCCCGCGGCCCCTTCCGAGACCTGAGCCCCCGCCCACAGGGGAAGCAGGGTCGGGCAGATTGGCTATTATATTGGTTATATAACTGGGTGAGACCTACTGGTTTCTTTGCTTAGGACCAGGGTGGGTCCCCTGGCCGATTACCCAGTTAACAGGGTGGGTCCCCAGGGGCGAGGAACTCTCCGGTTGCTTGGCAACAGGGAGGGTGGGGAGCCCTCCGTACCTTGCCCTTCAAGTCCAACACGTAGACGGCACTGGCGGACATGGCGGTTGCGTGAAGCCTCGGCAGTGGCCGAGGGCGGCGGCGACGGCAAGAACTGCCGGGCGTTTGAGTAGGGCCAGGCACACCCTGCGACGGTTCGACTCCACTTCCGGTCCAGGGAGCTGCGCGCGGACCGTTATGTCCGGTAGGGGGAGGAGCTGCCAGGAACGTGCAGGCGCAAGGCGCAGTGTGCGCAGGCGCAGTACGCTAGATGAGACCTTATTTCACGCTCCCACCTAAAGCGTCGCGGAAGTAACACCTAGAAGGGCGGGGTCGGGCGGAGCCAATTGATACTGGCACACTCGAGCTGCTGTGGAAGACTTGGCCACTGAAACTGCATCCTGTGGGCTGTTAGGTGAGAGATCCCACTGATGGGTCGAGCCACCTGGGGCCCAGCCCTATGGAACACCTATTCTGATGGGGGAGTCTAGAAACAAATATACTGTATATGCAGTCACCAACTGGATACACATTAATGGGGAGGTGGTGGTTACTTGGAAAGAGGGCAAACAAATCCTGAATAGCAATCAAGCCTAACAGTCACTACCTGACACCTATTAGTGTCAGCATTAATCAGTGAACAAGAATATGTTTATTGCCTGGAATGACTTGAAAAACCACGCCCCTTTGCACTTGGGCAAAAAGCACGTTTTTATTTCTGTAGGTAGTGGCCACTGATGGGTAAGGCAAATTGTGACCCCCTGATTAGTCAATTGAATTGTATCTCGTTTGCTTTTATGAACATTTGGGCTTGGAAAAAAACTTGCGTTCTGTGCCAACGGACCATCATAGTGCCTTGGGGATCCCAATCCTGCAGTATTAGAACCATTTACTTGCCCTGCCTGCCTCTTGATTTTTTAATCCTTTACCTGAGGCTATGTTTTTACTGAATTTTTAGAGAAGGGAGAGAGACACATTGAAGTGAAAAATATTTATCGGTTGCTACACTCCGCTACCCCCCAGCCCTGACCTAGGGATGTGCCCTAGCAGGGAATCAAAACCACCACCTTTTGGTTACAAGTTGACAATCCAACCAATGGAACACCTGACCAGGGTGCCTGCTTCTCACTTTTGATCCCCCCTTCCCATCTCCATCTGGATCTTGAAAGTTGGCTTTTGCAATATATCCTCTGCTTAGGATAGAGATGTAAAGGCAGGAAAATCCAGAGAACACTAGAATATTTGAGCACTGCTAAGTAAATCCTGATTGGGAAGCATTATTGGACAATGCAGCCCATCATATATAATGAAAGGCTAATATGCAAATTGACTGAACCACAAAACAACCCGTCACTATAAAGAGCACTGACCACCAGAGGGCACTCAACACAGAACTGCCTCCTGGTGGTCAGTGGGCCAGAAGCTGGGCTCATGGCTGCTGAGTGCAGCAGCGGTGAGGGGAGCCTCCCCCGCCTCAGTGGCAGTGCTAAGGATGCCCATGGGGAGTGGGCCCAAGATGTCAGTTGGACATCCCCCAAGGGCTCCCAGACTGGGTTAGGGCACAGGCCAGGCTGAGGGACACCCCCCCACAAGTGCACAAATTTTGTGCACTTGGCCTCTAGTTTTCTTATAAGAAACACTTTTCACATAAATTACTTGTAACTTTTCCTCCTTATGTGGAGGAATTTGACTCATCTTCCATCTTTGGCATTTATATTTAAATATATAAGCCAGATTTCACCTCTGCAACATCTCAGGGGGAAAAAAATATTGTGGGCCCTAGCTGGTTTGGCTCTGTGGATAGAGCGTTGGCATGCAGACTGAAAGGACCTGGGTTCAATTCCAGTCAAGGGCACATGCCCCGGTTGTGGACTCAATCCCCAGCAGGAGGCAGCCAATCAATTATTCCCATCATTGATGTTTCTCTTCCTCTCCCTTCCTCTCTGAAATCAATAAAAATGTATTTTTTAAAAATATTATGGTAAATCTAGGTTTCTCAAAATTTGCTGTATATTAGGGTCACTTGGGGAGCTATAGAAAATCTGACAAGAGTTCCCTCCCAATATCAATGGTTTTTAATGTCTAATATTCAGCAGATTTGAGAGCCACTGTTAAAAACTGTAAGTGATGGCCACCGATAAACCATGTCTCCTGGTGTTCAGGCCTTTGAGTAGTTCCCTCCCAAACTAGGTGACATAAATTTTGTTGTCCAATGAAATAGCCTACATGAAGAGAAATCTCGAGGATAAGATACCACCTTTGACTTTCTGATTCCAGGCCAAGTCAGCAGTTATACAAGGGAACTAAACTACACCACATGGAGCAGAAGAACCACCCAGCTGAGCTCAACAAATCAACAGAATCAGGAGAAATCCTGTGGTTTTTAAGCCACTCATTTTTGGAGCAGTTCGTTAAGCAGGGAGAATTGGAATGTTTATCTTCCACATACTGACTTTTCACAGCATAACATGCTGGCTCCAACCACTGGCTCGTGGATAAAAGAATATCTGCAAGTGCCCTTGCCAGTTTGGCTTGGTGGACAGAGTGTGGGCTGGTGGACTGAGGGGTCCTAAATTTGAGTCTGGTCAAGGGCACATGCCAGAGTTGCAGACACATCCCCAGTGGGGGGCGTGCAGGAGGCAGCTGATCGATGATTTTCTCTCTTGATTGATGTTTCTATCTCTCCCTCTTTCCTCTCAAAAATCAATAGAAATATATATTTTTTTTAAATCTGCAAGTGCCTTTCCATCAGGTAATATGGGAGGCTGCCCAATGGAGCCAGTGGTCATGACAGAAGGTCACCTCTTTGGTGGGTTATGAGCCACAGGTGAGGACACATCTAATTTTATCCAAATTGAGAGCAAATAGTTGTTTGGCAGCAAACATCCTGTGTGTGCAATAAATCCAAGACAGAGTTTGTAGTGATAAACAACTTAAAATTAAAACACTCATACTTATATTAAATAACTGGTTTTGCTTTATTCTACAGTTCACATATGACAGCCCCAAACCCAACACTTAGATTTTTTTCTTCTGAATTTGTTGTTTCAGATGTATATCAACAGAGACCATTTCTTCCAATAGCATATGCAGTCTGATCCTCATGCAGTGGGGGGACATGCAGGCCCTCAAAGACTCTGGCTCTGCAGCACTGGAACCTGGGTCCTTTCCTGGGACTGCACCCTTGTCAGTCTGTGTGGGTCACTGCCCGAGGTCCGTTACCCTGAGGCGTCCTTAAGGCTGGGAATGCCAAACAGGTTTCATGAATGTGGCAACTCTGAACACACACTGGGGGTTGTCTGGAGCTCAGCGGTGAAGGTGGTGAGGCAGGAAGCAGTGTCTGGGTTCCATTACAAAGAACGTGGTACTTGACTGGCAATATCTGCCATGGCAACACCTCACCTGACATGTCTGGAATGGGAACAGGCTGCATGCCAGCCACTAGCTCAGCTCAGAAAGGGGCAAGGCGTTCATCCCATCCTTGCTTTGGGCAGTTATCCTCCCTGGCCAGCGGGGCTGAGGAGGCAGTCTGAAGGCCACAGCTGCAAATGGCTTCCCCAGGCCCTGGATGGAAGAGCATAAGCCCCAAGCAAGAGGGAACTTGAAAGGGCAGCACAGGCAGGGCCCCATGAGGGTCTGCTGCTTCTCCTCTGGGGACAGTTTCCTCCAGGCAGACAGCTGGTGGACTGTCAACATGAGTTAGATGCAACTTGGGTGTAAAAATACTTCCTCAAAAATCACTTTAAATCTCTGGGAAAACTCTCAATAATTTCCAGTCCAAACTAAAAAGCTTCATCTTCAATGCACTACCGAGAAACTAAAATAGAGTAAAAGTCTTACTTTAATCAAGTTCCAGAATGAGACCACACTGCTTAGAAAAGCACTGTCTCAGCAGAAGACACAGGGTGTACGTAAGAGTGTTCTAGAAAATGCCAAAGGCACCAAACATAACCCCAACCTGGCCTTCTGTTTCCCCTCGGTGCCAACCCATACTCTGGGTGAGGAGGCTACTTCGTCCAGCTGACTTTGGGAATGTCATAGTGCTCTGTGAGCGTATCCAGGTGTCTGTTGAAGTCCTGGGGAAGCGGAGAAAAAAGCACCAAGCAGGGTTACTAGAGACACATGGCACCACCTATCTCCACTTTATCCTGTCTCCCCTCAGTGAGCCACCTTCTCTTAAAGCCACCCTGCCAGGCCTTATAGCCGCCCGAACCCTGACCACTCCCTTCAATGACCCCAGGGAGGTTGGGTAAACCCACTCTCCGCTGACACTCCAGTGACTCCTCTGTCTGGCTCCATGCCTCTGGACCAGTGGGACCTACATGGCTCAGCCTCCCCGTATGGACACATGACTTACCTCCACTCTTTGCTTGTGGGTTTTGGAGGCTTTCTTCAGGATCCTTTCCATTTGCTGCAGAAGGAGAGAATGCAGGTGAGACACAGCCCAGGCTAGCACAGGATGGAAGATCGGAGCCCCAGCAGGCCTGGCTCTCAGACCTAGAACAGCTGGAGGCCTCAGGTCCCTCAAATCCACTCAGGCTGGTCTGACAGGGACACCTGGCTACCACACAACCCACTATTAACTCAGGTCAGCTGCCCTTTGGTCTGAGTGGCAGGAAATGTACTAGCACGACTACTACTGGGATCTATAGTGCTTTCCTGGACAATTAGCAGAATTCCCTTTCCCATTTTTCAGAAAAAGAAAGTCCCCAATGGGGTTTGATGAAGGATGAGAAATGAGCAAAGAGCCTGACATTAGTAGGCTTGAGCGACAGTATCCATCTAATGTTCACAGTGCCAGGAGGGCTACAAGATACAGATCACCTTCAAGAGTGATTCTAGCTTATGTATCCAGCACAACCATGGCCTGGCTCAGCATTCATTCCCAATACCCAATGGTACCTGGTAAGAGTGTGGAACGCAGAGCCAGAGAGACCCGGGGCTGCACCCTACACTACACTTATCAGCTAGGTGACTGTGGCCAAATCACATTGGTGGCCCACTCCTCCGCATACATCCAGAAACTGCTGCCTGGTATTCTTGGTCTTGTGCAGCTGTATGACTGCACTGACTCTGGACTGGCCCCATGACTCAGCTTACTTAACAGAACGTAGTGACAGGACTAGCCAGAAGCCATAGAAGACCCAACAACATTTGCTTTGTGCCCTTGGGAGCCAGCAATCCTACAGGAAGTCTGATGACCTCCCTGGAAAGGAAGGACCTGGCAGATGAAATGACATGTGGGGAGGGAGGCCACGGAAGGAGCATGAGGCACTGGACATGTGATGGCAAAGCCCTCTTGGATGTTCCAGCCCCCGCTGGGCCCCCAGCCCCACCTGCTATCTGCACCGAATTCTAAGCAAGGTCAGCAGAACCACCTAGATGAGCCAGTCAATCCACAGACCCAGAAGGTAATACTGTCAGCGGCCACCTTGCTGTTGCTCCCGGCCCCTCCTGTTTTCATTTGCTGCTTCTCTCCCTCTGCCTTGTCAGTTCCCAAATGAATGACCCTCCCTCCGAACTGTCTGCCCGGTCCATCCCTGCCTCTCTTCCTACTGCTGTGAGCCCACGTGAGACCCATGTGTCCTCACAAGAAGTTGAACTGACTTGAGCAGCTGTCACCAATGCCAGGCTCTGCCTTCTCTCTCCCAACTCCATGCACCAAGTTCACAGGGTATCTCGGTAGCTGTCACCATCTCCATTTCATACAGAGAAAATAAGAACCAGAGTGTACAGCGGGTGATGGGCCTGAAGGTATCAAGCCCTGACCCCTTCCAATAGGCAGGGGCCCTGAGCCCAGGAGCCAGGAGCTGTGCAGCCTTCTCTCTCCCTGTGCCCAATCAAACACCTTCCACCAAACGCAAGGGAATCTGCATTGCCCAACCGTGCCCAGCTTTGCCCACGCCTCTTTCCTCCCTCATCCACTTCACCCCTCTCTCTCCTGGGTCAAACAAAACTGACAACAGTACTCCTGGTTTAAAACACCAATAATAGGCCCACTTTTCTGTTCCCCTTAACAGTAAATCTCCAAGAGCCATTTCCATTCCTTGTCTCCACCTCTGCCTTCCCCACCTTCTCTTGGATCCACTCTAATCCACCTTTCTTTTTAAACTTATTTCTAATTATAGTTGACATACAATGTTTAATCGGTCTTTCTTTCTCCTCATTCTAAATGCCAACTAAGGGCTCTCAGTGCTTACCCCATAAGACCTCTCGGCAGCACAAGACAAAGCTGATCACTTCCTCCTCGTCAAAACACTTTCTCTGCTCAGCTCTCAAACACACTCTCTCCTGTTATTCCTCCTTCCCATGCTCCTTTGCAATTTCTTCTCTGCCACCCTCTAATCACCAGAGGAAAGACCTCACACCTCTTCTCAGGCACAGTCTCTCTTCAGGAGTTCATCCAGTCCCACGGCAATTTCCAATGTCTATCCGGTACCCACCTCTTCCCCAAACTGCAGATTCAGATGTCATCTAAGGAGGTGGAGGCCAGGGATGCTTGAAGAATTTGACTTTTCTAAAACTGAGATCTTAATACATTTCTTTAGAAACTTATTTTACCTGCAGCCCTTCCTATTTCAGTAACCAGTATCATCATTTACCCTGCTTCTCCTGCCAAAAATCTTGGTCATCCTTGGTTCTCCTTTCCCAGCCCACATCCCCAATCCATCAGTTGAAGGTATCTGGTTTTGGGGTATCAAAATCTACCCCAAATCAGATACCTTCCACTATTCCTGCCCGACCTTGTAGGTTACATTAGCGTCTCCCTATCCCACCTATGCTGATGGAGTAACAGCCCAGTCCTATCTCTGACTATAGCCTTAGGCGGGGACTTAGTGCATTCACTTGTTAAATTCACACCACAAACCAATGAGTTAGGGACTTCAACCCCATTTTACAGATGAAGAAACTGAGGTGTAGGGGATTAGTCAAATTGTCCAGAGTTACACCACAACAAACAGTAGAGACAGAGTGGAACCCAGGTCTGTATTGCCAAAGCCAGTGCATCTCACTTTTTCTTTTTTCTTTTTCACGACTGAATTAGGCCTAGGAGCAAAGAGTAAACTTTTCCCTAATGTCACTGAACCAAATCACTCGGACCACGGTTTCTCAGCCTGGGCACTACTGATGTTTTGGGCCACATCAGTTTTTCCTGTAGGGGGGGCTGTCTTAAGCACTGTAGGATGTCAGATGTCGGCAGCATCCCTGGCCTCCACCTCACTAGATTCCAGGAGCACCCAGCCTGAGTTACAACAAACAAAAATGTCTCCAAACATTGCCAACTGACTTCTTGGGGATGTAAGTATTGGGGGGAGGGGATGTGTGTGTGTGTGTGTATGTGTGTGCAAAATGGCCCTCAGTTGACAGTCACTGACCTAGACCTATTTTCCCCTTCTCCCAGCATAAGGGCCAAGCTTATCTACTTAAGGCTGATCCCTTCCATCCCCCGTTGCACACATTTATTAAGAGTTTAATAGTAAAATAAATAACAGACATTTGAATCTGCAAACAATGTTGACATGGAAACACTGTGGTGACTGACAACAGGGGGCAGGACCATTTAATATCAACAGCTAACATCAACTGAACATTGACTTCATACCAGACCCAATGACAAATGCAATATACTTGCATTTCAAAGGTCCCATCTTTCTTAAGAAAAGGAATCTATCTTGACTCCTAGAGATTAGAAAAACGAGGCCCAGTGTCACGGGACAAATAAAGAGATAGCACTGGGATCCAAACTCGGGTCGCCGGCTCTAGCTCCTTTCAACTCCACCTGTAGCTCTACCTTCCGCCGTCTACGTAGTGGGCTCTTCCCCTCACAAAGCATCTTCTCTCCCGGAATGAAGGTCCTCCCTGACTGCTCGCCATCCCTCAAGCGTCCGGGTTTCGAGTCCCTCAGCCCGCCCTACGCCTCCAATCTACTCCGGGAGACCCGTCCCCACGGAGCGGGGCATCCCCGGCTCGCCCCCTCCCCCCACACCCCCCCCCCCCGCGCCTCACCCGCTTTTCCTGCATCTTCTCGAAGGCCGCCTGGGCCGGGGTCCGCTTGTCCAGGCCGCGCCGCTTCTCCTCCTCGTTCTTTTTGCTCGTGCCCATGGCTTCCAGGAGTTTCGCCTTGTCTTTGTCCTTCTTCTTCTTCTTCCTGAAAGGGGAGGCGGGCGGTGGTGATGGGGAATGTGGGGTAAGATGGGGTCAGGGAGCAAGAGGCCAGTGTGTCGGGAAGTGGCTACGGGCGGAAGACGGGGGTTCCCCGCAGGCTCTTGGGACTCACCGCTTGGTCACGCCGAGCTCTGCGACGCCTTTCAGCTTCAAGGGCCCCTTTTGGACCTGCTCGTAGGCCGCCATGGCGATGGCTCGCAGATCAGGACGAAACTGCCACATTTCCTGTTTAGGAGCATCATATCCGGCCGAAATCCCGCCTCGCTTCGTCTTCATTGGCCGAGCTGGGCGGTGCTCATGCGCGTTTGGAACACTTCTGGGTTTGTGGGCGGGGCGGAGAGTCAGGCTCCGCCGCCTCCGCCAACACACTTCCGGCTTTGGCACACACTTCCGTTTCTCTACTCTTGCCCCCCCTCCCCTCAGTGAAGCCAGTTTGACAAATTCCACTTATTAAAATCTATCGTCTTGTTGAGTGTTTTGCGTGCATTTGGTTGTCGTTTTCTTTTATTGCCATATTTTGAGGGTTCAATGGGTAATGTGAATTTTAGTTTGTACTGCTGTTGCCCAAATATTTTTTGTTTTTTTATTTTATTTTTTATGTTGCCCAAATTGTTGAGGCTGGGGGTGGTGGGATGGGTGGGGGTTGGGGCTAGGAGGGGGCGGTGTGGTAAGAAGCATTCCCAAATATAGACGACTTGGGACAGTCTCGATGCTTGCATTTCCCAGTTCTACCTGCAGGAGGCAGCAAACGACCGCCCAATTCTCTAGCCGAGGCTCACCCTTGGGCATCCCAGAATTGGATGAGTGCCCAAAGCGAAGGATGCAGGCTGCCAGCCTGTGCCAGTTTCCGCTTGGGACCATGCGGGACAGAACCAACTCCTCCGAGAGGGACAGGGAAGACGCACCAGGAGAAATGTGTTCTCCCCCAGCCAACCCAGCAGCTGAAGGGCTGGTCCCTGGCGCTCCCAAGGCTTTTGTACCCTAGAGCAAGCGTCTTCATGTCTCTGACCTGCCCTTTCCTCATTAAATGACGATGATTATAACAACAACTAATACTTTATATGAATCATCTCGTTTCCTTCCCCACCTTATTACATAGGGAAACTGAGGCACAACTGAAATCCAACTTGTGCTGAGTGTTCCATCCTTGCTTTTGTCACTACCTGTTGTAAGTGGATGTAAATACCTTTAAGACAATATTTCCCCACCTTTTCCCCCCTCATTTTCATCCCCTTTTAGAAAAACAACTTTAATGAGAGAAGTTAAATACTGATTAATAAGATTTTCTCAGGGAAGATAAAGCTTTGGAGAGCCACAAACTATTGAATACATTTGGGGTGGAACCAAGACTTTTTGGTCCCACCCCAAACCACCTTTTGTCCATTTGGGGCTAATATTGCCCCCATTGAGGATTTTTTAAATCCTCACCCAAGGAATAGGATATTTTTTCCATTGATTTTTAGAGAGAGTGGAAGGAAGGGAGGAAGGAGAAAGGAGGGAGGGAGGGAGAGAGACACACACACACACATCAATTGGTTGCCTCCCAAATGGAGCCAGGGATTGAACTTGTAATCGAGGTATGTGCCCTTGACTGGGAATCCAGCCTGCTATACTCTAACTACTGTCAGCCAGGGCAATAATTTAAATTTTTAAAAAAATATATTTTATTGATTTTTCACAGAAAGGAAGAGAGAGGGATAGAGAGTTAGAAACATCGATGAGAGAGAATCATCGATCAGCTGCCTCTTGCACACCCCCTACTGAGGATGTGCCCGCAACCAAGGTACATGCCCTTGACCGGAATCGAACCTGGGACCTTTCAGTCTGCAGGCCTACGCTCTATCCACTGAGCCAAACCGGTGCCGGCGATAATTTAAATTTTAAGTGGAAAGGACTTATGGGTGTTTTCCATTTGGCTGTTACAGGTTTTTGTGTGAACATACATTGTCATTTATCTGGGCCTGCCCAAGAGTGCAAGTGCTGGATCACATGATAGTTATATGTTTTTATTTTATTTTATTTTATTGTGGTAAGAACATAAGAGATTTATCCTCTTATGAAATTTTTTTCATATGTTTTTTTCTTTCATTGATTTTTGGAAAGGGAGAGGGAGAAGGGAGAGAGAGATAGAAACATCAATGAGAGAGAAACATCAATCAGCTGCCTCCTGCATGACCCCTACTGGGGAACAAGCCTGAAACCTGGGCATGTGACCTGACTGGAACCCAACCAGCGACCTCTTGGCACATGGGACAATGCTCAACCACTGAGCCACACCGGCCGGGCTTAAGACATTTTTAGGTGTGCAGTACATGAATGTTGACTACAGGTGCAGTGTTGTGCAGCAGATCATAGAGCTTGCTCACCTTGCTTGGCTGTTTTGGTTGCATTAATGACCACTAGATCTTCAGAATTCTATGGTGTAGGTATTAGAGTAATTTCCACCTTATAACATAAGGCTCAGAGAGGTCAGGTGACTGGCCTGAGGCTGCACAGCTAGTGGTTGGGGAACTGGTATTTGAGTTGGGGTCTGCTTGCAACCCCCTTCTCCCCCACCCCATCCCCCCACCACACTACCTGCCTCTGGGAGGCATCCCCTGCTGGCAGGCTCACGCGGGGGTGGCAGGTGTGGTCTGAGGTTCTGTGACCTCCCACAGCCCTTCTCCTTGCCCTGGTGGCCATGGACATACTCAGGCTGTTGTCCAAAGCGCTGGGCTGTAACTTGAGTCTCCCCCAGGCTGGGGGTGATGGGGCGGGTGGGCGGGTGACAGCCAGGGCAGGGAGATTTTTCTCAGACACTGGTGTGAGGCAGCCTGGCAACTAGGTGGCACTGAGGAGACTGGGGGCTTCTGGGGCCTGTTCTTGGCAGTGACCTTCACCATGGGCAACAAGCAAACCGTCTTCACTCATGAGCAGTTGGAAGAGTATCAGGTAGGAGTGATGAGCGGGGCCCTTTGTGGGTTTGTCAGCCTTGGATTCCTAACCTGAGGAGGGGGACCGCATCCCTTGGTCCTGGGTGTGCAGGCACAAGGGCTCCTGTGTGCGGCATGGGCAGAAATGAGAACGGGGTGGTGGAGGAGGAAGGAGGCCCCCTGGGTAAGGCCTGGGCCAAGCCCACATCTCTCTCTGCAGGACTGCACCTTCTTCACCAGGAAGGAGATCATGAGGTCAGTCTGGGGATGAAGGGAGGAAGACCCTGAAACAACTTTCTATACTCTGCCTGCTGGAGGATGTTTGCAATTTGACAAGACCCGATGCTTTGCAGCAGAATGATAATTAATGTTCGGTAGATGGAGGTAGAGATAGGGAGGCTGAGAGGTCACCTCTTGTCATTGTCACGCCTCTAGACTGACAAACTTAGGCTTTCTCCCAAGGGTGGCAGGGAGCCATGGAGAGGGCGTGAGCAGGGGAGAGACACATCAGCATGTTAAAAGGCCCCCTGGAGGTCAAGGCAAAGAGGTTGGGAGCCCAGTGGCAGAGTCCACAGCCAGCTCTGGGCTTTGAGGTTGGCATCCAGGGAAGGGTGCGGGAGGCACCCTGAGGCTGCTGCCAGCCCCTGGCGTGAGCGAGACAGGTGTGGATGGATACCCTACATCACTGCTTGGCCCATGGTGCCATCGCCCAGAGGCTCTGACCCAGGACTTGGAACTGTGAAACCCAAGCTTCCCGGGGTTTGGCTGCAGAGGGATGGAGGCCAAGGGTCCAATTATGTGGGCACAGGGCATCCATTATTGATGGGCACACCTTTCATGAGTGAGCCCCATTGTCTGGGCGAGGGCAGTTGGCAGGGTCACCCTGGCCATCGTTATCGAATTACCGATGGGAAACTGAGGCTGGGACAGGGGCGGCTGACCCTGGCTTTGCCGATGGGCCAAGTCCCAAGGAGCTTGAGGGCTGGCATGTCGTCTGTCCCAAGCTTCTCATGTGTTAGACAGACTAACGGAAGCTCAGAGGATTAGGGGGGCTTGCTCAAGTCCATACAGAGACCCGAACTCAGGCTGTTCCCTGAGGGGACCCGAAGAAGGGACTGGGTGGTCCTGACTGAATTCCGGATGCTCCCTCCCTGAGTGCCTAGTCGTCCTTTGACCCAGGGACTCCTGTCCCCTTATGAGACATTCCCTAGAAGCTTGGGGACCCCTCACTCATCAAGGATGGTCTCTACAAGGCTGCTGCTCAGCATGCTCCTCCAGTGACGGTATGGCATCAGCAGGTGAGGCCATCAGCGTGCGGAGCTGGCCTCCCAGGCTAGGCTGTGTGCATGTCACTTGGTGTTTTCCGAAGTGCACGTCAGTCACCCTTTCAAAGCCTGGATTTCAGCCTCTGTCTTTGCTTCGCCCCATTGAGGGAACCCTGCTCCTCATTATGGAGGGAGAGAAGCAAAGTGTGAGGATGGGGGTCTTTGGAGGCACGAACTTGCCAATAATGTGATGATGTCCAGAGTTTCATAGGTTGGCTCAGATCCTCCAGATGCTGGTTGTGGAATGACCTTAAGCACTTTCTCTTATGCCCACCCAATGGGCGTGGTGAGCTCCTATTCATGCTTCAAAGCCCAGCACCAGTGACTCCTCCTGCAGGAAGTCCTTTCTCCTCCTCCTTTCTCCTCCTCCCTGGCTTGCTTTCCCCAGTCAGGTCTCCCTGAGCTTTAGAGCCCTCTTACTTCTTTGTGTGTGTTGGGGGAGATGATTAAACAATTCTTTATTGTTGAAAGTATTACGTATGTCTCCTATTTTCCCCCACTGACCACCTCCAGCCCACCTCTGCCCCTCCCCCAGGCCCTCACCATCACATTGTCTGCGGCCATGGGCCTTGTATTATATATATGCATACAAGGTTCTTGGTTGATTACTTCCCACCCACTCACCTTTCCCCCCACCCCCTAGGGCCCTCTTTCTACCTTGGCTGTGACCCCTGGGAGGTAGAGGTGGCTGTGAGCCTGAAGGCCAGGTCCAGGGCTGATGGCTCTTAGGAGCCCAGTGTCTTTCAGTCTGGAGTGAGCAGCTGCAAGTGAGAGAGGAGGGTCAAGTCCTCTTCCTCCCTCCCATCACCTCCCAACCCCGCCTGGTGTTTCCATCCCCGCACCAGGCTCTTCTACCGCTACCAGGACCTGGCCCCCCAGCTGGTCCCCCTCGACTATACCAGCTGCCCCGACGTGAAGGTGCCATATGAGCTCATCGGCACCATGCCCGAGCTGAAGGTATGCTGAGGCAATGGGGGAGAGGGGGCAGGGATAAACAATAGCGATGCCCTTTGCTGCATTCCTGGGAGGTGGTGGGTGCTGCAATTATTCCCATTTGATGGATGAGAAATCCGAGGTTCAGAGAGTTTAAGACACTTGTTCAGGGCCACACAGCCAGGACGTGACGTAGATAGGATTCGAACCCTGGGTTGCTGGGAGGATGAGACAGGATAATGCAGGTAAAGGCTTAGTATGAGGCCTGTTGCATGGCGAGTACTCAAGGAACATTAGTTCTGTTCATGGTAGGAACAGCTACATGCAAGTTCTCCTCAGCTGGATATTCAACACATGGTTTGTGTCTCTAAAAGGGACTTGTGGAGTGAGTGCATAGAGATTATTGTATCTTAAGGGACAAAAACCTCATTCAAGAGGGACAGAATGGGTTCGATCACATGAGCAAAAAAGTCCATCCGTACAGCTGGAACCAGCGTCTCTGAGGATGGGCTCAGGAATCTTCTTCCGTCTCTCAGCTCCCCCAGGGAGAGGCTTCTGTCCCAATCAGCCCTTCCTCTTGAGGTGGTAAAGGGAATGTCTAGTATCCAGATTTACTCCTGTCAGCTCTGCAACCAGCAGGAAGCAGGTCCTTTCATCCCAATTAAAAAAAAAAAAAATCCCAGGGCAGTTTCTGATTGGCCAGTTTTAGTCACATGCCTCTCCCAGAGTCAATCCCGGTGACCAGGTGAATGGAAATCTCTGATAGTCCTTAGCAGGATCATGTGGCTGTATCTGTAGCTGGGAGTAGGAACAGCACCACCCAAACCACAGGGGCAGAGAGTGGAAGTGCCTGAGTCATTTCCAGGGACCCTAAAAGGGAGGAAGTCTTGGTGGAGGTACTTGGAGATTTCCCAAGAAGGTGGGTACTGAGAGGGAGACCACATGGAGCCTGAGAGCCTCATCAGTGATGGCTTCCCCGCTTCCTGTTCCCAGGACAACCCGTTCCGCCAGAGGATTGCCCAGGTCTTCTCCGAGGATGGGGATGGCCACATGACCTTGGACAACTTCCTGGACATGTTTTCTGTGATGAGTGAAATGGCTCCCCGTGACCTCAAAGCCTACTATGCTTTCAAAATCTATGGTGTGTGCAGGGCTGTGGTAAGGGCTGCGCGGTGGGGAGTGGACAGAAGACCAAGCCCAGGGCCAGAGGCTGCCCGGCCGTCACAGTGTCTCCCCAAGGACTCCAAAACCCAACGTGGTCCTGTCTTCCACCCACCCCATACCTCCCACCTTCACCTCCTTGCTGCCTCAATTCCAGCCACACTGGCCTCGCTCCTTCTCCAACACGCCCCGCTCTGTCTGTCTCCAGCTTTGCCTCTGCTCTGTCCTCTGCCCAGAACATCTTTCTCCTGGCTCCTTCTTATCTTGAAGTCTTGGTCAAAAGTAGCCCCTACCCCCCAGTTGTTCTCCAACCCCCATTTTATTTCTCTGCTAGGGTGATGGGATAATGCTGATTAATTTCTTGTTCATCGATCTGTCCACTTCTTATTGACTTTCTCTCTGAGGAGACCCAGGGCGGCAACAGTGTCTGTTTAGTTCACCATCTGTTTCCTGTGCCTGGGACATAGTAGGCATTACGTAAATACTTGCTAAGTGAGTGAATGAATGAAAAACAGGGATCATGGTGCCTGGTACATAAGTGCTCAATAAATAACTTGAATGAATGAATGAAAATTTAGCATAGTGCCTGCCACAAAATAGGTGCTCAATAATTGATGAGTGATGAATGAATGAAAAAGGTATCAGATTACCTGGCGCATCATATGTGCTCAACAAGTACTTGTTGAATGTACGAATGAATGAACTTGTCCCTGCCCAATTCAAAGCAAGACCCAGTTTACCTCTGAGGGCCTGGGGTTCTCTCCAGTGCCTCAGTTTCCTCCTCCGTAATACGGAGACGAGATATGCCCCTGCTGGCCTGGCCTGCCTGCCGCCCGCGGTCTGCCTGCCCCACATCTCCATCCGTTCTGCCGTGCAGACTTCAACAACGACGATTACATCTGCATGTGGGACCTGGAGCAGACGGTGACCAAGCTGACGCGGGGGGAGCTGAGCGCCGAGGAGGTGAGCCTGGTGTGCGAGAAGGTGCTGGATGAGGCCGACGGGGACCACGACGGGCGGCTGTCCCTGGAAGACTTCCAAAACATGATCCTGCGGGCGCCCGACTTCCTCAGGTGACCCTTCCTGCCACCCCCTACAGTCCATTTCCACGTGTGTCAGATCTTATGGAACTAGTTCATAGACTCCGTTTGTGAAAGTTTCTTCCTTCATTTGTGAGCTTTCCCAGCCTCCCTGGCCTCAGCCACGGATAATTAGGAACCCCAGGGCACCTCCTGTGGGTGGTCAACCCTACTTGCCTGAACACCTCGCAGTGAACAGAATGTACAGCGGTATTTGGCAGCCCTGGAGAGAATCAGAGCCCCCACTGTAGAGTGGATAGCAAGGGTTGCATGAGTTAATGCAGGAAGTGGACCCCAGTTTTTTGTATCTCCAAAGAGCTAAGAATAGTTTTTTTTTTAATTTTTTTAATTTTTATTTTATTGATTTTGTACAGAGAAGAAGGAAGAGAGATAGAGAGTTAGAAACATCGATGAGAGAGAGTCATCGATCAGCTGCCTCTTGCACACCCCCTACTGGAGATATGCCCACAACCAAGGTACATGCCTTTGACCGGAATCGAACCCGGGACCTTTCAGTTCCCAAGCCTACGCTCTATCCATTGAGCCAAACCGGTCCCGGCAAGAATAGTTTTTAAAAATGTATATTTTATTATTGATTTTTTTTTTACAGAGAAGAAGGGAGAGGGATAGAGAGTTAGAAACATCGATGAGAGAGAAACATCGACCAGCTGCCTCTTGCACATCCGCAACCAAGGATGTGCCCAAAACCAAGGTACATGCCCTTGACCGGAATCGAACCTGGGACCTTTCAGTCTGCAGGCAGACGCTCTATCTACTGAGCTAAACAGGTTTTGGCAAGGATCATTTTTAAATTGTATTTTTAAATGGTTGGGGTGGTGGTGGTGGCAGGAATCAAAGAATAATAAGACTCCCTGACACATGAAAGTGACATGGAATTGAAATGTCCAGGTCACGCAATCGTTTTACTGGCACACAGCCATGCCCTGTTGTGTACATTGTCTATGGCTGCTTTCAAGTTATAAGGCAGAACTTAGTCATTGGGTATTCCAACTATTTGGCCCTTTCCAGAAAAAAAAAAAAAAAGCTGGCTGACCCCTGAGTTAGTCCACGGAACAAATGTAGAGCAGTGCCAGGCACACAGTGGGTGCTCAATAACTGTGCTGTGGTTGCTGGCATGGCTCTTCTTATTGGTGGTGTCTTTATAGGCACCGAGGGCTTCCTTTCTCTGCCCTGGTCTCCTGGCAGATGGAGACACGGATAATGACACCTTCTGGGTGTCCCACTCTCAGCCCTCAATACAGCCCTATGATGGGGAGACATCTATATTATCCTCACTTCCTAGGGGAGCAGACTGAGGCCCAGGCAGGGGCAGTCACTCACTCAGAGTCCTATGGCCAGTGTGAATGGGAACTGACTCAGAGATCTGCTCCCAACCCCCGGGGGACGGGGTCAGGAGAGCCACAGCCTAGGGCTTCTGGAGGAGGAGGTCCATCTTCCCATGTGACTTCTGGTGGGGGAGGGGTTTGGGGGGGACTCCCCGAGGGAGTGCTGGGAGAAGGTGCAGGAGGGCGGCACCCTCTGCCTGATGACACTGATCCTTTCCTCTCTGCACACAGCACCTTCCACATCCGCATCTGAGGACACGGAGGAGGAGCTGGGCCAGAGAAGGGCAGGGCGACCCCTCATCCCACTGTGGAATCTGGACTCTGGGAATAAACACATCCCTGAGCCACTCCTGCCTTAAGCCTGGTGGATGGGGGGGGAGGAGACCTGGGAGCCCACCTCTGCTCTCCCCGTGTGAGCCTGGGTGTGTGGCTGCACCCTCTCTGGGCTACTGACTCCCTGATTGAGAAAGAAAGAGTCTAACTTCCAGATCTTTCCCCCACTGCGAAGGCGGGGGTGCTTGGCTGTGTGTTTGGTGAGCAGAAACGAGGTGTGCAGATGAGGCATGCTGTCCCACCCAAGGCCCCCCAAGGACAAAACCTAGTCCCCTTTTTCCTCAATCCCTGAATTCTACAAAGGGACTGAAGGTTTAACTACTTGCTTATTTATTTAGTTATATATTAATTTTTTTTTATTGATTTCAGAGAGGAAGGGAGAGAGAGAGAGACATCTATATGAGAGAGAATCATTGATTGGCTGTCTCCTGCACACCCCACATTGAGGATGGAGCCCACAACCTGGGCATGTGTCCTGATTGGGATTTGAACCATGACCTCCCGGTTCATAGATTGATGCTCAACCACTGAGCCACACTAGCCTGGCAACTCTTGCTTATTTATTCAAGCTGCCAGGGGAGGCCTCTGCGGGGGTGCCAGGCATGCCACTCACTGAGACAGGCACAGCACTTTAACGTTTATGAAGCACCCACCCCTCTGCCATCTCACTGGATCCCGGGAGGGCTGGCCGAGAGCCAGTCACACTTCATTCAGAGGGAACAGAATGACTTGCCCAAAACCACACCTCAAGTCTCTATGGAGGAGGACTTGACGCCTGGCTCAACTCACTCCAGATCTCAGAGCTCTAACTCTGTGGATTTGGGAAGCCCCACACCCACTCTGCAAGCGGCCACCCCAGGGGCCCCATCTATGGCCCCACTCAGTCTACACAGTGGTCATTTTGAGTGAGGCAACCGAGAGCAGCCCCAGGGACCTTCCAGACCCCCCACCCCCAGCCCGGGTAGCATTTCTAGAGAGCCCACTCCCACCCTAAACTCCTCCTGTGCACCAAAAGCACCTAGTACTATGTACCAAAGCCCTAGGATTTACATACATCCTACTGCTTTTCCTGAACAAGGGGGCAGTCCTACTCTTCTCCCCATTTTCCAGCTGAGGAAATAGGCCCAGAGAGACCTAATGACTCATCAAAGGTCACACAGCCGTGCAACCTAGGATTCCCCCTGCAGAGTCCACCTCAACCACAGTCCCGGGCTGCCTCTCCTTTTTTATTTATTTTTTAAATGTATTTTAGTGATTTTTGACAGAGAGGAAGGGAGAGGGAGAGAGAGTTAGAAATATCGATGAGAGAGAAACATCGACCAGCTGCCTCCTGCACACCCCACACTGGAGATGTGCCCAAAACCAAGGTACATGCCCTTGACCTGGATCGAACCTGGGACCCTTCGGTCTGCAGGCCATCGCTCTATCCACTGAGCCAAACTGGTTAGGGCTGCCTCTCCCTTTTCTAAAGCAAAGGACACATTCGCTTCTCCTAAAGCTGACGTTGGTGTGCACCACGCCCTCCACAAGTCTCACCTCCTTCGTTTGCATGAGAACCCGGGAGGGAGGCGTGTCCAGAAGGGAGAGCTGAGCCTGGGTACAGGGGGTGGGGGCAAAAGGACTACGAATGGCATGACCTCCAACCCTGGCGCTGACACCCAGCAGACTGTGACCATGGTGACGTTGCCGTGCCTCTCCTCCTCTCAGAAGCTGGCTCTCCTTTGAAATGCGCAGGAGGTGCCTACCCGATGGGTCTGCTCAGAGGCAGGAATGAGAGGGTGGGGCTAACTCCTGATCCTCCATTTTGTAACTGGACCCTAGCCCTCACCCAACCAATCGGGGTCAGCCAAAGCAGAGACATCACCACCCCTATAAAACCCATAGATATGTTGAAATTTGTCCTCTCTCCCGCCACGCCGTTGTCTGTGTAAGTGGGACAGAGCTCGGACTAGTCTGAAATACTAGTTTTCTGCTATTGCATCGGACTCAGCTCCCTGGTGGTCTTTGGGGATCACGAAATCTGGGCACAACAGAGTAAAAGAAATCAGAGTGTCCCGGTGTGGTGCTGGCACACAGTAGGTGTCACAGGTCCTTGCTGTAACTTATTAACTAATTCTTCTTCTTCTCCTCCTCCTTCTTTTTTTTAAAAAATTATATTATATTGATTTTTCACAGAGAGGAAGAGAGAGGGATAGAGAGTCAGAAACATTAATGTCAATGAGAGAGAATCATGGATCAGCTGCCTCTTGCACACCCCCTACTGGGGATGTGCCCACAACTAAGGTACATGCCCTTGACCGGAAACTAACCCAAGACCTTTCAGTCCACAGGCCGACGCTCTATCCACTGAGCCAAACTGGTTTCAGCCTCCTCCTCCTCCTCCTCTTCTTCCTCCTTCTCCTTCTTCTTCACATAACCAGGCCTCCCTGGCAAGTGCAGAACCAGACCTAAGCATTGTCATTATTACATTTCTCAGGCCCCAGCATGCTGGTGGGCAGAAGGCAAGGGATCCAGGTGTGAGCAGCCCCTGGCCCAGAGCCAGGGCGAACCTCTTCGCTAGCAGTACCCAGGGGCAAAGGGTGGCGGTGGGAGGTACTCCTCGGGGACCCAGTCCTCCGGGGGTTCGGCCAAGCCCCTCGGCTCCGATCTGGACGCCTGGGAGGACAGGGCCCTCACTATTGCTTGGTGCCAGCCCCTGCTCTTCGGGATCACCTCGCTCCAGCTGACGGACCTCGAGGCCTTCCTGGAGGCGTTCCCTCTGTCCCTCCGAGCCTGAGGCCGTGAGGGGTTCGCGGGGGACGCGGCCACAAAGGGGTCCGTGTAGACGTTAGCGTCCCAGGCCGCTCCGGCCGCTGAGCCGCGAGTCGCCTGCGATCGCCCGGGGTCCTGGAGTGATGGCGAGGCCGCGGTGGCCAGGTGGGACTTCAGCTGCTGCTGGACCTTCTTGCCCGTCTGAGGGAGGGTCTTGAGGTTCCTCCAGAGCTTCTGGCAGGCCTCCTCCAGAGGGGCCTTGGGGGGGCCGGAGGAAGCAGCTGCCTGGGCGGGCGCTCTGCCCATGGCTGCGGACGGCGTCCTTTCCTTCTGCCAGGGCAGCACGGCTGGCTTTGCGGAGGCCTGAAACCGAGAGCCGGTGAGACCTGGACCAGCACCCCCCAGCACCCCGACTCTGCCCTGGACCCTGGGACCCACCGGGGCTCCACCCAGATGCCCTGGGGCCGAGAAACGTCCCCGGGTGAACCCCCAAACCTGATCTCGGGCCCCATCCTGTCCATTTCTGTAACCGGCTTCACTCCCTCCCCAGGAGGCGGCTAATCTTCCCTGTGAAGGGCCCGGGAGCGAACAGCTTCCGCTCTGCAGGCCCTCCCGGCGTCTCACTGCTCAGCTCTGCTGCTGTCAGGGGAGTGGGCCCGGTTCCAATAAAAGGTTTGGACTCGGAAATCTGAGTTTCATCTGATTTTCACGAATCGTGAACTAGTAACTGCCTCATCCATTCGAGGACAGAACTGTCCCTCCCATCGCAGCTTCTGACGGCCGGGGCCTCGAAGGCCACACAGAGGCCGGCAGGCGGCCCTCAGGCGGTAGTGCTGACCCCTGGGCTCCCCCGTTGAGGCCAAGTGCAGGCCAAAGACATGGGTGGCAGATGCTGTTGATGGCCCACCCATATCCTCTTTTTATTTTTTAAATATGTTTCTTATTGATTTCAGAGAGGAAGAGAGAGGGAGAGAGAGAGATAGAAACACCAATGATGAGAGAGAATCATGGATCAGCTGCCTCCTGCGTGCCCCACACTGGGAATCAGTCTGCAACCCAGGCATGAGCCCTGACTGGGAATCGAATCATGACCTCCTGGTTCATAGGTTGATGCTCAGCCACTGAGACACGCCAGCCCAGCCCTGTCCTTTATTTGTTTGCTTTTGTTGTTGTTGTTGTTGTTGTTGTTGTTAATGCTCACCTGAGGATATTTTGCCATTGATTTTTTTTTTTTTTTTTAAAGAGAGTGGAAGAAAGAGGGAGAAACACAGAGAGAGAACCATTAATGTGAGAGAGGCACTTCGATTGGTTGCCTTCTGTACAGGCCCTAAACAGGACTGGGGATGGAGCCTGCAACCAAGGTATTGATTGGATTTGAACCTGAGACCCTTCAGTCTGTAGGCCGATGTCCTATCCACTTGGCCAAACTGGCCAGGCCCCACCATATCCTCTTTGCTCCCAGCTCCACTCCCAAATGCCAACGGCAGGGACTCTGTCTGGGGGCCTTCTCTGGCCACCAGTGCCCACTGTGTCCACATGGCAGACCAGAAGTGCCAGAGAATCAAATCTCCCAGGAATAGTATTTGACCAATGACTGGGGGAATTTGGAGGATAAATACCCCAGTTCTTTCACCCTAAGTGGTGATAACAGAGCGGGTAGGCAGACAGGAAACGTGAAAGCCTGTAAGTAAACAAGACTTCAAAGTTTCGAGAGGTGCTCTGTTGCAAATAAATAAGGTGATGTGCTGGAGAAGGTGGGGGGGGAGGACCTTAGGTCTGGAGATGGGAGGGAGACACTTGAAGAACTGATTGATGGGAGGAGCCAGGCTGGGAAATTTGAGGCAGAGCATACAGCACAGCACGTGCAAAGGCCCTGACGTTGCTTGAAGCTGGGCTGGTGATGGGCAGAAGGAGGAACTCAGACTGCAGTCAGGATTTTAATCTTGGGGCCTTGGGAAATCACTGGAAGGTTTTAAGCTCGGAGCTACAGGGTCTTATCTTCCTTCTAAAAGCCCCTGGAAGCTGTTGGCCACCTCTGCTCCTGCCCCTCCCCTGCCCCTGGCTGGAGGTGCCAGCTTTCTGTCACATACCTCCTTGGGGGCAGCCGCTGGCTGGGAAGAAGGTTTCTGATGTTCCCCGGGACCAGGGGCGGGGCTGGTAGCTTCCTCAGCCAGTGCCTCGTAGTGAAGGAAGAGATCCTCGTAATCCACGTTCTCTGGATCCTTCTGCGGACAGAGGGGACCTGCAGCTCAGCCCCACGGAGGGGACGGGGACGAGGCTGGGGTCCCCAGACCCTGGGCCTTGGAGCTCAGGAGCTACTCCCACCCACAAACCTGTAACAAAGCCTGCTCCGCTGAGTGAGCGCACTGTGGGCCGAGGCCCTGCCCGTAAACCCTTATCAGGAGGTCTGCCCCTGCCACCGCAGCTTCTGAGGGCACAGGCCTGCCACCCACTGAGGGGTGAAAGCCTGCTAGTCCTATAGGTCAGCTAGGGCCGTGGTCTGCAAACTGTGGCTCTCGAGCCACATGCGGCTCTTTGGCCCCTCAAGTGTGGCTCTTCCACAAAATACCATGGTCTGGGCGAGTCTGTTTTGAAGAAGTGGCGTTAGAAGAAGTTTAAGTTTAAAAAATTTGGCTCTCAAAAGAAATTTCCATTGTCGTCCTGCTGACGTTTGGCTCTGTTGACGAATGAGTTTGTGGGCCACGTGAAACATCAGCCTGAGGGGAAACTGGGGGTGAGGGGTGGGGGCCGTGGGGCCGTGGGGGGCCGGGGACAGAATCACAAGAGAAGGAAGAGACTACAATGAGTGTGGAGGGCTCAGCCCCTGGGAAGACAACCACTGCCCACCCGGGTCCCAGCCCTCACCTGCGGACAGGGCTGCCTCAGCAGCTCCCCGTGCGGCCTCAGCGGCTGCCGCTGGTGAAAGGTGACCAGGGCGTCCAGCGAGGCGTGGGCCTTCTCCTCCCCGGGGATTACCACGCTCCCATCGTCCAGCAGCTTCACCATAAAGTGGCGGCAGCAGCTCTGGGCTCTGTGGAGACACGGCCGGGTCTGGGACATCCTGCTCCCTCCTTCATTCCCACCACACACCCCCTCCCCCGCCCACCCCCAAGTCCTTGAACTGGCAGCATCAGGGCTGCAGCCCGACCTTACAGGTTCCTACGTAAGCTTCTCTACTCGTTAGCCACGTGACATTTGGTAGGTGCCTCAGTTTCCCCATGGGGCTACGAAGACTGACCTCAGGAGATCTTGTGAAGATGAAACCAAGGAACTTCAGGGAAAGCTTAGCTCTGTGCCTGGCTAGGGGTGCATGATCAATAGAAATGATCATGAAAACGTGATCAGGCTCCAGCCGGAGGCTCGGGGCCTGGCGCTCTGCTCCATTAGTGAACGGGTGCATTTATGAATGGCCTGCGATGCGCTTCCTATAGGTTTTAATCCTCCCGTCAAGACAATTCATTTTAGCATCTTATGTCAGAGAGGAGGACGTTGAGGGAGGGCATGAAGGTGGAGTAATATGTCCCAGGTCACGGTGTGTAAGAAGCAGAACTGAGCCTTGTACTGTTTGACTCAGGTGCTGAGGTTTCCCCACTGTGGGTAATTCCGTAATGGAACCATTGGGTGTTGTGTGTGTGTGTGTGTGTGTGTGTGTGTGTGTGTGTTTTCATTCATTTGGCCTAGAATTCTTTCAGAAAGTAGTTTGGCCGAGACCAATTTGGTTCAATGGATAGAGCCTCGGCTTGGGGACTGAAGGGTCCCGGGTTCGATTCCGGTCAAGGGCATGTATTTTGGTTGCGGGCATATCCCCAGTAGGGGGTGTGCAAGAGGCAGCTGATCGATGACTCTCTCTCATCGATGTTTCTAACTCTCTATCTCTCTCCTTTCCTCTCTGTACAAAATCAATAAAATATATTAAAAAAAAGAAAAGAAAAAAAGAAAGTAGTTTGTTCTGCTGAGTCCTCTCACTGAGATTGCCAAATCAGGCTTTGAAGCCCCACGTAGCTGGACTGCCTGAGTTTCCAGCACATTCTCTTTGGCGGAGTCAGGGTGCTGCCCAGCAAATGGCGGATGGAGGTGGATGGTTAGGGAAAGGCAGGAGCCAGGCTCAGGCCCTCCAGCAGCTCCTGTTCTCAGACACACGGTCTTTGCTACCACAGACCCCAGTCTCTGCTGGATACAGCCAGACCTGCAGCTGCTCACTCTTCAGCCAGGTCAGACCAGAACGTCACACCAGTTGCTCTTGAAACCTGTGACACGAAGCTCCCCAAGCCTCTCGCCCCCAACCCCCCCTCCAAGGAAGCCCGGAGCCCGCCGTCCCCAAGCTCAGGCCTTACTTGTAGGAGAGTGTGTAGCCCACGTGACTGTGACTGACTCTGATGAGAAAGGATCCCAGGGGCTGCGACTCAAGCAGATTCTCGGCGTCCCTGGAAAGGCACACACAGGTGGGAGAAGCTGAGGGCTGGCTGCCCAGTGTTCTGCCCAGATCCTCCCAGGACTGAGCAAAGACCTAAAATATATATTTTTTGTTGTTGTTTCAGACTTTGGAATATTCAGGTGTGGCCCCTTGGCCCCAGGGCCCACAGCCCCTGCCTGCCTTCCAGTGCCTGGAATCCATTTAGGAAGGCACCTTTGGGTGGATCTGAGGATGACAGGTCACAAAGCAGGAGCTTTTTCCAGATGCATTTGAGAGCCAAGCCCAGCTCTGCCGTTCACTCATAGTGTGACCCCCGGTGAGGTCAGTCCCTTGCTGACCTCAGCTTCCTCATGGGGACAGAAAGCCCTCACGCCCAGGGCCGACGTGAGGACAGACGAAACGCGTGCACCGTGAGAACTTTCGCGGGGTGCGTGCTTTCAAGGTGTTCACTGTTAGCACACTTGTCCCTTGAACTGACCTGCCAGGTCCAAGCTGATATTTCCCCCCCAATAAATATACAAGTTGGCCTTCTGTATAGTATTTTTGGTCCAAGGTTGGGAATCCATGGATGTGGAGGGCCTTGACCTACACCCTCTTATGGAGGGGACTTGAGCATCTGGCAGATTTTGGTATCCGTGGGGAGTCCTGGAACCAATCCCCAGGGATACTGGGGAATGGCTGTAGTTAAATTTTTGAGGAGTCAAAAGTTATATAAAGGACTCAGAGTTGGCACCTCCAAACTGGATTGTTATCATTGTTACTGTTTCCTGGTGTGCGCAGAGAGTGGCCTGCTATGGGGAGCCTTTGGGCCCGTGTTGTCCAGTACCGAGTGCTTAAAATGTGGCTGGTCTTGCCCTAGCCGGGTTGCTCCATGGTTAGAGCACCAGCCCACGGACTGAGTGGCTCAATCCCCGGTCCCCGTGTGTCTGACGACACATCAAAGTTTCTCTTTCTCTGTCTCTCCCCCTCCCTTCCACCCTCTCTAAAATCAATGGGAAAAAATAACTTTGGGTGAGGATTAACAACAACAACAAAATGGGGCTGGTCTGAACCAAGATGGGCTTTTAGCATACAATACACACCAGATTTTAAAGACACCGCATAGAAAATATAGTAAAAAAATATTGTAATAACTATACGATATCTGGTGTCAGGTGGTTACTGGACTTACTGGGGTAATCACTTCTTAAGTTATATAAATGTCTAATTCCTATGTTGTACACCTGAAACTAATATAATATGGTATGTCAATTGCAATGTAAACATTTTTAATTATAAAAAATAAAAAAAATAAAAAGGCAGTACAAGTAGAGGAATATGTACTTGTTGAAATGATAATATCATGGATATGCTGGGTTAAACAAAAGATGTGATTAATATTAACTGTTTCTTTCTGCTTCTCTTCATATAGCTACTAGAACCTTTAAAATTGCAATGTATGGCTCATGTTATATCTTACTGGCATGCCCCAGAACTCAGAAACCATGTCCAGGCCTGTCTCTCTTGGTTTTTGCAATGTTCTCTCAATTTCCTAAGTGTCAAGGGTGGCAAGGAATGTTCCTTTCTCCATTTATGTAGAGCTGGGCCCTGGGGTGACTAAGTAGGTGAGTTTGTTCATCTCCTCAGAGCTCAGTCTAATGTAGAAAGTGCATGTTAGCCAAAACTGGTTTGGCTCAGAGGATAGAGCGTCGGCCTGCGAACTGAAGGGTCCCAGGTTCGATTCCGGGCAAGGGCATGTACATTGGTTGCAGGCACATCCCCGGTGGTGGTGGTGGGGTCGATGTTTCTCTCTCATCGATGTTTCTGGCTCTCTATCCCTCTCCCTTCCTCTGTAAAAAAATCAATAAAATATATTGGGAAAAAAAGGAAGTGCATGTCAGCCATATACCGATAGACTGAGAGGAGTTCAACGTTAAGAAGGATTCTGACCCTGCGTCCTGCCATCATTGATTGGTGATTCCTGGTCTAGTGAGGGGTCTAGGGGGGGTGGGTAAGGAGAGGGTTCTGTCTTGTGGCCACTTGTATAGAGAAAGCCAAGGTCCAGAGAGGGAAGATAACTTGCCCAAGGGCACACAGCAAGTCCAGAGGAGGCAAGGTTCAAGCCCGAAACTCCAAAGCCCTTTTCATCTTCTTCTTTTTTTTAATTTAATTTTATTTTTTTAGTATATTTTATTGATTTTTTACAGAGAGGAGGGAGAGAGATAGAGAGCCAGAAACGTCGATGAGAGAGAAACATCGACCAGCCGCCTCCTGCACACCCCCCACCGGGGATGTGCCTGCAACCAACATACATGCCCTTGACCGGAATCGAACCCGGGACCCCTCAGTCCGCAGACCGACGCTCTACCACTGAGCCAAACCGGTTTCGGCCCTTTTCATCTTCTTAACACACAGGTAGGTGAGCTGAGTGCAGAATTCCACAGTGGAAGCCCGCCCAGGTGGGGGGGCAGACAAAGAGGGTGGGAGGCAGGGTGGAAAGTGGGGGTGTGTCCTCACTCTCTGGAGATGGCGCCGTGGAACCACGAAGGGACTCCTCCTTGGGCCAGCTGGCCCACCTGTGTCTGCACAAACCAGGCCAGCCGTGGGGGCAACGGCGGGGGCAGCTTTCTGGCCTCTGTCATGGCTTCCCGAGGGGGAAGGGGGCACCTGGGGGCAGAAAGGAGGAGAGAGAGTCAGGCCTGGTCCACGACCCATCTTTACCTGATTCTTGCAGCTCGTGGTGCCTCCTCTTTGGAGACGTCCCCCAGGCTGGACAGAGCAACAGGCTTGAAACTGGCTTGTGTTTCTTGAGCACCTACTACGTGCTGGCACTTTATGCATGTTCACTTAGCGATTTTCTCCCAAAAATCCTCCAAGGATAGTAAGAATAAAAGATTAAAAGGAAAGCGCTGGCCGGTGTGCTCAGTGGATAGAGCGTAGGCCCACGCAAGAGTGTCTCCAGTTGGATTCCCTGTCAAGGGCACCTACCTGGGTTGCAGGTTCTATTCCAGCTCTGGTCAAGATGCGTGCAGGAGGCCACCAATTGATATGCCTTTCTCACATCCATGTATCTCTCTCTCCCTCCCTCCCTCTCCCCCCTTCCCTTCTTCTCTTTCTAAAAATCAATGAAAAAAAAATATCTACAGGTGAGAATTAACTAAACAAAAAAGAATAAAAGGAAATAATAAGAATACAATGAGGTCAGAATAAAACAAAATGAAATCATGAGAACAAAAGGGACGAATAAGAATATTATTATCATAAATCATTACTGCAAGTGTTAGAAAACTCTCCTTATAGATACATGCGTTTATGTTTAAGAACTGGATTTATTTAAATACCAAGTAACGGCCAATGTCCCTGGTGGGATGTGGAGACGTCCAAATGACAAGCGAACGCATGAAATAGCGGACACCCCGTGGGTGCCGTAACGGGGTGCCACGATGGCCTTAAACACCACAGAGAGGTGACCCAAACAGTTGCCTCTGCCACCAGTGTCACCAGGCATGGCGGCCATAAATGGCCCACCTAGAATGTGTCGGAACACGGCTAATTTACACCCATTCTCAATCTCTGCAAGCTCAGGTACCCCTGGACTGGGTGAGCTAACGACACAGACCTGGGAAACAGAGAGAAAAACAGTGCCAATTCCCCAGTCTCACGTTAGCGGAAAGCCAGCAAAAAGGCTGTGCCCTGCTGGGTGGACCCTCATACCCGCCCTAACTTTGTCTCCACGCCGGCCCCACCCCGACACTGACCAGATCTAATTGTTCAGCCCTGTGGAAGGTCATCGTTACCGGGCCGTTTCCACAGCGAGGGCCCTGTTGACCAGCCCAGTCAATATTGACTTCCTCCTGCCAGAAGACCCGTGGCAAACACACCCTTCGGGGAGCGACCCACAGGAATTCTGCAGCAAGGGAAAGGGGATCTATTAAAGCCATGGGGAATAAGGTGGGGTGACAAAGTGGTGAAGAGCCTGCAATCGAGCAATTCAAGCCCCCGCTCCCCCACTCCTCGGCTGTGTGATCTTGGGCTTGTCGGTGCCTGTATTTTCCATTGCGATTTGGAAAGAATGATGACTTTTTAAAAAAATATATATTTTAGCCAAAACCGGTTTGGGTCAGTGGATAGAGCGTCGGCCTGCAGGCTGAAGGGTCCCAGGTTCAATTTTGGGCAAGGGCATGTACCTTGGTTGCAGGCACATTCCCAGTAGGGATGTGCAGGAGGCGGCTGATCAATGTGTCTCTCTCATCGATGTTTCTAACTATCTCTCTCCCTTTCTCTCTGTAAAAAATCAATAAAATATATTGATATATATTATTGATTTTTATTATTGATTTTTAACAGAGAGGAAGAGAGAAGAATAGAGTTGGAAACATCAATCAGCCACCTCCTGCACACCCCCCACTGGGGATGTGCCCGCAACCAAGGTACATGCCCTTGACCGGAATTGAACCCAGGACCTTTCGGTCCGCAGGCTGATGCTCTATCCACTGAGCCAAAAACGGTTTTGGTATGAGAGTGATGACATTTACCTAGTGCTGTGTAAGCCCTGACAGTGTGTGTGGGGTTTCTCTTTTATTTATTTTTTCTTTTTTTGTAACACGAATGCCTGACTGAAGCTTTGATTGCGGAGGCATCCATTTCAGCGATGGTGATCTCGGCAAACATTGCCAGCCACTCGCAGGAAGAGCCAGGGAGCCTCCTCAGTTTTAGCCATCTTGGTTGCTTTCAATAATTGACCATGTGGGCTACTTGCCCGTGTGCACACTTGCTCTGCCTCTGATCTCGCTGAGTGGCCCCAGGTGTGCTGTACAAATGTCCAGGTCCTTAAGTAATAAATAAACCTTTTATTATTTTTTTAAAATATATTTTATTGATTTTTTACAGAGAGGAGGAGAGAGGGATAGAGAGCTAGAAATGTTGATGAGAGAGAAACATCGACCAGCTGCCTCTTGCACACCCCCTACTGGGGATGTGCCCGCAACCAATGTACATGCCCTTGATCGGAGTCGAACCCGGGACCTTTCAGTCCACAGATGGACGCTCTACCACTGAGCCAAACCGGTTTCAGCTATTATTATTATTTTTTTTTTTTAAGTTTCCTGATGACTATTGCTTGAAGGGCATCTTGAAATCACAGTAAGAGCCATATATATTTTTAAAAAGTCATCATTCTCCCCAAATCGCAGTTGAAAAGACAGGCACTGAGAAGCCCAAGATCACACAGCCGCGGAGTGGGGGAGTGGGGGCTTGAACCCAGGCCTTGGGGGCTGATCCAACAGACACCTGTATGTATAATAAATGTCCATGACCCAGCACAGGGTAATGTTTACAGGCTAGGTCTTTCTTCTATCTGGGAGACCTCCTACTGACCCCTCAAGACCCAGCAAAAATATCCCCTCCTCCATGCAGCTTTCCTGCCTTTTCCTTGAGACAAAACCCTGGCACCTTCTATGTCCCCCACCTCCCCACAATGCTTGCCTCTGGCCTAGCCTTGCCTAAGGGAGCTGGAGTGTGTGTCTGGTTCTGTCTCCCCTATATGAGGGGTGCCCAGGGTCTAGGCCCAGGCTAGATCCTTTTTGGATTTTTCTGGGTCCTCAGCATCGGCACAGTGGAGGGTGCAGGATGTGTGCTGATGAATAGATGGTTTAGTGATGAGTGAGACCACACTGCGTTTCAAATTCCCGGCCCTGGCTCTGGAGCCCCGCACCTCCTCATCCCCTAATAGCATCTCGGTTCTACTCCAAAGTGATCTATTTTTAAAAAAATATTTTTTTTATTGATTCAGAGAGGAAGGGAGAGAGAGAAAGAGAGAGAGAGAGAGAGAGAGAGAGAGAGAGAGAGAGAGAGAGAGAGAGAAATAGCAATAGCAATGATGAGAGAGAACCATTGGCTGCCTCCTGCATGCCCTCTACTGAGGATCGAACCCCAACCCAGGCATGTGCCCTTGACTGGAATCCAACCCAGGACCCTTCAGTCCACAGGCCGACACTCTATCCACTGGCCCAAACCAACTAGGTTTTCTTTCCCCTCCACACTGTTGCTATTCTTTGCCAGAAATGCTCTTTTCCCAACGCCAGCTCCATTTTCCAATGGTCACCGCCGGTGCCTCCAGAAAATTGCTCATCCTTCTCTGGTCCCACCAGCCCCATCACCCCCCTGGCCCAGCCTGGTCCCCCTGTTCTGTCTTCTAGGACTGGGTTAGGGCTGAGACTCTCAGGGGCCCAGCCTCACCCAGCATAGTGGGCATGTGGTTGACTGAGGAGTCCCCACCCAGGGAACATACCTGGGAGACCACCGGGTGGCCGAGGCCCTCGCTCTAGCTGTGCCCGTGCTGCCTGTAGGTGCCTGAGTTTCAGTTCTGGGTCCACACGTCATCAGGGCGAGGCCCCAGGCGGTTCCTGTTTCCTTAAGCAGGTGAGCCCGGGGCGGGACCAGGACAACCCCTCTGTCCACAAAGCCGCTGAGCTGCAGGGAGGGACACCCTTGCTCCACTCAGATCTTGGCAGATGTTTATTGAGCATCTGCTGTGTACCAGATCCTGAGGGGACAGAAAGGAGGCCCCAAGACAGGCACAAGCCCCACCCTCCCAGTATCTACAATCTAGAGAGCAATGAAGAGAGTAAGAAATTGTCAATGTTGTTTCAAAGCAAACGGCAGGCCAGGAAGAGGAACTGAGATTGCAAGAACCCCCAGAGAGGCCTAATTGAGAAAAGAGAGGTAGGCAGGGCCACTGCAAGTAGGGGCTCATGGTCCATGTGCAGTGTGAGTTATATGGGGTCTGGAGCTATAGGGAGGAAGGGGCACCTGGGGGCAGGTAGGAGCCAACTTGATTGCGGGGGAGGGAGGGTGGAGGAGGTGGCGGGAGTGTGCAGAAAGAATGCATTAGGTAGAGGGAGCCACACAAAGGGCCTGAGGCAGGATGGAGCTGGATAGTCTGAGTCTCACTGTGCACACAGGGCCACATTTTGACTTATGTAAAAACAAAACAAAAAACTAAATAAAAAAACCTCAGCCCTGAATGATGTGGCTAAATGGTCAGAGTGTCAGACCATGTACCAAAGGATCATAGGTTCACTTCCTGGTTAAAAGCAGGTGCCTGGGTGGCAAGTTCATCCCTGCCTGCCACCCCCCACTCCCCAACCCCTTGGGCACCTGTGGGAGCAATTGATGTGTCTCTGTCACATCAATGTCTCTCTCTCTCTCTCTCTCTCTCTCTCTCTCTCTCTCTCTCTCTCTCTCTCTCTCTCTCTCTCTCTCTCCCCCCACCCCCCCTTTCCTGTCAGGGCACAGGTCCGGATTGCAGGCTCAATCCCCAGTGTGGGGCGTGAAGGAGGCAGCCGATCAATGATTCTCTCTCATCATTGTTTCCATCTCTCTCTCCTTTTCCCTTCCTCTCTAAAATCAATAAAAATGTGTTTTTTTTTAAATCCTTGGGTGAGGATTAACAACAACAAAAAATCCAAACCATTTGAAATTATATTTTATTACTGCATTGGCATCACTATCATATATTCATTATTATTGTATTATTATTTTTTTATTGATTTTAGAAAACAAAAACCACACACATAGTGGGCCCTGAGTATGAGAACCTATGCCTCACGAATCAGCCAGCCCCAGATATATGCTGGCTGCCCCCCCCCCCCCCCTTCCTGTCCTAGGACACGGGCTAAACCACTTCCTCCTCGTTCAGCAGAAATGGCCCAGATCCTCATGGCTGAGCTTGGGGGTTGGGGGGGAAGGGGCCCTGTGGGCCTATCGCCCTGGCCCAGCTGGTTTAGATAGCCTCCTGGCAGGCTAAAGCTGGTGCCCTGACCACTCCCTGCCCTATGGGGGAGGGGGTTGCCTGCAGTCTGCGGTTCAACAGCCCCAAACAGAAAACACGAGGAACCCATTTCTCACTCACCCACTGTATGGCCTTGCGTGAGTTGCTCAACCAACCTCTCTGGGCCTGCTTCTTCATCTGTGAAGTCACATGACACTGGCCCTCCTCAGACAGAGACAACCTCCAGGTAGGCAGCAGGGGGCCCCGTTAACAGTAATGATACCAGGACTCCTCACTGTGACTGAACCGGATGCCTTTGTGTGTGGCTGGGGGAGATGCAGGCTGAGGCTCCAGACCTCCCAGGGCAACCTTGGGCAACTCACCTCACCACTGTGATTCCTCATGCCCTCCACAGCCCAGGGAGCCGGCTCCTAGCCTCAGTGATGAGGGGAGGGGATCAGAAGTGCCGAGTGAACCTTGTCCGTTAGAAAGCCTGACCATTGGGTATCATTTGCATGGCGTTCAGCCTACAGGAACGTGGGGCCTTATCAGTCCACCTCCAGCCCAGCCCCAGAAGGCCCCACCACAAGGTCTGCAGCCTGAGTCCCCCAACCTGCTTGGCACACATGGTCTCCCACAAACTAACATCCTCCCCTGAGAATGTCACATCAGAATCCCCATCCCCCACCCTCCCCCCAGCCCTCAGCGACCACTGGAAACCAAATGGACAAGTGGTCCTCAGAGGACCTTCTTGAAGGGGACCAGCAGGGAGATCTGGGCTGGGATGCTGAAGCCCCTTCCCCTAAACACCGGGTCTGGACCTTTCACTGGCAGCCTCAGCTGGTGAGTGGGGTTGTCGCGGCTCATGTGGGGTAGGTGGCCCTCCGGGGAAGTGGCCACAATGCCACTTGGCCACAGATGTCAGGGGTGGGCAAGTCAGGCTCGTGGAGCTTCCATGATGGGCGGGGGGACGGGGGGAAGACAAGTTGGCCGTGAGCCGTGAATTCCCACAGACGCTCTGATGATGAGGTGGGAGGAGGGACGGGCACAGGGGGCTGTGCAGATGTCAGAGGACTGCCAGGCCGCGGGTGCAGCAGGGGCAAAGGCGCCAGGGCATGGCGAGCACGGGGTGAGGCGGGAGAGTCAGGCACACGGGGGCTGGGGTGAGCTGAGCCAGGGGAGGGTGGCAGAGAAAAGGGAAGAGGTGGGCAGGGCCACCACGTGCAGGGCTGGTGGCCCATGGTGCAGTGTGAGGTATATGGGTCTGGAGCTCAGACTGGTGCACAGAGATGTCACCAGCACGCCTGAAGGCTGGCCATTGGCTGGCCTGCAGGAACTTGGCTGGTCGTGTTCCCTGTGCCGCAATAAAACCTTCTCACAGCCATGCCTAAATGTTCGTACAATGCGGTTGATGCTGAATGCCTGTTTCTCTCCAGGCGGCTGCAATTCTGGTCCATGCCTCTCACCGGAGGTGCCTCCATGACCAGCCCCAGTAAAACCCTGGGTGCCGAGTCTCCAAGGAGCGCCCTGGCAGCTAACACTTCACACTCCTCACAGCTTGGCGACGGAGAAGTGTGACCCCACGCCCAGAGGTCTCCGGGAAGCTTGTGACTGGTTTCCTCTGGACGTGGCTCCACGCGCCTCTTCCTGGGCCCATTTCCCCGTGTCCTTTGGCTGTAATACATCAGTTATATGCCGAGTCCCAGGGAACCAGGGACCCCAACAGAGAAACCCAGTGGGGCCATCTAGAGAAGAGGCAGATGGGGGCCATGTGCCAGAAGCAGGGGCAGCAGGATTGCAGGGATGGGGGAGGATATTCCCGAGGTGAGAAAGGAGCTTCAGAGCTGAGTGTACAACTTGGCAGACGGATACCCACAGAGACCAGACGAGAGAATCTAGTGACAGTGTGGGGGCTACTGTTGGCAAGCAGGTTCAGCATGGGACATGGAAACCAAGTGGTGCAGAGAATAAGGTCTCCTGTTTTTCTATAGGGTCGGGGTAGGAAACTTTATTTCCCACGCCAGCCTTTGGATAATGGGGTCATCTCAGAGCCTGGGGCACACAGCCTGCCCAGATCCGAGGCCCCCGCTGGCCTGGGCTGTTTTACATAACAGGCCTTCTGCCAACCTACCACCCAATGCCAGGCCACACCTGTCTACCCACAGAGAACTGTGGATATAAAATCTGAGAACTTTAAAATGAGCTTTGACTTGTTTTCCTTAAGTGTGTTTATTGATGTAAACAGCATATTAAGAGATTCCAGGAACAGACTATGGCTGGTACATTGGTTTTAATTCAAAAAAGATATTTCGACGCCAGTGGCTTGGGTGGACAGCAGCTTGGGTGAAGTGTAAGACAAAGAAATATAAAGGCTCCCTTGTGACACCCCTTGGACCTGGTGAGCTGGTCTCAGATGCACCTTCTCTGGGAAGGCAGAGCTGTCAGAACAAAGCGACGACAGCAGTTAAAAACCACCGCCTGGGATGCTTCGTGCTCTCGGCCACAGCTGCATCCGTGTCCCTGGTCACCTGGGGCTGCCACTGGAAATCAAAGACGGAATCACTTCATGGCACTACAGATCTGGAAAAATAAAAATCTCAGCTAGAAAGAACGTCCGGTTTGGAGACTGTGGAGTAGGGGCTGTTTGGGGGCCGAGAGGCCAACGCCTTCATTGCGGGTGATCGGAGAGTGGTTGCATTTTTGGGGTCACCCGTAGGGTGCATGGTGTCCCCTCGGTGATCAGACAGGGACTGCCGAGGCCCACTGGCCACGCCTGAGGCCTGACTGAATTACAGACCAAAACCTGGTTGTGGACAGGCAAGGCCCTCCCCTCCTCCTTCCTTCTGCACGCTTTACACAGGATTTCCTTAATTTGTGCTTCCCTTTGGTTTGAGAGTCAAAAAGAAGAGGGAGGGGAGAAGAGAAACATAACGGTTTTTGTCACTTGTCCAAAACAGAGAGGAGGTGGAAGTGGGAGTCAGACGTGTCGGCAATGCTTCCTGGGCTGTGGAGTCACCGCTCTGAGGGCCAAAGCTCAGCCCTCCTGGAACCATCACTGGCCTTTGGGAGCCGTGCTTCTGCGCCAGGAGCCGTAGACAGGCTTTGCAGTGGAATTTCTGTTGTCACGCCCCAGAGATGGAGGCCCACCATATTGGTGACGGTTGCTGGTCATGTCATGTCCATCTTTCTCCCCAGATACACGATGCATGGGCCAGTTTGGTGGACATCACAGGAAAAATAGCAAATTCTTAACTTATTCCATCTCCAAAGTTGAAAAAGATCAGAGTTACTAAAATAAACAATTTCTCAATTGTGTTCTGGTGGCCCTGGGCCCGGTGGCCGTGGCAGGGGCATTGGAGGGGGGCCCCAGCTGAGTGAGGGGCTCACTCAGGACAGGCACAGTCAGCTCGGCTGAGCAAGGCTCAGAGTAAGGCGGCGTTCCTCACAGAAGAACACATCGGAAAAAGCTGGTCTTCTTCTGCTGGTCCGGGGTGATTTTGACTCCCTGGTTGCTCCCCTGGGGGCTGTTGCCTTCCTGAAGTCACAAGAAGTTTTCTGAGGTTATGACTGAGCATAAATACTACGTCTCTTAACCAACCAGCCATCTAACCAAGGAACCATCTAATCACCCAACTGCAAGTCAACCCATCTCCTCCCATCCACCATCTTCCTTCCATCCATCCATCCATCCATCCATCCATCCATCCATCCATCCCTTCCACCCAACCATCCAGCTGCAAGTCTATCCATTTCCTCCTATCCATCACCCATCTATCCAATCATCCATCACCTTCAACGATTAGTGGATTCATCCCCTTCCAATCACCATCAATCTATCCCCTTCCAACCAAGCAAACATCCATCTATCTACCCCCTTTCTTCCTTCCCCTTCAAACTAACCATCCACCTGTCTATTCTCTTCCTTCTATTCATTCATCCACTCCTTATAAACCATACATCTGTCCATTCCCTCCCTTCCTTCCATCTATCCATCCATTCATCCATCCATCCAATTATCACTTCCAACTGACAATTCATCTTACACAAACCTAGAGATATTTTTTATATTACCCATCAGCCCCTCTAATCATCATCATTCATTCTTTCAATTTATTCACCTATTCATTCACCCCTTTCTCTTCATCCCCTCAACACCTTTCCATTTATTCTCTGTCTCACTCTTTTCCCTACTTCCTTCTCTCCATTCACCCACCATTCCCTCCTTTCTACCCCTACTAGTGAGGCAGTCAAGGGGAAGCCAAATGTTCCTTGGAATTTGGGGGCTGGGAGTGCTGAATTCAAGATCCCAATTCCACTCACACCTGGATGGTCTCCATGACTCTGTGCTAAGGCTGACTTACCACTTCTCCCCTGGTCCACCTTTCATTCTGCTGTGGGTGGTACAAACCTTGCCCACTGGAGGCTTACTGAAAACATACCAGCGCCCCACACTGCTTCAAAGGACCGCCCCTCCTGTCAAACCTGTCGCCCAGCACCCAGAGCCTCTGCCAGCTCTGGGAATGTAAATCTTATTTTCTCCCAGGTCACCTTGTTTGGAAAGGGTCAGCCCTCTTTTCTTTGATGAATTCTTTCTCATCTTTCAGCTCTTCGTTTAAAAAACCTTGAATTTACTTAACAATAACTCCTGAAGGCCTATGCTATGTCAGGCACTCTTGTGGGTACTGGGCATGAGTGGTGAAGATCCTCGCCTTGGGAAGCTCACAATGTGGATGGAAATTATGTGGTAAACAAAAAAGCAGTGATTTCCCACCACGGCGAGGAATGAGAGAAAAGGCAGGGCAAGAGGTGGAGGTGTGCTCTGATGGTGATATCAGAGACCTGGAACAGTCCAGGTGTTCGGTCAGGAAAGTAATGGCCCCCAATAATGTTTATACCCTAATCCCTGGAAAATATGAGTACGGCACCTGCTATTGCAAGAAGGACTTTGCAAATGTGAGTAAGGTCAGCGGGGAGAGCATGCTGGATCACCCGGGTGAGCCCTAGCTAATCCTGTGGATCCTCAAAGGCAGAGAAACCTTCTCAGCTCTGGTCCAAGAAAGAGAGGCGATGGCAGCAGGTCCAAGATGGCGGAAGTGGTTCTAAGGCTCGGGATGAAGTGCCCTCTAGAAGCTGACAGGCATTAAATGGATTTCCCGCTAGAGCCTCCAGAAATGAATTCAGACCTGCTGACACTTTGATCTGAGGCTGGTGAGACCCATTTCAGAATCCTGACCGCCAGGACCTTAAGATAATGAATGTGTCTGGTGCAAATTGGAAAGTTTGTTACGAGAATTTGCTAGGGCAGCCCTAGGGAACTAATGGGGAGGGGAGAGGCACCTCAGGTGGAGGGAAAGGAAACCGAAATAAACATGGGGTGCTTCAAGAACAAGAAAAGGCCAGCATGGCTGGAGCACAGGGGGTGACAAGGTGGAGCAGTGGCAGCAGCCGGGCATGAAGCCCAGTGGCCTGGCGCGCTGTGTGGAGTTGCTCTCAGTGCGGCGGGAAGCACTGGGCTGTGTTGAGAAGGAAAATGCCAGGTCAGGGAGTGGGGTGGGCATCAGCAGAGCCCGCCCTTCGGTGACACTTTCAAGAGAAGAAAGGTGGGCAGAGCTGGCTGTCAGTGGTGATAAAGATAAACATGAACTTGTAAGATAAACAAGTCCCAGGGAATCTAATGAAGAGCACTGTAATCAGAGTCAACACTATTATAAACCTCAAAGTTACTAGGAGACTAGATCTCAATTGTTCTCAAGACAAAAAAGAAATAATAATTATGTGAATGTGATAGAGGTGTCAGCTAATGCTACCATGGTAGTCATATTGCAACATATTATTGTATCATGATAACATTGTACGCCTCAAACTTACACAATGTTGTATATCAGATATATTTCAATTAGAAAAAAAGACACATATAAAATAGTATAGGGCTGCAATGCTAAATACAACAGAAAGATGGTAGGAAATGGGTGATTTGCAATTCTGTTAAAAAGAAAAAAGAAAAAAAGAAGAGAGAAATCGTAAGGATTATGGCTGTGTACCAGTGCTTCGTGATCTGAGCCCTAATACATATGGCACTGTCTGGAGGCAATCAACAGGCCAGAATAAAAAATATGGGCCAAGTGTCACTTTGATGTTCAACTTAACTGCACTGGGCAAAACTGAGTCAGAAGAACCGTTAAGAATTAAAAATTTACCATTGTGCTCAAGAGACAAGCAAGTGCACTGTAAGAAAAGCACACTGTGGGTCGAAATCACTTTGGATGAGCATTGGCCTGCGGACTGAAAGGTCCCAGGTTTAATTCCGGTCCAGGTCAGTGCCTTGGTTGCGGGCACGTCCCCAGTAGGGGGTGTGCAGGAGGCAGCCAATCAATGATTCTCTCTCATCATTGATGTTTCTATCTCTCTTCTTCTCTGAAACAAATAAAAACATATATTAAAAAAAAAGAATAGAAAAATAAAAGTACACTGGTTTACATGGGACCGTTTCCCGTTTTGGCCAAAGAACGGCTATTAAGTCCATCTTGTGCCTCACGACTGAATTCACGGTATCTTAGAATTACAAAAATACCTGTGTTTTTAAATCAGGAGTGACCTACTTGAACGGCTTTTTGTGCTGTGTGCCCTCTGTGTAACGAGACCTAAATGGGCCACAAGCAGAGCGCTGGGGAGCGGCACCGGCTGGGGAGTGCGGCCGCCGAACGAGGCTCCCAGGCAACACGCACAGCAGCATTTCAGCGCCGCGCGTGCCCGAGGTACAGCTGAGATTTCAGACTCGAGCAAGTAAGTACAATTAAGCTGAGTAGTAAGGACCGTGATATGCTGGTGTGGTGAGCAAAAAAAGCCAGAAACAAATGAAAGGGTGGATAAGAGGGATTCAAGTAGGACTTCCTGGAGGCCTCAGAGCCCTGGACCTACTATAAAGGTCAGAGCATCACAACCTGCCAAATTTGGGGCCGGTGGGAGAAAGGCTGCCAGATCTGTCAGGACGGGTGCTGCTGGGGGCCGTCATCTGCAGGGCGGGTGCGGAAAGGCCACGTGTCCCTTGTTAGCCAGTGCACTCAGCAGGCAGGGCCTTGTCTGCCTGGACACAGCCTGAGCTGAGCAGCTCTGAGGCACAGAGAGAGAACAAAGTAGATGAGCATGTCTGGGAGCCGGTGCCCCAACCCCAACTGCTACACCTTCCCCCTTCCTAGCCACTTGACCGAGTCTGTCTGGGCCTGACGCAGGATCTGTCTGGGCTGAATCACATCACTAAGGCGGAAAATGGCAGGCTCCAACAGAGAACCACTCAGGGATGAGGAAGGACGCACACTCACCAATTTTTTGTCCATTTTTGCTTTGATGTCTCTGGCGAGAGTGAAAAATGCCTGTGAAATAAGGACGTTGTTAGTACCCCAGCAGCAGGAAGCAGGTGGGGGCTTGCTGGTTCCTGGTGCCATTATGGAATGGGGACGGTGGGACAGCGAGGTGGGGTCTCAGCTGTCCAGCCCCATCTCCTACCCCCACCCGCCGAGACTAGCACTTCCCCTGAGCCAATGACTGTGGGAGGTGAATCAGCCTCAACTGGTCAGGGAGAAAACCGAGGCTCAAAAGGACGAAGTGACGTGTCCCAAGGCATCTAGAGGTTAAGGGACCAATCTGGAGGGATCCAGGAGGAGAACCCATCCTTGACTCCAGTGCGCTGCCTACCTGCTTTGCCTTTTCTAATCAGGGGCAGGGTAGAAAGACAAGCAGCTCTTTGGCCAAACAAGCTTCATTTTGGGTCCTTGCCTGGCAGAGAGGCCTGGAAGGGCTGGGATGGGGTAAAGGTTTGTCTGCCAGGGATGGCTTGACCAGAGGCTGCTGCCTCTGTTGAGGTCTCCTAACCCTTTCCTCCCTTCCCTCGCCTGCTCTTTTGAAGAACACTACAAACCACAGCCTAGCCCCTGGGCCTCACACAGACTTGGCCTCAGCTCTTGCACCTGAGGGGCTACTTGTTTGGTGGGAGGAGTGGAGTCTCAGCAAACACCTATGTGATGTGGACAGTTCTGTCACAGAGCGGGGCTGGGGGGGCTAGGGACCCAAAGTGGTAGGCCTAAGGCTCTAGGGATGGTGGAGACTTCCTTGGGGAAGGGCCAGTTGGGCCAGGCCCTGATGGAAAAGGGGGTGTGAGGGAAGGGAACGTAAGCAAAGGCTTGGCGGTGGCCTGGGATGAAAAGCGGTTGGTGAGGCCTGATCGTTGGGCTGCACCACAGCTGGGGCGGCCTGCTAAGCCGGGTGTAGGGGATTGAAGTTGGGACTGACATGGATGGTCCGTTTTGGAAAGATCACTGGGTGGTGGGTAAAGAGGAAGGTAGGTCAGCTGCAAGGCTGGCGTCATGTGTGGAGAGGAGAGGATGGCCTGGGCCAAGGCTAGGCCAAGGCTCCTTACTTCGTCTGGGCTTGTGACCAGGATGTCTATGTGGGTGGTGTGGCGAAGGGGCTAGGCTAGCACCTACCCAGGGACTCTCAGTTTCCCCATCTTTGAAACCCTGCCTATTTCCCAAGGCTCCCTAAGAGCCAGTGAGAAAATATCCTAGGTGCCCAGCTGGGGCCTGTACCTGCTGACATCAGAATATGGTGGGGGGAAGGGACAGGGAGAAGGGGTCATACCCGGGGCCAGCTGGGCAGCTCAAGGAGCCTGGCAAATGGCCCTGTCCAGGAAATGCCTCTTGGACAGATGGCCAACACGACAGCCCATAGCCTGTGACCAGATCCAGTGGCAGAGCCTTCTCAGAGGGTATAGACCAACCCTCAGCCTGAAGGGGCTAGGGCTATAGGCCTGGGACTCACATTCTCCACATTGATGTTGGCCTTTGCACTGGTCTCCATGAACTTGATTCCATAGTCCAGGGCCAGCTGTGAGGGAGGAAGACATATATGCACACACGTCAGCTGCCAGGTGCACCTGACCCCCAGGAAGCACCCTGAATTGGAACAGTGATGGGGAGTCCCCAGATGAGCTGGGTACTGTGGGTTTGCTCCCTGGAGTCACCAGTGGACAGCAGGTGACTATTCATGGCAGGACCACGGCTCCATTCTCTGCTCGCAGTGGCCTTGCTGGGTTCCCATGAGACACCATGCAGGAACATGCACAGCACAGCTTAGGAGCCTTCACTGCTCAGAGTCTTTAGCCTGATGCCTGGCTGGGCATGCTTTCCCCACTCTCTCTTCCCTTGGCATGCGTCCCACTGGGGCGACCAACTCGTCCCCTTTTGCTCAGCAAAGTCCTGCATTCTGGGACCCCCAGTCTTGGACAAGCTGAGATGGTAGGTCATTCTATGCTGATGCAGATTCTGAGAGGTTTAGCAAGCGATCAAGGAACCTTGGGGGGAGGGGGTATGAAAGGGCTGGCCTCTATTCAGAGAACCCTAAAACCCTGAGGTCCCTCCGTCCTGAGGTGCCTGGCAATACCAGGCCCAAGCTGGCCACCACACCCACCTTCTCTCCCCGTTCCTTGGAGACTTGTCTCTTGTCGTTCACGTCACACTTGTTCCCAAGTATCATCTTTTCAACATCTGCAGAGGCATGCTGGGGGAGAGGACAGACAGAGGTGAAAGGTGCAGTTAGACAAGCTCACAGGCCAACTTGTAGCCTGATCCCTGAAATCAGAGTGTTAGGGTCAGGATTGCTAGGCACACCCTTGTGAATATGACAAGCTGAAGTTCAGAGAGGGTGAATAACCTGTCCCATGTCACACAGCCAAAGCCAGGGCTAAGTCTAGGGTTCTGGCTGCTTCTCTGACCAAGTGCATGCTTTCTATCTGCTGAGGATGCTTCTCTATGGGCTGCAATTACCAGGCTCCCGTGTGTGTCCCTGGGAATCCAGTGGGGTCTATGGGAGGTACCCGTCAGGCTCCTCTGTGGGGGCAGGAGGGGGGCAGCTGCTATCCTGAGGGCTTCTACCCTACTCCAACTTACTCTCCTTGGGTTCTGGAAATGGGCCATCCTGGGGTGGTGGCAGCTCTGATGCTTTGCCGTCACTTGGAATTCCCTTAACTCTGTCCCACCCGCCCTTCCTCCGTGCAGTGGCCCTGCTTCCTGAAGACCAAGGCTCTGGATAGGACCTTCTTGCTGCAGCTCAGACCTGATCTCACCAAAATGCCCTGCATGGTTCCCCGCCTAACTTCCTGCCAACTGGAACGCCTTGTTCCACAAAGACCACCGTGAGTGTGGGCAGTTCCCTCCTCCTCAGCCAGGCCCAGCCTACTGACAGCAAATGCGAGATGTATAACCATCGGATCAGCAGTGAGTGGCCTTCTGCTGTGGCAGTCCAGGAGGGGAAAGTCCTCCGGCCACACCTCACCCCAATGCCCCACCTAGTGAGTCATCAAAAGCGGCAAGCGCTACGGTCCAGGAAGGCTTTGGGGTGAGATAAGCTCTTTGGGGAGCAGAAAGGTGACGACACTGGCTTTGGAATGGGGGTTGGGCTGGCCACCTTCCCTTCTCTTCATGGTTCAAGGTCTCTCTTCGAGCCAGCTGTGGTCTGTGTGCTGCTGAACACGGGGAGCTCACACCGACTCACACCCCACTCTGCTGTGGCTCAAAGGCACTGATACAGCTTCTCACCACACCCTCCAAAGACAAAGGTCATGCCAACTCTAGGACCTTTCCTTTCTAGAAAGCACCAAATGCTCACGGTGACTGAGAGTTTGGGCGATTCTTGTCATCACCAAGACATCACCAAACCCAACAGCCCAGATGGGGAAATGGGCTCTCAGAGTCACTGTGACCAGGCGAGGGCAGCGTGGTCTCTAGGGTTGACTGCCTGCCTGGATTCCAGCCCCTGCTTGGGCTACATTGCTAGCTATGGGTCTCTGGACAAGTTCCTGGGGGTGGCTCTGTGCCTAGTGATCTCACCTATAAACCAGGGGGCTCCAGGGTGAGAACTGAGGAGAAGCAAGGTGGAAGTTTCCCTTAAGCCTTACCTCCTCAATGTTCCGAATCCAGTTCCGGATGTTGTCAAAGGACTTCTCGTTAGTGATGTCGTAGACCAGCATGATGCCCTGAGCAAGGGGAGACGGATGCGTTCTAGAAAAGCTGTGAGCTGGAGACCCAGCGAGGCAGGATAGCAGGGACCCTGACATGACACCTCTCCCTACAACTCCCTATTCTCCATTGCTGGGCTCTTCCTCTGCTGGGCTCCAGCAACAGCCTATCCCTGGTCTCCCAGGATCTAGGCCAGTCCCCTCAGTCACCAAGGAGACCTTCACCCCTACACCAGATCCCACCGTCCCCATGCTTATAAACGGCCTTGCAGGCTCCTCACAGCAGGATAAGTACAGCCCTGTGCCCCGGCAGCCCCTGAGATCCTGCTGACCTCCCAACTTCACATCCTGCACCTCCCAGTGTCCCACAGCCCTGTACTCCCCCATGCCAACCTTCACTGTGCTTGGCTTCCTCCAAATCCTCACTCACCCCCCTGCCCTGGCCCAAGTCACCTCCTGGGTTCAGCCAATGCCACTTCCTCTGGGCGCTTCCTATGTACCAGACACTGCAGTGGGGTCTCCCTAAAGCCCCACAGGCCTGGGTCAAGTGGTCCCACTATCCTCCCCACTCTGCAGATGGAAAATCTGCAGGTTGTGGGATGACAGGCTTAGGTCCCCGTCTCTGGCCCTATAGACAGTAAAGGGCACAACTGGGTTCTGAACCGTGGGCAGCCTGATCCATACATCCCTGTGCCTTCCAGCAACCCCACCAGAGTGGGGGCTGGCTTCAAGCACAGGCCAGCAGCACTGAGGCCCAGTGGTTCCACAGCCAATGTGTGAGTGCCCAGGTACAGACCCTGGGTCCCCAAAGAGCCACAGAGTGACCTTGCCTCCACCTGAGCCCATGATTTCACCATCATGTAAGGGGCAAATATCCCTGTTAGTTAGAGGGGAAACTAAAGCACAGAGGAGAGTGACTTTTAAGGTATAAGCCCAGATGGGGTTAACCCTGAAGGAGCTGTGACACTGGCTCTCTGGGCCCTCCTCAGCACCAAGTGACACCCAGGCCACCCTTGTTGCTCCAGACGTCTTGAAGGGCCTCCACAGCAAACCAGCCTGCAGTGCAGTGCAACCCCCCTGTGCAGCCCAGCATGTGGGCTCGAGCTGTGGCCCAGACCTTGTCTCTGAGGCGGCCTGAGTTTGCAGAGTAAGAAAACTATGCATTGGGTGGAGAACCTCGGGGGCGAGGGTCACCATGGAGACAGGGCAAGAAAGCCTCAGCACTTCCAAATCCCCACCGTGACCTTAAGGATCCCCACAGTGGCCTTCCTGCCTGCCACAGCCATGGTCATGACCTCTCGATAATACCATCTGGGTCCTCATTCTGGGGCCTCCGAGGAACTGAACAGACTGCTGACCTCAGAGATTTCAGAGGACGTGATGTCTGCCTCCCCACAAGGCCAGCGTGAATAGAAGATGCTGGTGGGCAGACTCTGAGTTGAGCATAGTAGGGGGTCTCTGCTCAGAAGCTGCACTCCTGCCATCAGGGGCAGTGAGGACTTTTCACCCCTTTATCCAGGGACTGGCCCCTCTGGTGGCATAGGACAGTGGTTGGCAAACTGAGGTTCTGTTGACTAATGAGTTTGCTGACCACTGGGATAGGGGCTCAATCACAAGGAACAACAACAGCCTGTAATTATTGGAATTGAGAGTCTAGGTCAGTGGTCGGCAAACTCATTAGTCAACAGAGCGGCAGTCTGCTGATCGCTGGCCTAGGATTCTCACTGCCACCAGGAAGTTGGCACCACAGGCCAAGCTTCCAAGGTCCTGGATTTTTACCTATAGGTGTGCGTGGGGAGGGGCAGGGGTGGTGAAGAGGGCAGCAGAGAGAGCTGTCTACCAGGAAACTGTGTCAGTACCTGGAAAACACAAAGTCACCCTATTCCAGGTCCTCCCTGAACTCCCTTTGGGGCTCCTAGTGATCATTTTCCTGGCCCCCATCTGGGCACAGTTCCCCATAGCTGTTTGCAGGCTCACAACAGGACACCAGACAGCCAATGTTCCCATTTTTGAGACCCCCTGGACAGAGAGGGTGATGGGGCAGGAGTGGTGGCAATGTTCTCGGCACTGTCCTTGAGGTTGCTGCTTGGCCACATTCGGCTCTGGGGCCCCTAGAATGTGGCCAGGGAGACGGTGGAGCTGGAGTCCTATTTTAACCGATTAAAATTCAAAGAGCCACATGGATCGCAAACCACCATCGTGTTGGAGCTGGAGAGTGCCTTACAGATGGCTCAGTCCCGCTGGCCAGGGGTGGGCTGAGGGTGTGGGAGCTGAAGAGCCTGCTAGGACCGGCCCAGCCATGTACTCTCTGCATGAACCTAAGTCAGGCATGCATTGGCGCCAAGCCTCCGCGTCCTCATCTGTATAACGGGGATAGCGTGGCACCCACACTCAGGGGAGACAGGGAATTATGGCCACGACCTGGAAGGACAGGGACTACTTGAGACCACATGGAAGGTCCCCCAGGGACCTGAGGGCCCCGCCCCACCAGAACACAGCAAGGTGAGAGGGAAATTAGTAAATTAATTTTAATGAGGAGAGCTAAGGTTGCAATCTTTGTGATTGAGTTTCTATTATGTTTCAGACGTTGTGTGGGACACGCTAAATACTTAATGCCTCCATTCATTTTTGCAGTCCTCCACATTTCCTGAGCTCCCACTGCATACTCGGCACAGTCCCAGGCACAGGGCATATGGCAATGACCACGGAAAAGGCAGGGTGTGGTAGGATCCTGAAATGGAGAGATAGCCACCTATCCTCCTGGCTGTCTGGGACATAGTCTTATTCTCTGTTCCACTTTGCAAGTAAGGAGATGAAACTTAGAGGGTGACCCAGGGTGCTGAGCCAGGTCCCGGGGGTCTGTGTCTGCTCCTGCTGGCCCCCCGAGTGCCCATCTGTACATGCCTCACATATGCATGATCTGCTCAGATCCCCCCTTGAAGCTCCCCCAGCATCCAGTTTAAGCCTGGCCTGGAGAAGGAGCTCGGTAGAAATAGTTGAGGGATGACCAATCTGATCACGTCACCCTGCCTCAGCTGCAGCCAAGAGCCCAGAACAAGTCAGCTCCTGGACCATCTTCAAATTTTCAGCAGCAAATTCCAGAGACTAGCACGGGCTGAGTGAACGCTCCTAAGTGTTGGGACATGCCGCCTCCGATTTCACTGACTTCACCTGGAAGAACCGGCTTCCTGTGTCTTCCTTCATCCCCAAAGAATTAGGTTTCCTTAAACCCGGCATTGTCTCTGAAACCACAAGGGATGTATGTGTATGGGGGAGGGGCACGCAGCCTTTTCCTAAAACTAACCCGGTACTAAGGACCCCGAGGAGCCAGATCATGGGGCCCCTCAGAAACAGCCAGGTTTTCACTTTTACTCAAACAAGCAAACAAACAAAAACACCAATCCATACCATTGCGCCCCTATAGTAAGCTGTTGTGATCGTCCGAAACCGTTCCTGGCCAGCTGTGTCCCTAAAGACGAGAAGGAGAAGGGGTATTAGCGACACTGTCACAGTGAGGATGTCACAGTGAGGATGAGGGGGACTTAACAGGGGTGGACGCCTGGCTGTCTCGTGGGCCAACTCTGATTCATTGTCCTGCAGTGGGCAGCACCCCTCACTCTCCCTGTTCTTACAGAGAAGGAACTGTGACTCAGACAGGTTAGGAACCAGCTGGGGACGCAACACAGCCACCTCTGCTTCCTGGGAATTCACCCTGGAGTTTCGGGGTCACAGAAAAGCCATGGTTCGATGTTACTATTTGTGCAAATCTGGGTGGGACCACAGTTGTGGAAGGGGCTCCTCACATGGCATGGATGACCTCAGTGGAGACTGAGGAGGCACTTTCACGCCATCTCGGGGGAGGCCAGGGAGAAAGTCCTTCCTCACGGACAGGCCTGCGCCAGCCCAGCTCCCGGCATGGACGGCATTCGGCGCTGGGCTTTAGCAGATCGGTGCAGAACCAGGGCCATGTTTTTTGTCTCTGGACTCAGGGTTCCTCCTACATCTCTGTACCCTCTGAACCCCCAATCTCAGGAGGGATCTGCATGCCTAGTCATGTGGGGCTAAGCTGACTTTCTGATGCCAATAGGAGTGACATTTGTGCTTAATCATTTTATTCTCAATCATGGCCTAGTCTAGAAGTTTTAAGAAAGTCACTAACTCCACTGGGACTGCTAAGAGCAGAAGCAAGAAGCCAAGAGGAAAGGAAAGCGAAACTCTGCTTGCTGAGACAGTGTCACTTTGGACTTGGGCACCAAGGCTGCTGGGGAACACAAGTTGGCAGTGGAGGAACCTGTATGGCTTACAAAGTGATAACTTACAAGGTGGCCAGAGCTGAAGGCTAGGAGCTCTGTAGGATGGGCAAAGGCTTTAGGCCTCATCCCTCTGATTCTGAGATCAGATTCAGAGGTGAATGCCGTTGAAGTTGAGAGGGATATGAAGCAAGCTGGGGTGACGCTCATGCTCTGAGATTTGAGGATAAACGGAATCATGCTGTCGGGGGAGGGGTCAAACTGTGGGGGAAAGAGGGCATTTTAAAGCCCATCTCATGGCATTCCCTCCGACCATGGGCTGAAGGGATGGTGCCACCCTACAAAAAAGTACTTTTCTTTATTTTGGTCAGGGGTTTGTGCTCCCCGCCAAGTGATGTGACTGCAAGACAGGGCTCCCCTACATCTAGCCATCTGAGCTCAGCCCGAGCTCCCAGGGCTGTGGGCTGCAGACCAGCATCAGTGCCAGGGACTCACACTTCTCTAATTTTATGTGGCATCTAAGCCAGCCCCAGGTGAAGCCTGGCCTCAGCTTATTTCTGGTTCTGGGGTTTCAGATCTGCCTAATAGGAAATGAGGCGTGGGTTGCCCTGGGAAAGAAAAGAGGAAGCCTTGCTCAGTGAGCTGACAGGCTCAGAAGGAAATGCCAGCCGGGGTATTTTGTCTTCCTGGCAGCTTCTACCACTGCCAGGCACAGAGGGCTCTTTCCAAGTGCCCATATGGAAACCTGAGCTAATGGGGGCTTATAGCTATGTCCCCAGAAGATGCTGACATAGACTTCAGCCCCAGCAGCCAGCAGAGGACAGTTCATGAAGCTTCCGGAGAAAGTGTCTAGGCTGGGCACCAAGAGGCCGTGGTCACAGGGAGTGGGAGGGGACATCAGGAGCTTCTGCTTGAAGTGTCCTCCAGGGGAAGACAGTAATGACTCTTACCATATCTGTAGTTTAATTCTCTTGCCATCGAGCTCTATGGTCCTAATTTTAAAGTCAATTCCTGAAAGAAAAGGAAAAAAAAAAAAAAAGGCACATCACTGTCAGCCCATTTCCCAAGCTGCATATGAGGTGGGCACCTCCAGCCTGTGCAGGGAACTGCTACCATGGCTGGTGCTGGGCACACAGGATCTTGGAACCCTCACAGCTGCCTGGCAGCTGGCAAATAGGCAAACTAGGTAACTCAGGTGCCAAAGCTTTCTTCTCTTCTCTCTGCCACCAGGCAGCCTTAACAGTGGGCCCAGCAGAGCCCTTTGCAGGGTAGACACCCACATTTCCACCTACCCCGTCCCTGGGCCTCCAAGCACCCAGGGCAATAGGCCCCAAGCTGCCCCTGATACAGTCAGGCTCAAGCTTTGGCACATACTGTTCCTTCTCTGTGGTGGTCCCCACCGTGCCCACCTATCAGCTTGGCAAACTTCTCTCTTCTTTAAAAGCATTTTAAGGTCACCTCCCAAGAAGCCTTTCTGACCCTGCCCTCCTCTCTCCCATCTACCTCTCTCCCCAGGACCAGGGCCTCTCAACTTCCTCAGCTTTGCTCCCTCAGTCCCTTCCCTAGCTTCTAAAAACACAAACTGAACCACATCACACAGCTAACCTCTGCTCCAAACACCAATAGATGAATGGGTAAACAAAATGTGGTCTGTGCACATAATAGAATATTACTCGGCCATGAAAAGAACAAAGCACTGACACGCTAAAACAACAGAAAGAAACCTTGAAAACATCATGCTGAGTGGAAGAAATCAGGCACAAAAGGCCACACAGTATATGATCACATTTATATGAAACTAGAGACCCAGTGCACGAAATTCGTGCTGGGGGAGGGGTAAGAGTCCCTCAGCCCAGCTTGCACTCTCTTGCAATCGGGGACCATTGGCTCCTAACCGCTCGCCTGCCTGCTTGATCGCCCCTAACTGCCTCTGCCTGAGGTCCTGCCACTGTGGCTTCTTCCGGAAGGATGTCTGGAATGACATCCGGAAGGTTGTTCAGCTGGCTGGTTAATTAGCATATTATGCTTTTATTATTATAGATGCTTAGAACAGGCAATTCCACAGAGACAGAAAGGAGATTAGCAGTTGCCAGGGGCTGTGAGAGGAATGCGTAGATGGGGTCCCATTGGTAGCAGGGAGGGTGGTGGTATTTGTGACCAAGGGTTTGGGGTCTCTTTTTGGCATAATAGAAGTGTTCGAGAGTCGATGGTGATGGTTCCACAACTCTGTGAAAACCACTGAATTGTACACTTTAAATGGATCAGGTGTATGGATTGTAAATTATATATCAATAAAACTGTTACAAAAACCCAAAAACCCCACCAGGACCTTGGCCCCAGAACAAAGGAAAAACAGTTGCCTGTCTAACCTCGCACCTCTCAGCACTCACAGCTCCACGCTCCTCTCCAGCCTCCTGGCCATTTCCTAACCCAAAGCACACTCCAGCCTCGGCCTTTCACTCTGCTCTTCCCTCCCTTGGAATGGCCTTTTCCTCCACGGTCACCTGGCTTCCGCCCTTCCCTTCACGCAGGTTCCTGTTCAGGTCACCTCCTCTGGGGTGTCTTCCTGACCTTCCTTATTCTCTCTCCCCTGCTTTTTCCTTTTTCATGCGCTTATCCCTGACATTGTCTATTTGGTTATTTGCTCCATGAAAATGAGCAGCAAAACCTGCTGATCTGAATGGCCTGTGTGAGGGGAACCAGCCTCTGCCTCTGTGAGTTTGTTCTTCATCTCTGCCTGTGAAGCCTTGAGGCTCAGGCCTGACTTGCACCCCCAGAATCCATTAGGACAATGCTAATTCCCTCCCTGCTCGCCTCAGGACCTGTCCTGGGGGCCACATAGAATATAAGCCTGCGCTTAAAGTGCCCACTAGGCTATAAGCTCCGGGAGAGCAGAGAATCAGGTTTTATGACTGCATTTCCAGTGACAGTGTGGCAGGGGCTGGATATGTACTTTCTAGAAGCCAACTGCCCAGTCCTGTACACACACCTTGACCATAGACCTTGTTACAGTGCTGCCTCCCTGAGTCATCTGAGTCATCTCTCCAGCCCCACACGGAGGTGGAGGCCTGGCGTGCAGCGGGCGTCAGGGAAAGATGACTGAATGAAAGAATTAGGAGCAATGGGATCTGTGTGATGCTCCATGGTTTCCCCTGTCATCTGTCTGCTTGAATACATGGATGAATAGGGTCTGGAGGAGGTGGTGGGGTGAGCCAGGCTAGGGAGAACCAATTCTGGTAGCCACGAGGCCAAGTTCACACCACAATCGATGGACTTATGAGAACAGGCTGTGGCAAAACATAATCTGCAGAAAATGAACAGCCACTTCATCTCTGATCTATAAAGAAAACCAGAGGCACGCTCACTGCCAACAGAGAATCCCCATAATGCATTAGGTTGCATTTCAGGACCAAGCATCCCAGTGACATCCCTTCCTAACGCCCCTCCCCCATCGCAGATGCACTGGGACCTACGGAATCAAGAATCACCATTCAATCGGCAGAGCACCATAGCCCTGTCCTATTCTGCTCCTGGGTTTTATTAACACACCAAACTTAATTAGGAAGTGTAGAGTTTACAAGGCCCAAGAGGCTATAACTTCAAGGTCAGAATTAAATGCAACTTTCCTAGAAGACACAGACCTGCAGGAAGGCTACACATGTCACAAGGGAAAAACAGCGGGAGGGAGAGATCCTGGTTCAAGGGCCTCCTCTACTCTCCTGGGTGCCCTTGCCCAAACCATGGTCTCTTCTGCAATGGTGGCCTGTCTCCTCAGAGCCCTAAGTGCCAGCCTGGATGTTCTGGTCACGAATTGGAAATCAAATAAAAAGCACACCCCTACACTGATCTTCCTGGTGCTTGTGCTAACTAGGAGGTTTCTGCCACTGGGGAACTGAGATCTGGGTTGAGAGTGACCCTCAGCTTGCCAGGTGTTGGCACCACTCCCTGATTGATGGGGACCCAGGAGTTATACCAAAGGTTGACTTTGGAGAGGGAGAAGGGAAGGAATCAGAAACACTTGTGTCCCGGGGAAGAATGCTGTCCGCCAGGCAATGGGGACCATCTCCTATTCATGCACAGTTCTGATCCTCAACCACCCAGGGCAGGAAGCAAGGCAGCGAGCATCACTCCTACACGGGGCTCAGAAAGGCGAAGGATGGTTCCAGAATGAACAACAGCTGAGAATCAGGCATGAAGATTTCCTCTACTTGGCACCTGGCACCTCATTTTGCCAAGTGCAGCTCCGGGAAGAGGGCACTCAGCAGCTCACTGTGGGGGTCCAGAGACAACGTGGCCGGGTTTAAGCCACACAGGGGTAGGGCAGAGCCTGTGTTCTCCATCCAGAAGCAATGTCTGGGCTTGGCTACTGTTCTCCCACTGCCCCAAGGCTGCACGGACCCGTGCTCCTCCCGGGGCCACAGCTGTTTTATGGTGTGGGGAGAAGTCAGCTCCTTCTGTGGCTATCGGAACTGAAAAGCAACAAGTCAATTCCGTTCAGCCACGATGTGGGCTGGCCTTGCAGGAAATGCTCTTCTGCAGAGTGACAGCCGGTGTCCTGGGCCCAGCGATAGGGAAGTCGGGCTGTCGGTGGCAACGGCCGATTCTGGTTTCTCACCGAGACTTTTATCTAGCATCTCTTTGGGGAATGACAGGTCCCAGGGAGGACAGCTGTCACTTGCCATTGCTGTGACCCGTGAGTGGGATAGAAGGCGGGACAGAGGAAGGCTTTGAACTCCCTCTTCTAGAAGAAATTCACCCATGAGGAGGGAGAAGGGTCTTAACCCCTGAAGGGGTAAGAGCAGAAGAGATCTGGGTTAGAGTTCTGGCTCCGGGGTGGGTCAGCGGTGCCTGTCTAATGCTCTCACTCTCTGGGATGCCTGAGCTTTGAGCTTTGGGTTCAAATTCCACCTCCGCCACCTGCAGACTATGATCTTGGGCGAGCCCCACACCTCCCTGAGCCTCAAATTCCTCATCTGTGAGATGGGCTCACAACAGACCTACCCCAGAGGACTATAGGATGTGATAATGAACATAGAGAGCCTGGCACACAGTAAATTCTTTATAAGATTAGATGTCACTGGGCCTTTTCCCACAGCAGCTCCTTATGCCTCAATTTCACTTCTGCAAGACGGGAACCCTTCTTGCAGACCAGCTTCTTTAAAGAACATCTTCAAAGACTGCAGTGAGGCCCGAACGAGATGACAGGCGCCAAGACCCTAGCCTAGGGAATCTATTCTCCGAAGAGCAGGCTGAGGGTTGGGCCTCAGTCTTCGCATCTGCAAAATGGGCACTCGGTCTGCTTCATGGCCCAGGAACCCCCGAACGGCGGCTGAGACGACTGCTCTTCTCCGCTCCGAACCCCTCGACCCTCCCAGATCACTGTGTTCGTCCGGCCCCGCCGCTCCCTCAGCCCCAGCCCGAGCCTCTCAGGGGCGCGCCCAACCCAGGCCTCCGGCGACCCCGGCCGCTCCCCTGCCCCGTTACCTATGGTGGAGATGAAAGTGGAGTTGAAGGCGTCCTCGGAGAAGCGGAACAGGACACAGGTCTTCCCCACCCCCGAGTCCCCGATCAGCAGCAGCTTGAACAGGTAATCGTAGGTCTTCGCCATATTACACTCTCTCCCCGACGGGAAGTGCGGCCACTGCTTCGCCACTGGCCGCTGTTCCCGTCCATCAATGCCTAGGTCGCCTCCCATTGGCTCCCAGCCTTTGGCGCGTCACCGCAGCCTGCGCCCGCCCCTGCACCCCGCCCGTCGCGGGGAGACTTGGGGAAGGGGCGAGCGGGGCGCGGAGCCGGAAGCGGCCCCAGGGCACCGCTCATTGGCCGACGCTCGAGACAGGGCGGGCTGCGATTGGCCAGCGGTGAGGAGTCTAGGGGCTTCAAAAGAAGATCGGGACAAGGGGTGTGGTCTCTCGGGTCCCGGCTTTCTTTCCCGGACTCTACGGAGGCCCCGCCTTGGGGGCCACCCCCCCTCCTCCCCAGCAAGGCGGGGATTGCGCCGGGATCAGCGCCAACGGCTCCGCGCCCCCGCAGCCCCGGGAGGGGCCTGGGGAACTTGCGCAAGCGCGCCAGGGAAGCCGTTAGGTGCCAGCAGAGGGCGCACGCGCACGGAGTCTCTGGCTCCCGCCTTCTCGGCCCGCGCAGCCTCAGTAGGCTCCGGGAAGAGCGCGGGAAGGCGCGGTGGCTTCGTTGGTTTGGTCTGGAGGCCTCTGCTTCAGGCAGGGCAGCAAGCAGGCCAGGGAAATCCAAAGAGGAAAGGAGAGTAGGGGGGCTCGTCACAGTGGAAATGAGGCTCTTCCCCTTATCCCCCCCTTCCCCCACCCTCCCCGCCCCCAACTTAGGCGCTGGCTAGGGGACCGATTTAAAGCTACCCAGGCCTTCACCAGCGGAGCTTGCAGGGACAATTCAGGATGGCCCTTGGATCTAATTAGAGGTTGTCCAGGACATTCTCTGCCTTCACTTTTGCCCTGTGTTAGAGTTGCTGAAGGAGGAACGCATGAGGCCAAAAGGAGTGAAGAATTATAAATTTACTAGAGGCCCGGTGCACGAATTCGGGCATGGGTGGAGTCCAGCAGGCCAGCCCTGATGGTGGTGAGGACAATTGGCCCGTGGCCCTGGCCCCTGTCAAACTCCTGGTTGAGGGGGCAATTTGCATGTTAGCCTTTTATTATATAGAATTAGGTCATCTGGATACCCAGATGGGCTGAGCCCCCCAAAATGGCACCAGCACCCAACAACAGGGAGTCAGAGGTTTTTAAGGGCTCTAGGCTGGCTTTTTCTGTGCAGGTCTGGATTCAGGAAACTCCACAGGGGAGAGATAATGGTCTTAGCAAGTGGAATGTGGCCTAAGCAAGTGGAATGTCCATTATGAAGTGGCCTAAAGGTCAATTCCCAGGGAAGGGGGTATCGATTCGATTCTTTGGTCAGACCAAATACCCTGGCGCTTCCCTGCCCAAACCTAGTCAGCCCTCTGGAGCTCAGAACCCACCCAGTAGGTTAGGATAGTGAGAATTACAGTTAGTATTTAGGAACGTTGGTTTTGTGCCCGCCAGTGTTTGTGGAAACAGTTATAAAAGAAAACAATATAAAACATTTAATCCCCATGGCAACCCACTGAGGTAGGTACTATTGTTTAACCACGTTTTGTTTTGTCTTTAAAGCCTCACCTGAAAATATTTTTACCATTGATTTTTAGAGAGTGGAAGGGAGCGAGGAGGTGAGAAACAGCCATGTGAGAGAGACACACATCAATTGGTAGCCTCCTGCAAAAACCCTTGTTGACTAATGAGTTTGCCAACCCCTGGGAAGGAACAACAGCCTGTAATTATTGGAATCAAGAGTCTAGGTCAGTGGTTGGCAAACTCATTAGTCAACAGAGCGGCAAACTGTGCTTGCAAGCCGCATGTGGCTCTCGAGCCACACTTTGCTGACCACTGCACGAGGGTTTTCTGCTTTTCAAAGATGGGCCATATTCCGTGTAGGGGTGGCCTCATCACTTGGTGTCACACTGGGGCATCAGAGTGGTTTCCAAGAGATGGCTCTCCTCCCTTACACTTAGCCCATTCTGTTCATCTTGTTTAGGAAAAGCTTCAACCAGAGTCATAGACCACTGGGTAGGTTTCAATCCCTATGGAATTTGATGCTATTGGCCACCTTACTCTGGCAATTCCTTTTCTTGGCACTTTTCCCATTTTATCTGCCTGTTTCTTCACCTGCCACCTACACTTCCCCTTCTCTGGGTGCTGCTTGTCAGATTTCCTTGTCTTTGCGGGGGGTGAGGGGTTGTGGGAGTCTCTACCTGTCCCTTAGAAGTCCATGTGCCTCATGCTTCCCTCCCTGTTAGCACTTTCTAGGTGGTCCTCCCACCCACGTGGCTTCCAGTATCTCTCCATACTGGTGATTCTCACTTCTTAGAGAATCTAGTGCCCAGCTATCACTCTATGTCCAACTGCTTTCTCAGCATCTGCCTTTGGATTTGTCAGAGATCCTTCAAATTCAGCATGTCTTCAACCGACCTCATCATCTACTCACATCAGCTCATCCTCAATTGCCTTCTATCTGAAACCTAAGTGGTCTTTGGGACTTTTCTTCATCTCTCACATTCTGGTTCTCGGGGACAAGTAGCTCTTGAATCTTGCTCTTCTGTTTCCATCGCCCCTCAGCTCATCACATCTCCCACTGGTCTCCTGATCATTCTCTAATCCAGATTCCATCCTGCAGTGTGTGTTCCTTCTAAAACACCCAGAATCCACCCTGACAACCTGGTCCTAACCTCATCTTGTGTTCCACTCATACTTCATGGGGCTGGGAATTCCTCAAGGCCTGAGACAGTTCAGTTTAATAAACATTGAATGCTTGTGTTAATTGTTCAGGTATAGGACTAAACAGTATCCCTAGATTAATTATAGCCAAGGGGGTGGGAAGGAGGGAGAAGGAACTTCAATCTAGTAATGGTAGGGCATTTAGAGGGGATACTACTTTATTGACATTCTCTTCTATCATCTAGATGAGCTCAGTGTCAGCTAAATGTTGAACAGCGGGAAATGTTTTCAATTGCGCTGGGTAACAAAACATTGTTTGCATGCTGCATCAGTGTCTTAAAGCCTTTCATTTCTCTTTTTGATTCCCTAGCTCCCTTCCCCAAGATGAGATCTTGAGGCAAATACCAAACCATTCAGGTAGTTAAACTGCAATCTGCTAAATTTTAAGATTACTTCCTTCGGGTCACTTCTTCCTTCTTATTCTTTGGCAAGTACTACCCTGGATTAATTGAAACATTGAATGCTAAGTGGAATTTTCTAATGTCAATGGCTTTCCACTTCTGACCAAATTATGTTCAGGCTCTCATGTTCAGGCTCTCATCGAGGTGAACCAGCCTACCTTCCCAGCTTCCTATATTTTCCCTTTATGCAATGTACAGAAAACCTTTTCCAGGCAGGCCTGTGCTTTTCTAACTAAAGCAACAGGGACCAAATTTCCTACTCCGATTAATATCCTACTCATTCTTCACAGCCCGGCTCATGATTGGGAATAACAAAGGACAGAAGCTTTTGAGTTACTGAGGCAAAGCGCTCTCACTGTAATAAAGAGATCATAATCCATATAACACGAAGTCATGGTATAAAGCTAATAAATAAAATTTGCTCAATTCATGGCACAATTATCTCTCCATCCCATTTGACGTTCATTGAACCACAATGCCTTATATATATCCCCACACATTATAAAATTCACACAAATTATAGTTTATGTAAAAATTTATTTGACCAAAATGTAGAAAAAGTGATACTATTACATATGATACAGTTGCAAGAATCTAAATGAAAAGTGTGGGTTTTATTCAATTGCACAATTTGCTAGTGTATCTCCTGGGTAGTGTGATGCATAATAAATAGGAGTGAGGGGCAGAGGGAGTCCGAAAAGCTAGAATCAGGGTGATTTTTAGGCAGAACTGTAAACTTGAGTTACCCCCCTCACTGCTGGGGAATATGGAATGTTTCAGCTGAGATGTTAACCAAGAAAGCAAAAATATAACAAAGCCAAAATGTGCAGCCTTGTCTACAAAATACTCCATTATCCAGTTGAATCAGGAGTTTCCTGGTCTTTTATTAACTTGGTCCTGACGAAGGAATTAAAGCCCTAAATAAGTAAGTCTTCAATTTACCATTCCCAAAGTACAGAGGAGATAAGTTAGGCCGATGACATTATCTCTTCGGCCAGAGAGGACCCTTCTGCCCAATATTTAAGAGAAAAATGCTCTTGCTCAATTATTGAAGGCTAGCAGTCTTTGTGGTATGGCTTCCTGAACAGGACTGAATTCATTCCTGCTGAGTGGATGGCCTCAAATAAAAGTAAATGTCACATTTCCCAGGCATTCTCGTACTGTTTGCTCAAAGGATGTTCTGCACAGTAGAGTGTGGGAAAGAGCCAGAATAGTTAATCTACCTATGGTTTACGACTTCCCACAATAGCCTCTCCCCCAGCTTTTTTGTGCTCCGGATGGAAAATTCCCACCCATTTTAAAGTGATGGTCCCTGGCCTCCTACAGTGTGTCCTACGGTGGCCCAGTGGTTCTATTCTTCAACCTTTTAAATTGGCCAGTTACTACGTAGATACTAGAGTCTGTGTTTTGGAAGTGTGGGGTTGTTTACTCTCCCAGAAACCACATGCCCTCAGTCTTAAGAGACTAATGTTCAATAGGAAACACCCTGACTAGCTTAGGAATAAATGCAATTTAAGGATAAAAATAGAGCTAAAAAAATCTGGTGCCATTTGGGGAAGAGGGGAAGGAATTAGATTTAACTGATGCTCAAAGCTTCTCTGATACAAAATATTTGGTCACATACTCATAATTTGCTTAGATGCAGTAACAAAAGAAACTTCTTACAAGAGAAGAGAAAGAAATGGAGGTCTGGAGCTTCTGTTGGAACAAGACTCTTCTATTGTGGTTATATACAGTTAAGTTCATTTAGCGTCTGATCCAGTGTCTGATGTAAGCCCACGTTCTCTTCTTTGGCCTGAGCAAGTTTTTCTGGTGAGGATTAAGAGTGGAAGAAAAACAAATTACTAAGCATCTTTTTAAAGAGGGGTGGGGATGGGGGAGAAGGTCTCTGAAAATCCGTACTGCCAGAGTATAAGTCATAGCAGAGAAAGTATTTTGCATTCTAATTATAATAGAACACCATGGAATAATAGAAATGAAGTACCAAATTTAGGAGTCAGATCAGATTGCAGGATAAAAATACAGGGCGTTCCGTTGAATTTGATTTTCAGGTACACAAACTTTTTAGTATAAATATATGCCAAATACTGCATGAGATATACATATACAAAAAAAAAATTATTCATTGCCTATCTGAAAAACAAATTTAACTGGGCATTCTGTACTTCAATCTGCTACATCTGGCAATCCTAAAATCAGAACACCTGGATTGAAGTCCCAGCTGTGCCAATGAAGGAAGCCATTTAACCTTTTAGGTCTGTTTTCCCACCTGTCAAATGGGGATAACAATGCCAGTCGATCAGTCCTATAACCTGTCTTTCTTTTGGAGCTTCTCTGAATGGCTGTTGAAATTCCACCCGTAATTGTGTCATTGTGTCTATGTGTCCATAGCAATGTAGTCAAACCCAAGCAAACGCAACATGATTGAAATTTAAGCCAAACTATGGGTATGCTATTACGTGATTGAGCTGATGACACAATTTTTTTTTTTTTTTAAGAAAGTAAGATGCCATTTAAAGCTAAGCGTGACAGAACACGAGGGAGAACTGGTTTGCCGTGAGTGATGGCTGATAAGGGAGTAGGCCAAGACTCATTAAAATACTGAAGGGAAGCAAAATGTCTCCCAAAAGGTGATAGGATCAGCTTGGAAATTTTCAGAAAGGAAAAAAATGCACAAGATGGCAGCCTTTAGAATAAAACTGCGAAACTTTTCATTTGACCAGGCACTTAAAAAAAACACACCAAGCCACTCTGATCTCAGAAGATTCCTTCAGAACAGTGACCCAGGCCTTTCCTGCCAGGAAGGGTACATGTAATTGAGTGCCTACTGTGTGAGCTCATTTTTCCATCATCTCATTTAATCCCCCCAATAACGAAGATACCACCTTTATTTTGCAGAAAAGCAAAATAAATAGTTTGTTCAAGGTCACACAGCTAAAGTGGTAGAGCTAGAATCAAAACTCCGACACCCCAACTACAAATCCTGATCTCACTTCACCTTGCCACTGGATTCCTGGCAGCTACTTTGTTATTGGGTCTGAGATAAAACAACTTTCCCTGTTAATTGCCCTTGAGAATCATGACAGTCCCACAGACAGGTAGTAGTAGGTCACCATAGCCCCAATCCCTGTCCATGAATTACCATGTAGGTGCTTAAAAAAAGTAACTAGAGAGAGACAGAGCTGCAGCTGTTTCAAAGGGTGGAGGCTACAAATGTCTGGGAAAATCCCAGGAACAAATACAGAGAACAAACAGAATACACCCACCTCCACACAGCCCATAACTTTTCCAGGGGTGGATGTGTGACAATGCGAGGGGTGTGGCTTATACAGAAGTTCCTAGTGGATGGCAGTTAGAAACAGGGAGATGCTGGGGGTGGAAGGGGGTGGGTTGTTTGGGAGAGATGTGTTTTGGAGCAATGACTACAAAGAAAAATCAGGACAGAGGTTCCCACTTGAATCAAACAGGATGAGGAATAACAAGCCATAGGGACCCCACACTGATGCTAACTGGAGATTTTCATGCCATGTAGGGGAAGTCTGGAACATGTGGCTTGGACATCTACATGTCAGAGTTCCTGAGACGATCTGAGGTAGTGGTGGTGGAATGCAGGGGAGGCCTGAACGGACTTGCAAAGGTTCCTGGTTCTACTTAACTCACGTATGAGGGGAGGTAGAGATTAGCATCTCAGGCAACTTTATTTGAAACTCAGAAAAGGATCACCTCACTTCCTTTCTTTGGCATTCCAGCAGCTTCCGCTCTCTCCCTGCTAATGGGATGCTCTTTAATTCTTTGTAGAGTAGTTTTCTACAGACAAGCTATAGAGATGAAGTTCATGGGTGAACTTCTTCCCAGGACCTGGAGCTGGACAGATGTTCCATGAACAATGAAAGCATAGGGAACCCCAGGCACTGTCCTCAGAGTATAAAGAGAAACACATGCAAAAAGGCGTAGAGACAAGAATGCGTTTGCCACTATTTGAGTCTGTAGAGCAAACCCCATTCAAGCGTAGCCTCTTTTTCAGACACACGCCTGCTGGTTTCTGCAAGTTCTGCTGACTCTCTGAGGCTGCTTAAGAGGGTGGATGAATCTCCACTCAAAACAATGTCTGTTTAAGGAAAAACAGTTACTGGTAGATAGAGAGTCTGAGAGCTCGTGCCAAATTGGCTTTTGTTTTCATGTCACCAGAAAATAATCACATGGGCATAATTTTCTTTCTGAAATGAGCTCTTCATTGAAACCACCCACGTCAAGGGCACCACAGCTACTACGGCTTAAGAGAGGCAAGTGGAAAAAAATGAAAATAAGAGGGCATGAAGATGAGGACTGCCTGTCTTTATTTCGGTCACACAGTCACAGTCACAGCAGACGGCGGCTTGAAGGGTCAAACCAGGAGGCAGGAAATGGGAACAGAGGTTCCACAGTGAGAAGGCAGACTTCGGTTTGGCTAGGACAGAGGACAGCACCCTGCTGCCTCTCAGAGAGAGGGCATGTCGTTGAGAGCATGGTCCAGCTCCTGGCTGATAGCCTTGTACTTGAGCTTCTGAGCGTATAGCTCGTCTAGAGGGTGGGTGTCCCCAGAGAGAGAGAGTTCAGAAGAGGTACAGGGGACAGAACGCGAGGGTCGGAATGGCGTGCCACAGATGAGCAATGAAAGGGAGAGAAAAAAAGTGAGAAAACAAAGCATGAACTAGGAGGAAGTTGTGTCTTATGGAAAACAAACAAGAAAACAAAAGACAGAGTGATTTCTAAGCATTTTGAAGTTCTACTGGGGATTAATCATAACCTTTAAAAAGAATGGTGACTGACTACAAATGCACAGGTCACTAGACTCCTGCCCTGGGTTGTTGCTGACTTTCAATGATGTCACCTGGTTAAAGGTCATACCTGGGAAGGAGGGTAATTCTCCTTATATGGAAGCCTCACTTCCCAAACCCAGCTCGGGACACATGGTCTGGGGAGTAAGTTTTGTACCTTTTCCAGGTGAAAGAGGCAGCTTGGGAGATTCTGTCTGAACCCCAAGATCTGGAATTCCAGAATTATTTTATGAAAAACACAGGACAGGACAGAATTTTTTTAAAAGTTGGAATTCTACAAGAAATTCTGGAATCTGTGGGGGCACCAGGCTTGCAGACTGGAGTCTTTATTTAGTCCCTACGTTCTCTATATTTCTGTTGTCTCATATAGTGATAAGCTCAGCTCTCTGGGAGAGAGCTTCTGTAAAAATTCAAGGCATCTGAAAAATGCAAGACATCTCTCAGAAATGAGAAAATGGAAGAAAATTCTAAAGACATTTTTTAAAAAAAATCAGCCATATTTGGGTCTTTGTACTCACACGTGGAGCTAATTATCCAAAGATACTTTATTTCTCAAAAAATGGCAACCTGAGCCTGAATTTGAATTGCACTATCTGATTCCAATGCTCCAGACTTCCGGATGTGACATCACTTTGCACCTACTGAACGTAGCCCAACTTAGTCCCTGCACACATTTCCCCCAACATTCCATGGATCTGTCAGGTAGGGGGAGACAGAGCAAACAAAATTAGATGGTAATCTCATACCTTCCAGGTCATCAATAGATTTTTCCAGTTTTGCAACTGTTCTCTCTGCAAATTCAGCACGGGTCTCGGCCTAAAGGAAAAGACGTGAGTTACTATGATTGCTTCAAGGCCAGCACCAGGAGAAACTTGACCAGTTGGGTGTGATCACTCACCTCTTTCAGTTTGTCAGACAGAAGTTTAATTTCTTCTTCATACTTATCCTCCTTTTCAGAATACTGTGGGAGAAACCAAAATATTGCTTTTAAAAAAAAGGAGAAAAAGGCATACAGAATACTAATTCCCTGCTCCTTGGAAAAAAATGTGCTTGAATATGCCTAAGAAGTAAAGTAGAAGCAGGCACCTTCCCAGGCAAAACTCAGAGAATCTGTGGGAGACTCCTCTGGGATGATACCGAGCTGATAACTTCAGCTAAAAGTGTGAAGGTGAGGCCAATGATTGAATGGAAATGCATGCTATTCAAGGTCCTTCACATCTATATTTTTAACCCCATTTCCCACCAACTTCCTCAAGATACTATCTACTTCCTCAATAAATTTTGTGTATTTTTCTGATCTCCCAGCTCTGTCTACCATGGCGACCCAGGGTCAGAATGTTCTTTTCCTAATTACCACCTGTTAGAAATCATGTGTCTCTCATGGCCCAATTCAGATGAATATTGATATTTACCAACTGCTTGCAATGTTGCTAGATAGCCTCAATCCCATTTTACAGATGAGTAAAGAGGTCATTTGTGTAGGGTCACATGGCTATCAAATGATCCAGCTGAGACTGGAATCTGACCCTGGAATTTGAGCTCCCGGCCATCATTATGTTCTGCAGCCTTTTTTAAGGTCACCTCCCCATGACACCTTTCCCAACTTTCCCAGGTCCCTCTGTTGAAATTCCAAAGCACATTGTCATCATGTTAGTTTCTTCCACTCAATTTGACTCTGAGCTCTCACAGCAGAGAGGCCATATTGAGCTCTCACAGAAGAAGCCACGTTGTCATGTATGCCTGGATTTTATGTAATCCTCAAATATCCGTATCAAATATATGCCAAGCACAAGACTAGGACTAATGATATAGCTCTAAACAAGTCAGCTATAGGACCCAATCCTTAAAGTTTACAATCTAGAAAGGAAGGCATATAATTTTGTAATTATGATGGATGAGATCAATCATCATGATAGGAAGAGATGTAGGTGGGGCTAAAAAGCTAAGAGACGCCTAACCTAGATGTGCAATCAGGGCAGGCTTCTCAGAAGAAGTGCTGTTTAAGCAAAGGCCTGAAGGATGGATAGGTTATCAAGCAAAGAGAAAAGGAAAGGTTGCTTCCGAAAGCAGGTTTAAAAGAACTGGCAATGATGAGAGAACATGGAATGTCTGTGAAACTGAAAGTCAATGCTACTGGAGGATAGGAGGAAGAGGTTGAGGAAGTGATGAGGATGAATTCAGCGGGGTAAGCCTACATGTTGCTCCTACTGTGATTCTAACCTGTTGTGACCACTCTGAACACTGTGTTCACCTAAAAGTTATATCCCACTTTTGATATCTGCTGCACAATCTTCAATAAGGTATTTCTGGAAGAACCAAGGGATCCAAGCGAGAGTGGGGCTCTGTATTTATAGGATTGTACTCAGATCGCCCCAGGAAAAGCCGGACCAGGCATTCATCTCATATTCCATCTCTACCTTCATAAGAATTGGAGATAAAAGATGGTGCTAAGCCGAAACCGGTTTGGCTCAGTGGATAGAGTGTCGGCCTGCAGACTGAAAGGTCCCGGATTCGATTCCGGTCAAGGGCATGTATCTTGGTTGTGGGCATATCCCCAGTAGGGAGTGTGCAAGAGGCAGCTGATTGATGATTCTCTCTCATCGATGTTTCTAACTCTCTATCCCTCTCTCTTCTCTCTGTAATAAATCAATAAAATATATTAAAAAAAAAAAAAAAAAAGATGGTGCTAAGACCCCATGAAAGAGAGAAATCCAGCCACCAGACACCTCTTTCTGTGGGGAGAAAAACCCAGCAGCTGGCCACTGAAGCTGCTGTTAGCAAATACAGATCCCTGTTGCCCTGGCATGCTCCTGTGTACCTCTGGGGAAGAAGAGAAGCAAGTCCAGCCAATCAGCCTCTCACTAAAGCCAACCGACCTTTTCCGAGGCAGCCTCCAGCGATTTCAGGTTGTTAGTGACATTCTTGAGTTCTTCTTCCAGGTCACCACATTTTCTGCACAAAGACAAAGGATTTTTATGTCTTATCTTCCCTGACAGCAAGCTACTCCCCTAACAGCAGTCTTCCAAAGGAGGAATCCACGCTGCCTGGAACCCCCGACAAGGAATGCGAGCAAAAGGTTAATGGCCTTTTCTGAGCCGGAGTACTGTGTACTTATCAAAACCCTGTCATGCCAGGCAAAGGCGCGGCAGGCAGGCTGAGGAGTATTTGGAAGGTTTTTAGAGTGCTCCTGGGCTCCTGCCAAGGCTGAGGCAACAGGGACTTGTGGAATCTATGATTGATGAGGCTGACTCCGGAAGGTGTAAGAATGAGATGGAGAGCAGGAGGCTGGGAGGCAGCAGGCTACACTGGACGCCACAGGAAGCAAGCCCAGGATGGGTTTGCAAAACCAGACCGCTTTCTGCACTGTGGGATGCTCTGTGGAGAGGAATTTTTATATTTTGGAGCTTTCTGGATTCTGGTCAAGCCTCTTACTCCCCCTCCCCGGCCTGTTGGGGTTAATGTGTCATGGCCAAATAATGACTTCAGAAGCAAAGTATTTAAACACTGGGTGGGAGGAGGGGAGGGCTGCCTTCTATAGGTCAGCTTTCTGTTAAGAAGGCACGCCTACTGAGATAGTCTCTCTGGAAGAATGAGACTTCTCTGCCACCAGCTGTCTCCCTCCTACTTCCTAATACCTTTGTGGTTAGAGTCAAGGCGTGAACAGCAAGGACAAACAGTTGCCACCTCTGTCAGCCACAGAAGCAAAGAGGAGCTACAGAGCAATGAGTCCAGTTGCCCATCCACCTGACCAGAGGCCTTGGTTGGGGTAAACGAACTCTCCCGCAGCTGGGCCCCACTCAGTTCTCTGCCACTCACAGTTCAGACACCTCGGCACGCTCCTCTGCTCTCTCCAGCTCGCCCTCCAGGATGACCAACTTACGAGCTACCTGCAGAGACAGAAAGGATTGTCGGAGACTGACCACCCGCCCCCCAACAGACACACACACACACACACACACACCCCTGCCCAACAGCCACATCTAATAGGATGCCCTCCCAGACTATGCCAGGGGCTTACTGCTGCTGCTTTAACTCAGTCTGGAAAACATCCACATTCTCTCCCTTGGGCCCCAAGAGTGAGGCAGACAGGAGGGGAAGGAAGAGCTGAGACCATGGATGCAGGCAGAAGGGGGACTGAAGATCCATGACCAGGGACCATGATTCCCAATTTTAGCCAAACTGGGCTGAAATGCACAGCTTCGGGACAAAAAGTGATCTGGTCAGCTGATTTCCCCACCAAGCGTCACAGAATTCCCCAGGACCTTTTGGCATTGTGGAAGATACAGTCCCCAGCCAAGTGGTGTCTCTGGAAAAACAGATGTGGATACAGATGGACAGCTGACCTAACAGAGGGCTTCCTTTGGGCAGCCCCAGGATCTCCCTATCACACATCCATTTCCTCCCTACTTCCTGCCGCCGCCGCCATCTGCCAGCCCCACTCACCTCCTCGTACTTGCGGTCAGCCTCCTCTGCAATGTGCTTGGCCTCTTTGAGCTGCAACTCCTGGATCTCCATCTTCTCCTCATCTTTCATGGCCCGGTTTTCTATCACCTTCATTCCTCTGCAAGGACAACCTTGTCATGACCGACACAAACGCAGTACCCCCTCACCACACACCACCACGGACCTGCGCATCTGAGAGCTTGTCAGACATCTGCTAAGAACCAGACTCCAAAGAGGAAATGATGGAGCTGCTCACATATACTTTTCACCCTCACTGAACGCTGGGTACTGCTTTAAATGCCTTAAACTTTAAAACCACCCCACGAAGCGGTAGGTACATTATCCCCATTTCACAGAAGAAGAAACCAAGGCACAGAGAGGCGAAGTGACCAGTGAGTGCAGAGCTGGAACTCAAACCTGAAGTCTGTGCTCCCATTCTGAATAACCTCTGACGAGTAACAGGATGTATTTGTGTGCTGTCACTACAATGTGGCTAGAGACTGGGCCAGGTTGGCTAAGGAGGGATGAATTCTGTGGCAGTGGGGGAGGTGCCGTTCCAGAAGAGTCCACAAGTGAACAAGGGGAGTAATTCTTCAGTGAGGGAGCCGCACAAGAAAGCCCCAGAGAAATGTCACAACACAGCAGGAGGTCATGGTGACTGGACAGTAAGGTGGGTGGCACTTGACCAGTTTCAAAAACAAGGGAGTGGAAACCAGAATGATGAATGGACTGTAGTGGGTAGCCCAGGTAAGAGTGGGGTACCAACAAGGTGAGGGGTGAGGAGAGCCTGAAGTGGATACCTCCTGGGGACAGCTGGGAGTCTCCCATGATTCAGTTCGCTGACTCTGGCCTGTACTGCTTGGAGTGATGCAGGTAAGACCAGCACCTCCAGAAAGGCTGACCCAGGATAACATAGCAATGTGTGCCGTGCCCACCGAGAGCACAGGAGCACATACTTCCGCGGTCTAATAAATGCTTCCATTTGGGCTGTCACTACCACTCTCCGCTGACTGTCACAACACCATGCTCACCTGTACAAGGCCTCAAGATCAGCAGGTGAGCAAGCTTGAAAAAACCGTGTGTAGTCCTGGCCAGCCCTGGGCCATGTAACAAGGGGCAGCAGGACTTGAACCTAGATTCTCCAGCTTCTGAGTGTAAAACTCCTTTGACCAAAAGACATCAGTCCCCAACAAGAATGTCACCGAAAACTTCTGGTGATACAAGTGAGAAGCAATCCCAGGCTTTCCGGGTTTGCCCTGGGGACATCTTGAAAAATGAGGCATCCAGCCAGGCTGGTCTGACAGTGTACATGGACAACAGCTAACCCAGGCCCCAGGCTCAGCCATGAGCACCTTGTGATAGGATCCTTCCATCCCCTCCCTCCCCCACTTCAAGTGGCTAAAGCAGAGCCTGCCCTGAGGTCAACACCCTCATTTCAGTTGTTCCACTGCACAGGGCAGAAATTTCCTGCTGGGGCAACTCCCAGAGTCGATCTCCAAGTTCCCCAGCCTCTACCCCACCCTCCCGGGCCCCACTATTGGGTTTTAATCTACAGTTGATGGGTCACAATAGCACATTCAGGAATGAGTCCTTTGAAGGAATTCATCCTGTGAAACCACGGTGGATGGGTCAAGTGAGAATTCTGGTGGGATTGCGGTAGACACGCAATGACCACCAGCCTGGCCCACACTGTCGCCACCAAGAAACCCATTTACTCCACAGAGACAGATACTCTGTGAATCCTGCAATCTGATGGGATTGTGCCAGAAAACTGTCTCCAGAAGACGGAGCACCCTGCTGGGGGCCCAATGCAGTGCTCATGCCTCAGAGGTGAGGAGCACCTTCGGCTCAAGTTTGTGCATGTCCCTGACGTGTTTACCTACCCAGGAGCCCGAGGCCTGACCCACAGCATTGTTAACAATCATACGCGCGTGGCCTGTTCCAAGTTTTTACCTGCCCCCTTCTCACATGACCCCGGAAATCGATGTCTTGAGAACATGGATGAGTTGCACAATGGCTTTCAGACTCTGAAACATCAGCATTACAGTCCTACTTGCAGTTATAGCTGCCCTTTCTTTTTTCTTTTTTTTTTTTACCTTCCTCTGCCTGGTGGGAGTTTTTCCTCCACCACCACCACCACCACCACGACAAACAGCTCTATACACAGTGTGAGGGTTTTCAAGACGCTGCCGTGCATTGTACATATGTGCGCATGTTCACATCGTGTGATTACACTCACTCTCGGCCCAGGTCAGTGAGGCCAGCCATTCCTTCTGATCTCCATTTCCCGGAAGCCGTCACTGATGCCACTGGGCTCAAAGCATCCTTACCTCTCGCTCTCATCGGCAGCCTTTTCTGCTTCTTCGAGCTTCTGCAGGGCCGTGGCCAGGCGTTCCTGAGCTCTGTCTAACTCCTCCTCAACGAGCTGGATGCGTCGATTGAGCGCTGCCACATCCCCTTCAGCCTGGGAGGTCAGAGGGGCAGCCAGGTTAGGAGGTAACAGGTGAGCAGTGGGAAGCCCCCTCTCACAGTAGCCTTCTCTCAGCTACTAACATGGATCCCCCCCACCAGAGCCCGTCCAGGAATCCGGATAGTAAGGAATCCACCCTTTTCTGGAGAATGAATTTTCTGTGTGACCTTCCCTGAAACTATGAGGGAACACACCACCCAATGATGAGGGTGTGTGTCCCAGTACAGGATGGGTGGTCAAGTCAACACAGAAGAGAAATAAATTTACCATGTGTGGCGAGAGCACAGTGCTGGCCTCTCCATGCTTGTGATTCCTAGAGACCAAGGCCACCAGGGACCTGGCTCACCCAGTCACAGAATCAGGTCTGCTCCCAGGCCCCTCGGTGGCAAGATAAATGCCAGGACATGGAGCCCTCAGTTAAACCCTGGCCATACACTGTGGGGAAGAAGGCAGCCAAGATGGAACACCACCCTTAACTAAGTCTGCCAGAGAGGATAAACTATAGAAGAAATCTTGGTTACAAACATGGAAGAGATGTCTGAATAGTGTTGTTGGCTTTTCAAGATGTTTTCCCCCACAAGGAAGGTAACGTGGTGGAGTGTGCATAAAAGCAAGAACTCCAGGATCAGAAAGTGTTGGCTCGCTTTGCCAGTTTGAGCCATGAGGCATTAGACTGGTTATTTCACGGCTCTGAGTCTCCCTATCCTCTCCCTCCCTGTCCTGTTTCTTCACGCTGCCGTGAGGACTGTCACTGAAGGGCAAGGCATTGTACCTGGCCTGTGGTGAAGGCCCACCGAAGGGCAGTTTCTCGGCCAGGATTTCACCTCATTTAATCCTCAAGTATCCCACCCATTTTACAGATGGAAAAACAGGCCAGGCTAGGTGACGTCGTTCTGGTGAATGTCAGAGAATTGGGAAGGAAATGGCCTCTTGGGCAGCAGTCCAGGTTTCTTCCCCTGCTCCCCGAACCTCAAAGTCCAGGAGCGATCGAGGTCAGCCACGCGCAGGAAGGGATAGTGAGGACGTTTGTAAACGGGGCTGAACCAAGGGGAGACGCGAAGGCCCAGGTAAAAGCCACACTGGCATCTTCATATCAAGAAAAAGAAACCTCCGAATTGGGGAGGCTGTAAAAATGAGTGGAAAACCACTCCCCTTTTCCTTTAAACAGCAAAAAAATGCGGAGTAACAGAACAGAGAGCCAGGCATCTTTCCTCAGCTCCAGAGTTCCAGCAGCAAATGGCGGGGACACTCCCACCAGTGTTTCTGATGGCAGCCTCCTCGGAAAACATCGGTTTGGAGAATCTATTAAACACCACCGATGAATTCTTTTAAGAAATGTCACCCACTCCTTCCAATGGGTGCTTTTTTTATTCTTTTAAAATTAGGTGAATCTTAACTCCTTCAGCAACTGGGGCAGAAGTTAAAATTTCCCCCACTGATTTTTAGTACAGTCATAAAATAGCGCAACCAACACCACTACTTCCAGAATATTTTCGGCACCCCAACAAGAAATCCCATACCAATGAGCAGTTAGGAATTGATGTTTAAGCTCATACAGAGGGCTTGATTTAGAAGCTGTCTTAAAAAAAAAAAGGGGGGGGAGGGGATGGCTCCTTATGTTGGGGATTTCTGAATCCTGACGACCAGGCTTTGGGCATATTTTCAACTATCTGGAATCACAAGATTTCTGAGATGCACTCATCTCTCTGGACACAAATATATGTACATATATATTTTTTGAAAAACTGCTAGTCACTGCTAGTCATTTGGGGCTCCACCCCTTCCTGCAATCAAAGCTTCTACACTCTACAAAGGATTTCCCTTATAAGGTAAAAGAGTTTTGCTAGATACATGTGGCCAAGGAACAGGAAGATGTCGGTTAATCACACAAAAATCTAAATGAAACCAGCTGTTGGAGGCAGCCCCAGAAGTCTGCCACACGCCGGCTCTTGGCTTGCTCTACAGGCGACTGAAAGAGTTTTCCCCACCTCTGGGCCCCATTCCTCTGCCCAAGAACCTCCTCCAGGCGTTCCCCCTCCTGACCAGGAGAAGCATGCTTTTGAAAAGCTAACTTTTTAAGATGTCTGCAACTTTCCAAAAACGTCTCTCCTCCCCAAATGGGATATCCCACTCCTGTCTTGGCTCGCCGGCTGAGGGCCATTTCTAAGCAGAAGTAATTGTCCTCCAGTGAGATGACTTGGGATGAGATCAGAGGGAGGATTACGCCGGTTCCGTGTGCGAAAGGGGCCAAACCAGCTACTGTTGGAGGCTTACGGGATTAAAGGCGGAGACTCGGGCCAACCCTGCAGCAGTCTGGGGCACAATACCCACAGCGGTCCCACCTGCGTCCTCTCCACTTCTGGGGTCCCCACTCTGAGTACCAACAATATTCCAGCTTTCAGGGTCCCTTGGCTTTCACCCCCCACCTCTATCCCCACCCCCCACTTTTGAGTCTTTATACAATCAGGTGTCCTATCCCAGAAAATCCTGAATTTTCTGCTCAACCTCCATTTTGAAAATCCACTGGATGGCCTCTTCTCTACTATGATCCCACAACAGAACTGAGACCCCCGGAATGCAAATCAGTTTTGTGTCTGTCCCCCTTACCCACCCGCATTAGACTGTAAGCTCTTCTGGGGATAGAGGGAAGGGAGAAAACAAAACACCTACTATGTGCCAGATGCTCCCAGGGAGGTGTTACTCCTGGGACCTCCCAACCACCCTGGAGAGTCGCCATTATCATCGCCCCTCCTTTACGGATGGGGAGACTCCTAGGGGCCAAGTATCTAGGAGCAGGAGATGGAATTAGAATCCAGATCTCTCTCCAACCCCAGGAGTGGCCACCCTCTGCACCCTCCATCCTGAGGGACAGCCAGGGGATGGAGCGAGGGCGGCAACCCCCTCTCGCTGAGCCCCATTATCTGCCGCCTCTGGCCCCGGGACGTGCAAGAGACCGATCGCCCGTGCTAACACTCCGAGGGTCCTCCGGGGAAGGAGCCCTGGTTCCCGCAGGGACCCGCTGGGACGCGAAAGGCCGAGGGCTCACGGCTCACCGCCCCTCGCGGGGAGCGGGCTCGCGGCCGCCGCGCCCCGGGGAACCGCTGGGAAAGTTCAGCCGCAGCCGGGAGCCGCAGAAGAGGCGAGAGTGCAACGCAACCCCCCACCTCCGCCCCCCAGCCGGCCGCCAGGCCAACCCCAGACAATGGAAGCCCGTTTCCACTCTCACTTCCCGCCCCGATGCGCAGCCACGGGGCCGGCAGGGAGGCTGCACCTCGGGGTGCATGAAGCCCAAGGCTGCTCCTCGCGCGCCTCCCCCTTCCCCATCGCCTCCGGACCCCGGCACCAGCAGGAGCTCCAGGGCTGCCCGGTGCCCCTGCCCCACTCCGGGATCGCCTTAGCCCTCGGCCCCATCCCCCCATTTCCCGCTCGGCCGGCCCCTCCCAGCGCGGCTCCGGCGCTCCCTGCCCAGCCCCAGGCCCGGGAAGGAGGGAGGCTGCGGGGGAAGGGGGGGGGGTGGTCTCAGCCACCAACTCCGGGCGGGGATGGGGTGGGAGTGCGGAGCGTTTGCGGGTCCTCGATCGGGAGCGGCGGGGCCCGAGGGCGCGAAGGCGGCTAACGCGGGGGAGGGGGTGGCCGGTGGCGGCGGCGGGAACGCGGGAAGGGAGCGGCGCGGGGAGAAAGGGGGGCGCGCGGGGCAGCCGGGGGGCGCGGGGTGCCGGGGCGGCTTCGCCGGGGGAAGGGGGCGCGGGCGGGGGGCAGCAGCTCTCACTTTCTCGCGCCGCTCGCGCTCGCCGTCCAGCTCCCGCTGCAGGCCCTGCGCGCGGTCCTCCGCCTCGTCCGCCTGCTGCTGCAGCGCCTGGATCTTGCGCTTCACCGCCTCCAGGGAGTTGAGGCCGGCCATGGCACGGAGGCGGGGGGCGCACGCAGCGGGCGGCTGGTCTCGGCTAGAATGGGCCTCGGAGAAGCTGCCGCAGCCGCGCCCCAGCCCCCGAGCCTGAGCCTGAGCCTGCGCCGGTGCCGCCCCCGCTCCTCCCTGCCCCGGGCCCGGCCGCCGTCGGGGCGATGAGGTCACCCGGCCCGGCCGCCGACGTCAGCACCGCTGGGGGAGGGCCTGACGTCGGCACCGCTGGCCGCAGCTGCTGGAAAGTGCCCCTTTTCGGGACTTATTTGGAGAAAGCGCAGGGAGGCGCCGCCTTCCCTTCCTCCCCCTCCTGCTCCTGCTCCTGCTGCTCCTCTTCCTCCCTGCCCAGGCTCCTCCGGCCCTGCCCCGCCGCATTCCTGCGCACGTACGTCCGAGGCCTTCTTCTCCGTCAGCTCCAGCTTCTCCTGCGCGTCCTTCAGGTTCTCCGAGTACTTGTCCAGCTCGTCCTCCGTCCCCTGCAGTTTCTTCTGGAGATGGCTCAGCTCCTCCTCCACCTGGGGACAGAGTGGGGAGCGCGTCAGGCTGGGGCCACGGCCCCGCGGCGCGGGGTCCTCCTCCCCCCCCCCCCCATTCACAAAGGTCCTCTCCCTGGGCCTGTCTCCTCCTCTGTAACACGGGATAGCAATGCCACGCACCACTCCATAAATGAATGGTACCTGTGGATTTGATTTTAACACCCTTTCCTCGTCCTGGGACCAGCTATGCTTATCTTTTTTTTTTTTTTTTTTAGGGTTCCCCAATAATCTTGGGGAATCGAGTACAGCTTTGGAGAAACTTGAGTCCTGACACAGTTTCCCAGAAATATGCATTCAGGTTTGGATCCCAATTTCAGGGGTGCCACCTCCCGGAGATGTGGGTTAAAATGAAAGAAGTCTTGCCCTAGCCCGTTCGGCTCAGTGGATAGATCATCATCCAGCAGACTGGAGGGTTCCAGGTTTGATTCCCATCAAGGGCACATGCCCAGGTTTTTGTACTCGATCCCCAGTATAGGGTGTGCAGGAAACAGCCAATCAATGGTTCCTTCTCACCTAGAAATAGATGTTTCTATTTCTCTTCCCTTTCCCTTCCTCTCTGAAAGCAATAAAAATATATATTTAAAAAGATTGGAGGGGGGGTCTCATGGACCATCCCTACTTCCAGCTGACCCCCCTCTAGTTCTGCACCACCACCTCAAGCCAGAGAACCTTTCTAAGTGTATGTTTGTCCTCGCCCTGCCTAGAACCTGTCATGGCTCCCCATTGCCCAAGATAGCGGTTTTCACACTATCTCACAAAAATACCATGAAAGGTTTAAGGGCTCAGACGCCCCCCCCCCCCCATTCCTGGACTTTGGGGGCTTGGCTAGAAGAGAGCTACCCTTCAGAAACCACTTTCTTCTGAGGCTCAGATGAAATATTTTAAATTCTTGCACATGTGGCCTTGATTTTAACGAAAACGTTCCCTACATTTCCCAAATTTTAAGGCATCTGTGTTTATCCTGAGAGTCTTGGCCCCCTCCCTACACCCGGTTTGAGAAGCTCAGGTCTGTGGCAGACGAACCACACACCCCTCACCTCTCCGTTCCCATGGCCCCCCAGCCCATCAGAGAGGGTCAGCTCTCTGCCCCCTGCAGGTTGCACCTGCCCCCCTGCCCTAATCCTGGGCTGAGGCGATTAGTTCAAGTCTTGCTTGGGTCAGGCTTGTGACTTGGGTAGTTTGACTCCTGATCCTGTCCACGCTCCCAGCAGTCCTCTCGGACTCTCTGCATCCTCCAGCTTCCTCTTCCCAGCAGGAAGCCCAACGCCGCAGTCTCTTTCCCCGGGTCACACAGCACAGGAACCGAGTCCCCTCTCCCCCGGTCCTCACGCCAGGCCTACCTCCCGGCATCCCTCTCTGACTTCCTGCTCGTCCTTCCGGAAGAGGGTATGTTACAAGCTACTGTTCCTGCAGCTGTTAGATCAAGCTGGGGATCTGACATGGGTTACATGTTCACTGGTGAGATGTGCAAAGTATGGGAATGTGTGTGTGTGTGTGTGTGTGCGCACGTGCAGATTCTTAAAAGGGCCCCTGTCCCAAGGTGGCATCACCTAGCTTCTCATCCCGGAACCCCTGAGTGTCCCACGCTGAGCTGGAAATGGTGAAGGGGTTAGAGGACTGGAGGAAGAGGAGGGTGGCAGCAGCTCAGGCCTAAATCAGGGTCTATGGGCCTTGATCTTGACCTCCAGGCAAGAAGCCTGACTCCAAGCCCCAGCTGTATCCCCCTGTCCCCTTTTCTAACCTCAGTTTCTTCAGCAAAATGAAAGCTCTGACATGGTGGTCCCTGAGTGCCCATCCAGCTACAAAGATGATTGGGGTTTGATGACTTTTTCTGGCAAAATGTGTACCACGGGTGGGGACTGGGATAAAGTAGGCAGAGGGCTATGAAGCAATTAGAACATGCCCATGTCATAGAAGGGTAAACCGAGACACACACACACCCCCCCCCCCATGAGGAAGGGACTTGCCCCAGGCCATACAGATGGGGGATTTGAACCTTTGTCTGACTGACTCCCAGTGGGTTTGCTTGACCACTAGGTTATGCTTTGCCCACTGTCCAGCACAGCCTTCTCCCACTGACCTCCCATAGCCAACGCCTATGCCCACTCTGCTGGGGGGTTTGCCTGCTGTTCTGGACAGAGCCCTTGTCACCCCCTGGGCCCCTCCAGTCCCTGTCCCTCCCTGGTCTAGTCCTACCCTGGAGGCAGGGAACCTCCCTCTGTGTTTGGCTCCATCTTCCCCAGCCTGGGGCTCCTTGGGAGTCAGCCTGGGGCTAAAGGTCCCTCTGGGCCCCAGCATCACCCAGCACGGGCCAGGCACTCACCACCGACTCCTGGAGGAAGTTCTCAGAATGAATCCATGACACAACCCCAACCCCTAAATGGCTGGAGTTGGTGTGAAAAACAAGACTGATACTCATCAGTCCCTTTCCCTCTGAATTCCACACAGAAAGCAGGTGCAGGCGGTGGCACCTTGCTGGCGGGCGGAGCCTTGCCCTGGCTCAGGGAGGTCTCCGATAAGTCACTTCCTCCTCAGGTTCCCCTCCGTAAACCAGCTGGGAGGGTCACGGACAACACACCTTAGTCCCCGTAACCGGGGGCTTCGGGCAGGGCTGAGGCAGGATGTGGGGTCAAAGGCCAGCTGTGGCGGATGTCACTGCCCTGGGAGAGAAGTGGGCAGGAAGCAGGCGGGCAGGACCTCTTGGTCCCATTCCCACACTCAGCAGTCAGGGGGTGGGGGCGGGGTTAGAGGCCTGGAATCTGGTCCTTGGGGCTTCCTCTGAAGCAGGCGGCACTCTGGGTAAGTTGAGTCCCCCGTGGGCACCCTGCTTCTGCTCCCAGGCAGGGCTGCCCCTTGGCCCCAGGGGGCTCCCGCTTTTGCTTTGGACCTCTGGGGTCCTGGGTTTCATGCCGGGCCATCGGAAGCATCGTTTGCCCCCATTTCTTGGATGAAAACACTGAGGGCTCAGAGGGGGTCAGGTCAGCAACGTGCCCCGAGTCACAAAGCTAGATGATCCGGTCTGGGTTTGAGCACAGTCCAGCCGAGTGGGAGGCTTTGTGGGGGTGAGGAAAACAGAATGGAAATCTAGCTGGAGGCCGGAGAACCTGTCCCTGCCGCCTTTGCCACACAGCTGCCTGGAGACTTTGAACTTGTGTCTGCCTCGGTAGAGCTTACTATAGCAGCCACTCACACCTTAGTGAAAATTAGAGCCATTGCGTTGCTTTTCTCTGCTAAGCTCCTCGTGGTGAGGGTTGCATGAGCTATGGAAGCAGGCAGCTCAGGGCCAGCACAGGATGGGCGCTGTGTTTGTCCGGGAGGGGCCCAGGGCGGGAGGAGGGGCGTTGGTGGCGGGGAGGGCTGGGGTGGAGCTGCCCTGCACAGATGTGTCACGGCCCCAGGAAGTCGGGAGGGGCAGGAAACAACCTTGCATTTACTGAGCGCTTACTTTGTGCCAGGTGCAGTGCCAGGGACTCTACTCACGTAGTCACCTCTAATCCTCTCCCGGCTGCCAGGGAGGGGCCGCTGTCACTTCCCCACTTCACACTTGAGGCCACGAAGGCACCGAGTGAGGTAAAGGCATTGCTCCAGGTGCTCAGTGACCAAGCTCCCACGGGGCCGGTCTGGGCTCAGAGCCTGTGCTTTTACCTGCTAAGCTGGCCTGGTGCCCGGGCTGGGCAGGGCTGGGCACTTGGTGTCACTGTCCCGGGCAGTTCTTGGGGCTCATTTGAGACCCTGATGCTCCGAGGACTTGGCCATTGACTCAGGGGAGGTGCCTGAGCTTGGGGGGGGGGGGGGAGGAGGAGAGAGTCACTAAGGAAGGGGCAGAACCCCGCCCTCCTCTCACTGGCTGCTCAGGCCACGTAGACCCGACGACTGACTTCTGCTCTGGACTGCCCAGCCCAGCTTCTGCCATTGCTCCTCTGTTAGCTTCCTGATGCCCCCTCATTGCCCGAGCCCCCTGGGACTCTTGTCCCCGAAGCCAGGTTCACAGCAGGGACAGCAGGGGCATCCCGATAAGCAGAGCCTCATGGAGAGTCTCAGATCCCCACGCACCCGGTCTCCAGACCTTCCCCACCTCAGATGGGGAAAGTGACCTCTGGGGACTTGGGTTCCTGCCCGGCCATCAGAAGGCCCCCTCAGCCTTACTAGCCACCCTGCAGCCAGTCACAGCTATCCCTCCCGCCCCCCCCCCCCCCCACACACACACCACCCATGGCCACCCTCCCAGGGCAGTCACCAACCCACAGGCCACAGTCACAGGGCACAGGTCACCCCTCCCCCACAGCTTTGCATTGCTCCCCTGACCTCAACAGTCATGTGCGCTCTCGATCTCTCTCTCTCTCTCTCTCTCTCTCTCTCTCTCTCTCTCTCTCACACACACACACACACACACCCGCCCAAAGTAGCCCCGTCAAACACACACAGGCCAGCCCCAATAGAGTCACCTCAACACACACACACACA